ATTCTATAACCTGATGTCACCTGACCTGCCAATTGTAAAATTACAAACACATCAAACCATCTGTTAAATATCACAGAAACACCTTTAGCTCCCTCTTGTAATACTACATAGATTACTCTCCAATAGCATGTTGTTTTAAAAGATACAACATATTTGCTAGGATTAATGACGGGTTTCAAGAAATCAGCAAACAGATATGTATCTGTTTGGCGTAAGTTGATTCGTCTAAAATGATAGATAACTGAAATCTCAAAATCAAACCATTGGTATATAAGATCACAACCGTTGATTTTGATTTTTAGAGCTAAATTATTAAAATTGTAAGACAAAACTATTAATACTTTAGAGCAAATTGATTAAAATTATTGAGCAAAAGCATTAAAATTACTGTGGAGCGAAAGTATAACTATAAATGAAAACAAAACGCCGATATTTTTAACAAACTTTATGACGCGATTATTCGATCCATAGTCGCTGTTCAAAAGTACAAATATCGACAAAATGGCGCCAATATCAACTTTCATTTGGATTAACTTGAAGGACCTAATATTCGTTATTTATTTACCATATTCTGTCGAAATTGAATCTTTTAATTAAGCAGAAAACTTCGAAGCAGAAAATGTGTCAGTGAAACAAAAATCTAGCTTCCTTCAGTAAGAACAGTTTCCGTTTTGTATTAACAAGAGCGGACAATTCACAAGATTTATGATAATGCATCTATACATTGTCCAGCAGAAATAATTTCTTAATAGACGGACAAATTAAAAATACAGATATACTAACCTAGCGTATGTGCGTGAGTTCTAAAAGCAAATGGGTACACTGCAAAATCATTATCATATGTACAAGCTGTTTCCATGTATGTGACGGTATGAGGTCGAATTATACCGGAAGTTCCTAAAAGGTATACTCCAGCACGCCGCCGTTGTCTGAAAAAGAAGAAGAAGTAGAAAATTTGGGATCTTTTTTTTCCTCGGATACTTGACTATGGCGACTCATTTCTAACTCTTTTAAATTCACTATTTTTTGTCTGCACGTGACGCTTAGAATGGCAAAAGTGTTTCAAGTGAATCAGCGTGTTGTGGTCTTTTTCCCAACCGACAACAGGCCATGTGACAAGAATGAAAGTTAACTAGGTTGGTGGTCGTGTCTTCGTTAGCGACACGACATGTCGTGTGACAAAACAACAATAAGTGAAATTAGTAGTTGGTAATCCTTTTCGCATGCGACAACAGGCCCTTAGATAATAAGTACAAAAAGTGAATTTGGCTTGTTGGCGACTTTTTAAAAGTCGAAAATTCAACAAGATAATAATTGAAATCTTCCATACAAACTAAATTACTTACGGGGTATTTGTAACTGACAATGTTATACCAGAACTGTCTTTTCCGTTTACTGAAATGAACAAAAAGACACATGAATTATCCAACCTTACAGTTATAATTCATACAAATAGAGACTTTAATATATATGTAGATAAAGATCCATGATACGAAAGTTTAGCAATGTAAAAACATTACATGGGTGTAACAATATAAATGTTAACTTTTACAACAATACAAAAATGAGAAAATTATTTTAATACATACCCAGTTATACCATTAATTGAAAATACATGTTATTATAATAATGTACAAAGATAGTTAATCAAATACCCCTAGAATCTGAGGTCTTCATGGTTATAACGAAATTATGTAAGTTGGTGCTTATAGATAACTTTAATTATATATTATATAATTATGGGTTTTTCGTGTTAGAAGCATCCGCCGAGTATAATTGCCAGTTTTATTCCAAATATGATATTGTCACTATACGGTTTGATGAACATGTAAATGTACTTATTTAGAATTGTATCACTGCATGGTAAGACCACTGTATGGTAAGGTGTACTTTCTAATAACATTGCCACTGTATGGTAAGATGCACTTACTTAGAATATTGCCACTGCACGGCAATGTGTACTTTGTAAGAACATTCCTACTGTGCGGTAAGTTGTCCTTGCTTAGAATAGTGTCACTGTACGTGGAAAGTTGTTCTTAATTATAATTGTATCACTTTAAGTTGTATTTACTTAGAAAAATGTCACGGGAATGTACGGGAAGGTGTACTTACTTGGTGGTAAAAATGAGTCCACATTCTTATAATGCACTTGCAGTACTAAGTAGTCAATATCAGTATCTCCACCAACTTTAAATCCAACTTCTACAAAACCAAACATTAAATACTATTTATATCGATTGTATAAAGCTACATGTGGAATATAAAACAAATCTGTCAACCAGAAAAATGAAATATTCATGATAATCTTTATCAACTAGTATCAATTTTGAAAGTCGTGTGACACTAACAGTCCGTATTCTGTTAAACTTTTAAAAACGTCAACACTAGAAGAAGCTACTTAATATGGCAGATTAAAATTTAATATTTCCAAATGCATTTGTTGACGACTCCTGTCATATGTGAACTTTAGATGTTAATGATGAAAAATTAATTTTATAGGTAAATGCATATTTAAACATTAATGAATTAAAGATGTTTACCCTCGGGCAATGAGAGGGCGGGTGCATCCATAGCCCATGCATATAAGATTTTAGCACCCGACCCACACACCGGACCTCGTTCATAACTTGAGCCTTTTGATGCCATTTCACCACAGTTCCTATAAAAATAAAAAAATAAAAAGTTATAATAGATTAAAATCTAAAACTAAAATCTTCAGCCAAAATGTAGATAATTGGATTATGTTTATCACGGAAAACACTTGCTTGAAAACAGTCGCACCTTTTCGGCCCTTTCTGTTACACTTTGGATAACTTAAGATGATTATTAATTGATAATCGGCGAGATGGTCCTAAAAACTTTAAAGCATATGTTTGATGCGTTCCAGGCAATGAAACTACAATACAGATAGTAGTAAATAACAACAAATTCGTTTTGCAAATTTATTTCCTTAAAATATCTTAAAGAAATAAGAATGATACAAAATCTTAAAGGTTATTTCAGACTGTCATTATACATGTTATAGTTTTATCTTAATCAAAACACTTTTTACAACAGGTGTGTTTACAACTAAAATTGTATAAAATGCGTACAAAGATAAGACAACAGATTACATTTAAACTTAAATTTTTAAAACTACTACGCGCAAAGTTGACATCAAGAGCGGATAAAAGCCGGCATTGTTTGTGTTTAAGTAATTATCGAAAGACGTTTCCTTTTTCGGTACAAATGATACATGTTACAAATAAAGTTTTGTTCTTTTTTGGTGTGTACGTGTGTGTGTTTTTTATTTATCATTTTAATCACAAACAAATCCCCACTAGACGGACAATTTCCCAACCCCTAGACGGACAATATCCCCTCTTCACTAGATGAACAAATTCCCCTCATCACTAGATGGACAAAATACACTCTTCACTAGATATACAAAATCCCCTCTTCACAATATGAACAAATTCCCCTCATCACTAGATGGACAAAATACACTCTTCACTAGATATACAAAATCCCCTCTACACTCGATGTACAAAATCCCCACTTTGCTATGGGTGAACAAAACCCCTCTTCACTAGATGGACAAAGTCCCATCTCAACAAGATGGACAAAATCACCTCACCGGAGAGATCGTCATATTTGACAAGGCAGTACAATCTTTTCAATTTATGATAATAGACAGAGGTTTTTTTATGCAGGCATACAGTTTTTACGGCATCTTATGCTTATTGTCACAAACTAATTTGTTCCTGAGGAGGTCTCATATTGCAAGCATCGTGTTTTTTTCCCAGATATTTAATACCCACTTATTAGCAACTTTCGGTAGCATTTCCAATATAATTATACAATACCAATGATGATGTGAGGCGAGGATTCGCTGGTTTATTGACAAATGTCATCCCTCGGGGACAACTACCCCAATAAACATTTCTGCCAGGGTTATCTGCATCACAGTACGTATTGATTAAACACTAAAAGGCATGGTTCAAGTGACAATTAACAGAAATCGTCCAATGACTTATTGCTCTTGACGGTGCTCTTATGATTACTGAGAGTTTTTGATATGACGGGACTGGAAATATTTCTCCAAGATTTGTTTACAAATTGATATTGGTCTAGACCAGAACTTTTGGTCACTGCTATACGTAATTTTTCTGGAATAATCATTTTTATCGTGCCAAATAACCGAAAATTGAAAATCCGGCCAGAATTTGCAAAAAAATCGATTTTATTTAATTCTGTGTATATTATTCCTTACCATTGGCAGTTTTTCCGTTTTAAGTGTTTCACTTGATCTTTGTAAGATTTTCATATTTTATGTGATTTAAACCTTTGAACCTCAGTGCAGTTCCTTTAAGTCAGATTCTAAATTTTAATCGAACAAAGAGAAATGTTATGTTATTTCAGAACATATTCTGTGACAGTTAAATGATTATTTAAAACAAAAAGAACATACCAAACATCGCCTTTACTCCCTGGGGATTTGCACCCATACAGCAGCATATGATGAGCAATCTCCATATTAGCATGGGGCTCGAACCCGACTGAAAATGAAATCAAATCGTTGATCATACACACTTAGATAAAATCACTAACGTTTCCACATAGCATAAATGATGTATATCATATATATAGATCATGAATCATAAATCATAAATTGACCCTTCTGGTATAAGTTACATGAAAAATCCATCTTTCTTTTGCCGAAATATTGCAAGGAAAAATAATTCAAAAAATATCGTGGAACTAACCAGTACTATGCAGTATACAATGATTGTAAAGTTTCTTACTCAAGGAAACAACGGCTTGCCCTTGACGGGGTTTGAACTCACGTGGCCAGCAATCGTAAGATACTAGTCCGACGCGTTAACCACTCTGCTACTCCGCTCCATTGTGTTGATGTTAGTTTTACATCTTCTGGCACAAATACTGGACGTTGGTTCCACCAAGAGCAGAATTATGTTAGAATTAGACCATGAGTAATGAATCAATTGAAATCGTATAAACAAATCGTTTGCTAGAATTTTTATTTCAATTTCTGATGTGTTACTTACCAAGATATGTTGGTTTTGGTCCCATTCTCATAGGTGTACATAAGTACGTGTCCGCCTGTAACAAAACAAAACAGGCAGACATATTGATAAATTATGTATGTAATTTCTAATGGATGTGGTTCCTGATAAGCTTTGAATACACTGTCAATAAATCATAAATAGCCTTGATTGAATTCAATAGCGACTTATTTATTACATTTGTTTGTTGTCGTTTTATCGATTATTATGAAAAAAACTATTTACAAGTGCCTGTTATAATGATTAGATCCCTATGTTCTCCCAATTCAACTTTGTTTAATCAGTGTGTGTGGTGTGGGGGGAAAGAATGCTAAGAGATTAATTTTCATAATTTTTTTTACAAAATGTTCAATTTTTACAATAATGTTAAGATTAGAAATTTTGCTTATAAATAAATTATTGTAACAGTCTAACAGAAACAATTAAAACTGATAATCATGGTTTAAATGCTCGCTATTCAATCAGAGCTTCTTTTGTATTTTCCCCATTAAAATGATCAATAGTGTTGTTCAGATTGAAAGATGGGCAAGTCCGTGAATGGTAAGTTTTAAAGTTGATATTAAAATCATAGTTCGTGGATTCGGCATTTTCCGCCAATTTCCGTAAATAAAACGTCACATGATAATAGAACCATTAAATAAAATATCCAGTAATTATGTGTATGTATCAAGTACCTCACCTTTTTAGGCTGGACTTCCGGCATGAGCAGATTTACATGCTTGGTTTCGGATTTGACCTTTGTCTTGGCCTCATTTTCAGTTGGGGCTGCTAAGGTCAGGCTTAAGCAGGCAGTGAGTAGCAACAGTGCAGCCATGCACGTGTCTATTTTCTGAAAATATATAAATAGAAAACATACGATCCTTAAATACTAAACAATCAGCAAATGAATGAGCATATATAGTGTCACTTAAACATGACACAAATTTGATTCCTAATGTCGAACAAAAAACAACGTTTTGTGTCCTTAAAAAGCCCTGGCTTAGCTAGACAGGGTAGTAATATTTTAAATGTTGCATGAAAAACGTCACATACATTGTGAATACAAACACAATTGTCAAATTCTTTAAGGTTGACTTGTGTGTGCAGCTTTAAGCTACATCACTTATACCCCGGTCACATATTCACGGAATACGCCCACGGAAGAGCCACGGATTAATTCCGGCATCGTCCGTAGCTACCCGTACTGGTCAGTAGCTCTCCGTATTGTTACCGTAATCAATCGTAGTAGTCCTTGTATATCCGTAGCAATCCTTGACAATTTTTGAACATGCACAAAAATTTGCTACGGAAAAATCAACCGTAGCGCATCCCTACTAGTCCGTATTAATCCGTACTGATACGCACTGGTCCGTACGAAAACCGTACTAGTCCGTACTGATTCGTAGTCCACCAACTTGTCAAGGATTTCCACGGTTTGGTACGGAGAACTACGTATTTGTACGGTTACCCTACGTATAAGCTACGGTTTTAATACGGATTAATACGGCATTGTCACGGAAAGCCACGATCGTAATACGTTGTACTACGGAGAGGCAAGGATTAGCACGGTCTTATACGGTTTATTGCGTTGCAACACGAAACGGTACGGAATGGTACGGTCCACCACTGTTTAGTACGGATGAATTAAGTATCATGTACTTTTTCAAGGGTATAAATACTACCTTCTTGTTAAAAACAGACATATTTGCGGAAACATTTAATAAATGATAATTGCCATTTACTGGCTGCAACTTTATATTGAAATGGCTCAGAATGCGGAGGCAGTGGTCGAGCTGCTTGATGACATACATAGAAGTAAATTTATATTAATATCGTACTACAATTCATAAGTAATAGAATAACATTTAATGTTACATATTTTACAAACATTGGATCGTGAAATTGGAGTAAATATGTACATAAAACGAAGTGTCTCATAAGCCTCGGAGGCTGGCCCTTGAGTGATAATAAGATTAATTAACAAGCTTTTTACATATTTTTAAAACATAAACATCACGATAATTAATGTAATTGTAAGATGAACAGCAAATCTTAAAATTAAAAGAGAAGCAGTATTGATCAACATTTTTCATTAATGATTACTAGTCCATATCTAATCAGGTAAGAGAAGACGGACGAAATGGTGGACTAGAGATGGGCTTTTACGAAGACCGCTTCAAGTTTAGTATGAGGCTCTCATGGCCGAACTTGTTGAGGATCCAGCGTCCTTCAAGAAATTCACTTTAATCGGACCTGATGTGTCTCGGGGGTCGGACGCGATTAGGCCGAGTCCTCTCCGCCAAAATCATTGAACTCTGCAATTCGTTTTCTAGGTGTTCTTTTCTTTTGAGGCATTTTGAAAATGAGCAAGCAAGAGGTTGTGGACGGATGTATTAGGTCCGTATAGATCCGTGGCAATTCGTTCTTCTCCGTATCAATACGTTCTTCTCCGTATCAGACCGTACTTATTCGTACTAACCCGTGCTTATACCGTAGCAGACCGTAGTGTATCCGTAGTGCGTCCGTCCTGATTCGTGTCGCTCCGTATCAAACCGTGTCGGTCCGTAACAATCCGTGTCTCTCCGGGGGCTTTTGGTGGTAAATCCGTCGGACTCCGTACTCATACCGTTGTGTGTCCGTACTGGAACCGTAGCGGACTACGAAATTTCACATTTCCGTAGTAATCCGTGAACGATTAGACCGTAGCTCTTCCGCGGCATTATCCGTGAATATGTGACCGGGGCTTTACATCCCGGCAGAGCCCCGGTAGACGTCCGGGGTGATCCGGGAACGACCGGGGTACGACCGGGAACAACCGGGGTACATCCGTAACTCTGCCGGCAACGTCCTGGATGATCCGGGATGATCCGGGAACATCCGGCATTCGACCCCGGATGGAATAAAATATTTAATATCACCGGGGTGGTCCGGGATGATCCGGGAAGGTATAGCTTTGCCGGCATCATCCCTAGCTCTGCCGGGAACGACCGGGGTGATACCGGGAAAGCACCGTAGCTCTGCCGGCACAAACCGGGAATGATCCGGGGTATGATATAGCCGGTAGAGCTACGGTAGAGCTACGGTAGAGCTACGGTAGAGCCCCGGTATATGCCGGCAGAGCCCCGGTAACTACAGGCAGAGCCCCGGAGGATAAAGGTAGAGCTACGGTTGATCCCGGTAGAGCCCCGGTAGAGCCCCTGCAAAGCCCGGATCATTTAAAAAAAATAAGGACAATTTGTGATGATTGAACTTGTTTGTATTAAAAGCCTTCCCATTTCCCTTCTATCCAGTATGGCATAAGGATTTTTCAGAAAATCATCATGAATTACTATTCTGGAACAATAGATATTATATTAAATAAAAATTATGTATCAAAGTTATCATTTTCGGGCGTTTTCAATCCACCGGGGTTCTACCGGGGCTCTGCCTGGATCGTCCTGGGCTCTGCCGGGGCTCTGCCTGGATCGACCGGGGCTCTGCCTGGGTCAACCGGGGCTCTTCCGGCGTCATCCGGGAACGACCGGGGAAGCACCGGCATGACCGGAGCTTCACCTGGGCTCTGCCTGTATGATCCGGAGCGCATCCTGGGTGGTTAGTAGGGAACTACCGTAGTGCTGCCGGGGTAAGTGTGACCGCAACAATAATTTCATCCCGGATCGTCCCGGATCATCCCGGTCTGCCGGGAGTAAGTGAGACCGAGGCAAAAAGTTAATTGGTCACAACCATCCACGAAAAACTTCTAATTGATGGTGTTAGCAAGTGTGAGATGTATGATCTGATATTATATATATTAAAAAAGATGTTGATAAAGTTCAAAAGGATTTAATATGAACATTTTGTTACAGAACATTTTATCAACATCTTTTTTGAATTCAATATGTTATAATTTGACATATGATACATTTTTTATCAATATTTGAAATAATTTTTGAAAATGTGACCATTATATACCAATTTACTTTAATTCAAATAAAGGCTAGAAATGGTTTCGGAACACCTCACAGATAACCCTTAAGTTCTAATCAGGGGCTGAAATGTTGCGATTGCCAGAAATGAGGCCAATCATGGAAAAGATGTAAGTTATTCAAAGTTTAATATTAATCTTAAATCTGATGCTCTAATGAAGGACTAATAGGCCTATATAAAAACGTGCCCACTTAATACGAAATCTCGAAATCTATACCGTATATACCAAATAATTGTTAGTTGCAGCAATTAAATTAATGTTTTAATGTACCACAAACCACGTACGTCTTTGGTGAATTTATATCTGAGACACTAATTTACTAGATCATGCGTCATAAACTTTTACGATAAGTAGCACTGTGTAGAGAAAAATTTAGTAACTTCAGATATTATTATAGTCAACTGATTTTGATAATTTTGTTCACTGTTATGAAGGTTGTACGATTGTCATGTTTCGGTTCTCCTTCTAAAACGGCCGACGGCGGAAAAAGACTTGAGTGTGTCCCGAAATTCACTACATATTTTGGTGAACGGCAGTTATTCCTTTACTATTTTAATCACTTAACTCACTCTAAAGAAAACATAGTAAAACCTATACACGGCAACATTATTATATTTTTTACGAATAAAAGTCCAGTACGTGTTACAGTTTTAATGACTACTTTGTTATGTCAGATTTATGTGTTCGTTATCGCTAGAGAATACGTATTAAAAACAACAGCTATCGCTGCATTAAAAATCTACATATGTATACAAAATATGAAAATATATTTTTTTTAGAAAACGGCACGATATATTCAACTCTGTATCACTTCAGACATGAGACAATCTGAAGAATGAGTGTTTATGTTTCGTTTACGTCACAGGTGGCAGTATCAGTGTTTGGACACCCCCACCCCTCCCCTCCCCTATCTGCACCTGGACCCCTACTACAACCTTGAAAAAAAATTACTCAATACTCTAAGGCTTACTATAAAATACCAAATACATAACAATCGATAAAATTATTTAAAAAAAACCACTATCAAAATTATTGTCATATCTTTAACTATAATTTTGATAGCGGTTTTATTCATAATTTTATCGGTGGTTTTGTATTTGGTATCTTATAGTAAGCCTTAGAGTGTTGAATAATTATTTCTTTAAGGGTTGTAGCAGGGGTCCAGGGGCAGATAGGGGTGGGATGTCCAAACACTGATACTTCCACCTGTGGTTAAAGTATGTTTTTGAGGGATACATAGGACTTTAATAGCTCTGTTCAGCAGCTCGCAATCTTGGGAATATTTTTGATATAAACTACTTTATATATATATATCACAATAGAAACAAGCTGATATTACCTTTAAGCATTGTTTGTTTATTTATTTATTTTCATTTCTAAGTATGAAACATAACTATTTTCTTATGTTTTGGCAAAATAATGTTTTACTGCATACCAATAATGTCAAGATTTCTTATAGCATAAAATGTTACTGTCTATTATTCATACCCATTTGGTGTTTGGTTTTAATGTATTTTTCACATACTATTTATGTCATTATTCTTACATACTGTGCAGCCTGTGTCATTCAAAATAAATTACTTATCCTGTTCTAATTATAGTCACGTGATCATTTAAGTAATTTAAAAAACGCTGTACCATTATAGATATTTAAACAAATTGAATGAAAGTCGATCAACATACCCGCCCATTTCGTGGAAAACAGCGCCTTAAATTGAAGTGACGTAGAATTTCCATATCAATGGTGTTTTTTTTATATATTCTAAACAAATCACACGTGCCGCTACAAATTACAAAATGTATTTTTATCCGAGTTTCAATGTAATATCCAAGTTCTGCTAAACATGGTTTATTTTTTTATCGTTTTTATTTTTAGTTTTTTAAATAACACTGCACTATTTATTGACACATTTTCATTTCATTTCGTAAATTTATACGTATTTAACAGGTTTTAGCTTATGCAAAATATTTAGTATTCACAAATTGCACATGTAAAAATGTCTATAAAATTATAAAATCTTAATCATATTTATCGGTTTATAAAATGTCGTATGGTCAACATAAGTTCACATGTTACAGTGTATTTAAGTCCAAAATGATGCATTTTTCAGAAGATGACAATTTTCGTTAAAAATAGCCGGAGGGGTAATATTCAATTTCCTGGTTATATTTAAAAACAGTGTTAACATTTGCACGCAGATATACTGCACGCATACATGACCGATTCATATTTCAATATTTTAATGTTATTCATCAATAAACATGTATTTATTCCTGAAAGCTATTACCAGTAACCCACACGTATGTTTTCCCTCCGTAAATTCCAATTTATAGTGTTCTTAATCAATCGGTGAAAACATTTCACATCAAAAATAGATTGAACAAAATCGATGGTTTATTTGAACATGATTTATTTGTATAATTTATCTAATTATCATACTCTTGGAATGATTTAAACTCAGTTTATGGAATATATCGTCTTAAATTGAAGCGAAGAAGAATTTCCATAGTCAAAGGTCCTTGTGTATTACACTAGTTTTCAGTCATTTGAGCTTAAATATACTGTTGTTTATTTTTAACAGTAATTTTCCATTGAGTCACTCTTGCGTATACGAGTCAATTTTTATTTCTGCGTTAATTAAATGCATAATGTTCTGTTTAACTCTATGGGCATATAAGGATGAGGCCCACATTACTTTAATAGCTGTCTGCGTCTGGAAAATAGGGCACAGATTTTCAGAAAGTCTCCAATGAAGAATGCTGTTGTTTTGTTCTAGTTGTTTGTTTTTGTTTTTTGTTGGTGTTTTGTCGTTGTTGTGTTCTTTCTGGGGTGGGGTGTTGGTTAGGGATTCACAGTATTTCTTTGAAATGTTTAGCGATATAGCATGGCTTACATAGTTACTCTAGTAAATTTATATTTCAGTGAACGTTCCAGTCTGATTTTTCTTTACCCATTGAACATTATATTGAAAATTTATGTTGCCTTCATGTTTAAACCGTTTAAGGCTTGTTATAAACTTGAACTAGATAACCCGCCGTCAACATGGAACAGTTAAAGTGTAGATTTTACACTTTTTATGCCGATTAACTACACGACTAGCGGTTTATAGAAACAATTCGCACGGAAATACCGTGCACAACTAACACATCCTATGTAAATACCTCAAATGGAAATTAGACGAAATAATGTTTTGATGAAAATGCTACATTTGTTGAACCCTTCAACAGATTTCAATCTTTTACATAAAAAGGCATATATTACAGTACAAAAAGACTTACTTTATCAGTCAAGTAATCCAAATGATGTCCTAATATTTGGTTAAAATCTACGCTATATTTACAGTATGTTATGTTCACTTGTTTAGAGATAAAGCTATGCCGACATAATTTCACGGGCAGTATTGGTTCCCTTTTATCTACTTATCATAAATTGATACGTGACGTTTGCCATGAATGAGCTTTTTACAATTACCATCTATTGGAAAAACTCTCCAGTAGAGACGGGTTTTCAAGTCTTTGACATCTTTGGAATTATCGATTACCGTTCCGTTCCGATGCTGGGAACCAATAGCTGACGTCATTTCTTATAACCATGACAATACGGATCGATATCGCCCCTGTCATTCACACTTAGTGCTATAACTCTGTAAATTGTAAAATCAATGTGGTTTGTTTATTTCTGAAAAGCGTAGGCGGTAATTGTAATTACCCGTATCCTGCTGGAATTTTTAAATATCTTATTCTTAAATAAATATCTGATACTGGGGTGTAAATGTATTGTAAAATTGTCTGTGTTAGATAATTATCATATGTTCATGCGTACACATAATTTTGAAATTGTACTTAGTTCATCCTCTTGTATATGCTCATGATTATGCTAACTTGTTTTCAGTGAGTTCAAACATCCATGTCTTTTTTTGTATTTGTCATGTGTTATATGCATATATATGTTAATTGTATCATGTAACAAGAAACATAACTTGTTTACGTTACTTAATAAAGAATATTGAATCTTAAGGTACCTAATAAAGAATATTGAATCTTAAATGCACTTGTCCAGCTTCCGTTTTTTTAACTGTCCATTATAATTGTGGATATAGTCACAGAGCTATATTAAAATAAAAGTCTCAGATATAGTGCAGGCTGGCTCGGCTCTGTTCCTTTATCAAAGAATAACCACTTTCTGTTCTAATTAAAAAGGGTAAAATTTTAACAAATCTGGATCATAGTTGCGTTCATGCCACTGACTATCAATTTATATTATTTAATATGCCATTCATAAAACATTTATATATGGTATATAAGCGCTAAATATCAATATTATGTTTTGAAGCGTCAACTATAAACATGTTTTTTTTAGTTTGATCAGAAAAATATACATGTACTGCATACTATATTTAAAGGCTAGAAAGCGCACATAAACACGTGTATTAAATTTAAAAAAAAATATGCTTCAACCAGTCAAATGCTCTCGACCTTTGAACTTCTGGAACTTCCCCCTTTTCTGCTGAGCACTACAAATACAATTCCTAGATGTTCCGTTTGCAACCCTTCATCATTACCTTCCTTAAAACTGGTGCTTAGTCCACGATATGATCATTTATTGACTGACATTATATTCTGTTCAATAAATTGTTCTATTTTCAAATTATGTGGTACATTTAAATGTTTTCCTATCCCGTAGAGTGGCGGCGTGGCCGAGTGGTAAGCACATCGGACTAGAAACCTAAGGATTGCTGGTCACGTCCAAACCTCGTAAAGGACAAGGCATTGTTAACATAAGCAAGACACTTTACACTCACTGTTCGATCAGTACTGGTTGGTGCCAGGAATAAAGCTTCCAACACAATTGAACTAAAATAAATGCGTATAACTAATACTGCGACCCCGTTAATACATATGAGCCGCGTCACGAAACCAACATAGCAAGTTTGCGACCAGCATGGATCCAGACCAGCCTGCGCATCCGCGCAGTCTGATCAGGATCCATGCTGTTCGCTTACCTACTCTATAACAAGTAGAGAAACAAACTGATAACGAACAGCATGGATCCTGGTCAGACTGCGCGGATGCACAGGCTGGTCTGGATCCATGCTGGTCGCAAACCCATTACGGTGGTTTTGTCGTGACGCGGCTCATATCGTATCATACTCGGTCGGTGTAAACAGCACCAACCACTTAGTATGTTACTTTTTAAGTCAGCAATAATTCGGGACAGATTTTATTTCATTAAATATATAAATGCTTACAAACCCTTCTTTTGCACAACGCATGCACTAGAATTGACTACACCCGATCGAATGTTAATAGCGACGGACCGCGTCTTAAGAAGGTCAATACACAGGTCTTTAATTGCAAAAACAAATAAATGAAAATGGTATTTTAAAGATCATTTTCTCTGTTATCAAAAATACTGAGTTGGCGAAAATCATGGAAAAATCATGAAAAAAAACCTTACCATATATATTTAAATAATAAAAAATACAGGAAAAAAGAACAATTTTAAAATGCAGTTTTGTATAATACTTTAATATAATATACCATTTATTCTACGATATAAAATATCTGAAAGTTGTGTACATATGTATTGAGAAGATGTTAATGTTAAACTTATCAAGGGAAACAACTAGTACTATCTCATTACAGGAAAATTTGTATTGGTTAACTCCCTTTACTATGTAAACGCTACATTAAGAAGGGAAAACACTCGTTTTGTTAAAACTAAAAAAAAAATCGACATACATTACCTCCCCTTTCTTCAGAGTATTTTATTATTTGGACATTAGATCTAGAACATAATATGTCTTTATGTCAAATCTGATATATTTTTCTCTTCTTTTATAAAATGTCCTAACTAAAGCTTCTTTTCTACATGTTTTTGTACATGTTTTGGACATTTAAGGTGTTTTTTTTCATTTTATCTACATTTCTAAAACAATGTACATAATGCTTAACAAAAATACTTCCAAATATATCAGTCACAGACTTATAATACAGATTTAAATATTGCTCTGTAAATATATGTACCATAAAATAAGACAACACTAACTGGCCACTTTTTTCAATACCAACATAACACTAACCTAAATGCACATTCATTCTTTTATAGTATAATATATAAATACATCTTTCATAAAAAATACACTTTGCAATATCCTATGCATGCATGTATATACATGTACAAAGTAGAAAAAACATCTTTGCAACCTCTAATTTAATAGTCTATTGATCTCATCTTTATTATTTGCATTCATGATAAAACAAGTGAAAGTTGTACATGTTAAACTATGAATTAAATATAATGTCATATATTTGTTCTTTTGAGTAACAAAATCTGTTCCCGACAGTTATTTACTGGTATTTACAGCCTCTCCAATGTTTTTCTAACTTTTTCCAGAGCTCTTAATATTCCTTGGTTTTTAAGCTCATTTATTTCTTTATAAGTAGCTAAATATTTTTTTAAGGACTTTTTTGAACCCAAAAGATACAATTATTTTGAAACAGAATTGAATTAGTGTTCATTGGTATGAGTTTTTCTGATTTAATATCATGTAATTGATGACTAATGTGTTAGAATTATAGGTTTACCTAGATACATTGTAATTTTCCTTCTTGTTTTCCGAAGTATTCATTCCTTGTTTTCTTCTAGTCTTCTGACATGCCACTGAAGAACCTAAATTTAATCCCTCACTGAAATTGTTCATCCCGGGACAGAATGACAAAATGTTCCATGCTGGGACATAACAGTATGACAACCAACGGGACAAACAACTTGAGACAAGGGCCGTGCTTTCTTGTTGATTGTTGTGAAATGGATTGTTTTCTCAGGAATTGGTGTAAATAAGTGAAATAATAGCATAATGACAAAATAATTTAACAGTCCCATTGTATTTAAATGGTCTTAACATGATGTTACATTTAAAAATGCATTCTTATAACAACACTTTTAAACACTACGCTAAGGATTTTACCAGCAGTGGAATGGATGCCAACATAAGACCACTTATCTAGTTGTTAGTTCATTGTCTTATTTTATTATGTCCCAACAAATCATTTGCAAGCAGCCAACAGTCAAATTCATGACTATTTGTCTGTAAACAAAATGTACAAAAACGGGTATTTGGTTATTAAACAAAAATAAGATTATTTGAGTATGTATTGACAAAAGAAAAACTATATATATGGTAACTGTAACTACATTGCTTTGAAGTCTAACAGTATTTTCAATGAAAGACAGAAACGAAAGCTATCATATATACAAATATGTATATAAGCAATCAGAACCATGACAAATATTGTACAAAGTTCTGACGCTTTTTTATCTCCCATAGTACATCTAATATCCTAACAAATGAAAATATTCAATCTCACTTCCCTACAACACAATCATACTTAGCTATATGTAAGTTAACAATCTAAAGGCAACATTTTTAATATAATGTTTATATTTGTATGTCTATCTAATGCTTTGTTACAACACATAAATATAAAATCTAAAAATAGATTTCCCTAAATGCATTTCGTGTCCGTTCACTTCCGACTCATCGTGTATCGGCTGAGCCTCAATATCAATGTGGTAAGACATTCCCTTGTTTAACTTTTTACGTCTTGCGTGCAATGAATTTATTCCCTTCCTTTCCTTGAGAAAGAAAAGCTTGTCTTCACGATTGGTTATTTTGTACTCAACATTTCCTTGAAGGGCCGCCAAGGCCGGCAACATTTTTATAAGTTTCGTTTTACGACTGACATCCGTTAAGTTGAGGAATACTGGAACAGACCTCTGAGCGCTAACCACTGGGATGTCCTGAACCAGATTGTGTTTCCTTGACTTGTGGCGCCTTAACTGATTACCCTATAATATAACAGAAAACAGTTTAACAACAATTATCAACCGCTGGATTTGCATAAAAATATGAAAAAAGTTAACAAACACGGACTATCCAGAAAACGTAATTTTAAACAGTGCTAAATCTCTTTGGAACAGTGATAAAAAGCACAAAAACAAATACATAAGGGACATTAAAAATTTTACACTATAAATAATTTACTGGAAAATAATCTTGCACAAGCTATTTCATGAGAGGTCATGAATTCTTTGGCAGTAACATTTCTAATTTCCTAATAGTTGAGATAATATTGTTTGTTATATGTAGGTCTAGGTGCACTTAATTTGCACTGAATTTGGATGAGGCCTTAGGCTCTTCTATTATTGCTAAAACTGCTAATCTGAGAAGTAAAAAAGCTGGAAAACTACACCCTTTTTTTAAAGAAAATATCAATTGGAAGGCCTCTGTTATATAAGGAGGAAAACCACTGGTAGTGTCACATCATTCACATGTAACAAGCCCTATTCTAGCTTTCACTTACTTTGTGGCTTTTTACCATATTTATTTTGTCAGTTTAATATTAAACTATCCCTATGAATGCCAGTACCGATAAAAACTTGCCTATTCCACCAGTATAGATCAGCTTAGCCTACATACCAGTACAGTCTAAATGTCCTCTATTTAACATAATTACTAATTTTTTCTTATATCAATTATTACATCATGGCACTAAATAATTTGATATCCAACATGCTACAAATACTTATCAAATAAATTTCAAATTTCAAATTGTATTAAACAATATGTTATTATATTTATTACAGTGCATACAAAACTAAATAGATCTTTTTCTAAAAATCACCTTTTGGCGCACAGCCTCCCGTTTGACTACTTTAAGAATACTTGGTCGGAATTTATGTGGACTTCCTCTTATATCAGTTACTACAACATCTCCAGTACGCTGTAGAAGAGATTCATAACTTTCATCATCGTCATCATCATCATTGTCGTCATCATCACCTCTCCATTCTGTAAATTCCTCAATGTTGATGATACGCTCAACTCCTTCAATATAATAACAGTATTGTACCAGTTAAGTAAGACATATTCATCTGGATAATAAAGTTAATAAAAAGTCTTAAAAAGTTCCTTAAAGAGTTTTAAGAAATGTATAGGAATTAGCTAGTACAATGACTCCATTAAAGTCTTTACATTTTATATCCATGGGTGGGCATGATTCATTCACTTCCTTGAACATTTCAACGGTGCTCGTTGATACAAAAAATATTCACACAAATATTAAAACAAATACATGTATTGTATCTTTCTAGATGTGTAAAAAAATTCTTATACGTGTGTCGTTGGGTGTGAAAAAAATGCAGTCTGGAATGCGAACAAGGGACCCTCTGAAAACCATTCTGCGGCTCTACAGACTTGAGCTAACCGCTTATACAGTTCTGAACTGTGACATGTCTACTAAAATTTAATACCATTTCCATTGGCACTTCGTTTACTTCTTTTAGACAGAGGTACATCTAGCGGAGCATCTTCAATGTTACAAGAATAACAGCCCTCTCCTGTGGGTAGCTCTCCAGTACCCAGGGCATTATCATGTGGTAGCTCTGTCCCCGGTGGAAACATGGAGCTGTAATCTGCTGGTGAGATAGTCTGTATACAATGCCTGAAACATATAACAGTAACATATAATTATATGATAAATACAATAATTATCTAGGGGTGTGGGGGTAAGGAAATGGGGAGTGGGATTAACTCACTCTATTTAAAGATACTGTGTAACGTTGCTGGTAGAGGTTCAGACCAGAAATAAAGCTATGGAGGGACATCTACATAGAACTCCCAACTTTCTATATGCTAGCTGGATAGCTTCATCACATGAAATAATCAAAATTCAAACCAACAGCAATGAGTGGCCAATGCTTTAGATTTGAAATCAGCAGCCTGGACCACTTAGAAAATAGAACATTCATCAATACATCATGTAACACAAGGTCATTATGATCATACACAAGTTGTCTTGTCAAATAAAATAATATTTGATTTGTTTTGATGAAAATTTCAAAAGGACCACTGGACTCAATGACTGCGATCAATTCATTATTACTATGGAGAAATTAAACAATCATATGAAATGCGTCTAGGCAAGTGTCACAAATGTCAGCATTTGCCAAGCTTTATAAGATGTTTGGAAATAGTTTAATGTAATTCTGTGTAAAATGACAAAAATATTTGTATTCTATTTAACACATGATTTTATAAGGCCAGAAAAGGCAGAAAACAATCTTTTGGCAGATATTTTTTCTGTCTGACTTTAAGCTGATCAAGATATGGATAATCAATAAAAGAAACAAGAAACATGGCAATGCCATGAAACCAGGTTTTCAATTATCACCATTGTAGATAAATATGTTGTATTTGAAATACAAATACAAGCAACAAACAATGTAACTATGTGCAATGTAAAACATGAATAATGTAGGAGGAATTGCCACTGAAGAAGTGTTCACTATAATATTATGTATAAGGAAAAAAACAAAGGGCCATAATTAGGTCAAAAACTATCCAATCACAAAACCCCGACAATATGTGCCAGGGTGCTTGATGACAAAGCTTCTGTGAAAGTTTGAACAAAATCCGTTGAGAAATGTAGGACGAGTTCAGCACAGAAGAATTTGTTCACTATAATTATATTGATAATTCTTTATAATGAAAAACAAGTTACAAAGTAGACATGAAATAATATATCATATCTTTTTTAAATTACCTCCAAAGATGATATGACCTTTGACTGCCAAATCAAGTTAAAATCATGTAAACAGGATTTTCAATGTTAATGTCACTGTGACCTTGACCTTGGAGCCAGCCATGCAGAACATGCGTTCTGCACGTCATCTTGATGTGGTAAACATTTGTCTGAAGTTTCATCAAAATTCTTCAAAGGGTTGAAGAGTTACAGAGCGGACAGGATTTTCAATGTTAATGTCACTGTGACCTTGACCTTGTAGCCAGCCATGCGGAACATGCGTTCTGCACGTCATCTTGTCGTGGTAAACATTTGTCTAAAGTTTCATCAAAATTCTTCAAAGGGTTGAAGAGTTACAGAGCGGACACAATTTCAAGTTAAAATCATGTAAACAGGATTTTCAATGTTAATGTCACTGTGACCTTGACCTTGGAGCCAGCCATGCGGAACATGCGTTCTGCACGTCATCTTGATGTGGTAAACATTTGTCTGAAGTTTCATCAAAATTCTTCAAAGGGTTGAAGAGTTACAGAGCGGACAGGATTTTCAATGTTAATGTCACTGTGACCTTGACCTTGTAGCCAGCCATGCGGAACATGCGTTCTGCACGTCATCTTGTCGTGGTAAACATTTGTCTAAAGTTTCATCAAAATTCTTCAAAGGGTTGAAGAGTTACAGAGCGGACACAATTTCAAGTTAAAATCATGTAAACAGGATTTTCAATGTTAATGTCACTGTGACCTTGACCTTGGAGCCAGCCATGCGGAACATGCGTTCTGCACGTCATCTTGATGTGGTAAACATTTGTCTGAAGTTTCATCAAAATTCTTCAAAGGGTTGAAGAGTTACAGAGCGGACAGGATTTTCAATGTTAATGTCACTGTGACCTTGACCTTGGAGCCAGCCATGCGGAACATGCGTTCTGCACGTCATCTTGATGTGGTAAACATTTGTCTGAAGTTTCATCAAAATTCTTCAAAGGGTTGAAGAGTTACAGAGCGGACACAATTTCGTTTGACGCCCATCCGCCCATCCGCCCATCTGCCCATCCGCCCATCCGCCCATCCGCCCGCCATACCCCAATCTAATAACCAGGATTTTCAAAATTGAAAACCTGGTTAAAAATTAACAGGCAGTTTCTTAGCATAAGTGAAGCATATCTGAAGCACAAGCACTTTCTAAATTCCAATAACAATAACAGAGCAAAAGTTTGTTCACATAACATCAAATTAGACATAACTGACCCTTGTCCAATCATCTGATAGCCAGGAGGGCATCCACACATAAACTCACCACCAGCTGGTACACATTCAAATACACATGGCTGAATATTGCAGACATCTATCTCTGTTCAAGATAAAAATTTATATATACACATAAGTATATATTTTCATGCATATGTCATCAAAAACAAAACTTATAATAATTTAGACAAGACTTGTTAAAAATTTACAGTATTGATAGTTAAATCTTACAGTCAAATCTTACACATTCCTAAATGACAACCTGACAAAACTGAGAAGGAAAGATCAGACTGCATGCAAGTAGTGGTTGTCTTAGCTCTATACTGGTTGCAAAGACTAATCACTCACTTTCAGAAGATTACGGGGTTATTCAAGCTCAAATTGCCTATTTTACTACATAGTTTTACATACCAACACACTGTAACAAGTATTCTGTGTAACCCTCTGGACATCCACAGAAAAATCCACCTTCACTATTTTCACATAAGTTTTCACAATGGCCATCTTCACACTCATTGATGTCTGAAGAAAAATATCCATAAATATTAGACTTATGAAAAAATCATTGACAAAAAATTAATTTGAAACATATAGCAAAAAATCTATATAAAAATCAGCTACATGTAATTGCACTGTCACTGTCCTTCGTATTGATTTTAATGAGTAATCTTCAACTTGAATGTTCCTACTGCATATATTGTATCACTCTGTATGCATATATATGAGCTTGTGGTGTACATTTGATCTTGAGAGGTACATATGACCTTGTGTTGTGTATATGACATTGTGGTGTACATATGACCTTCTGGTGTATATTTGACCTTGAGGTGAACATATGACCTTGTGGTTAACATTTTGCCTTGTGGTGTATATATGACCTTGTGGTGTACATATGACTTTGTAGTGTACATATGACCTTGTGGTGTACATATGACCTTGTGGTGTACATATGGCCTTGTAGTATACATAAGACTGTGGTGTTCATATGACCTTGTGGTGTACATATGACTTTGTGGTGTACATATGACCTTGTGGTGTAATTATGACCTTGTGGTGTACATATGACCTTGTGGTGAACATATGACCTTGTGGTGAACATATGACCTTGTGGTGAACATATGACCTTGTGGTGAACATATGACCTTGTGGTCTACATTTGACCTTCAAGTGTTATCATGACTTTAAATCAGTGCATCTACTTTAAACATTTCATATAATATCCAAAAGTAGAGAGTCTTGAGTAACTAGGCTAAAATAATGAAGTATCATCTTACAAAGGAAGAACTGAGAATGGTATGTGAATATATTACCTATACATTTTTGTCCAGTGGAATCCAGTTTGTACCCTCGGTTACATACACACATGTAGCCTCCCTTTGTATTCCTACATTGACCACCAGGGGAACATAGATGGCGCTGTTCTGAACACTCATCAATATCTAAAGATAATAACAAAATGAAACAATTAGCACTGCTATAATCTATAATGTATGAAATATATAAAGCTTTGTCCTGAAATGAATTTAAAGGTGACCACTATCATTACAAAGAGATTTCAAAATTAAAATATATATACAAAATATAATAATATTAGAAAAACTGAATTGATTGAATTGCCAGTGTTTGAAAAGCTAAGATTTTCCTACAGAAAATTTAAGGAAATATGAGGAAAAATTTGACAATTCACATACAATGTAAATTTAAAGTATGACCTTATCACTTAAGAGGCAATGCCTTTTTACATATGTTAAAAGGAAACTCTTGTGTGTCATTCATTCCACTAACGGCAACCCACAATAAACCACCCTTTCCGTTCATTCATAACTAGATGAAGTAAAAAAATGTTACTTGCTTACTCTTTGACTGGGCTTTAACCTGGAACCTCCCAAATAGCTGAACACTGGACCATGTACTATTTCCCACAGAGGGGAGAATACTGATCATTGCAAGAGAATGAAAATATTCCTCATGTTTATAACTAATACAGTACCTATACACTGTTTATTCCTGTCCTGTGTGTAACCCTCAGGACATCCACAGTCAAATCCTCCCTCAGTGTTTGTACATTCATGTGGGCAGTTGTGCTGTCCAGTGGCACACTCGTCTATGTCTGTAACATAAAGGTCATAATAATGCACAAATATAAGTAAAGCACAAATACAGTATTTGCTAATTAACTTGCAAAATAAAACCTTTAGGTCTGTGAAATACACTGCAGATAATTCAAACTGCAATTAAAAAGAAAGCAATTAAAGAATAAACAGCAAGGCATACATGCCATAATTTTTGGACAGCTTTCCGGGACACTTTTCATCGCGGCAATAATGGATGTGTAGGCAGTTGTGGAAAAGGGGGGGGGGTGTCAATCGTATAACGTTATTAAATTAGGACGACTTTCTCCTGAATTTTAATGATAAACAGTTAACTTACTAGTTTTATAAGTAGTCTTTTAGGTCGACATATTTATCATTTTATAGTATTTCTTTATTTCATTTATTATTCCCTAAAAGCAAGTAAGTTGTAAGTTATAAACCCGGTGAATGGGCGCAGCCATGTTGTTCACCCGTTATATCTTAAAGTCGTGATAATTACTACATGTCACGTAATGCAATTCTTCCAGTCATAAAAACAAACACAGCAAGGTGATTTATTTGACACCTTTAATTTTTTATTTGATAGATATATTTACATTGTTTGTAATAATTAGACTTTCGGCAATTTAGCGATTGATCTAAAAATTAATGATTATCGGGGATTAACGATAATTGTTAAGGGCCGTAATTAATTAACCCGACCATTAAACGCTGCCGAATTCAACAGAGAATGTTAATTGCCGATGCATGAAGAAAGCTATTGCCGAGGGGAATCGACAGTCGATAATTGGGGGGCTGTATATTGTAAACTTGTAAGTGTCAACGTTCCTGTGTATTATGTGTACCAGGTCAGAATATGTTTTACGATCGAGAGGTGAAATGTGCGAGATTTGATTTAAGAAAATTTATGAAAATTTTGCAAAATATCATGATTTTTTTTTCCGGGATCAAATCGATGCCCGGGACATCTCCGGGACAGACATCCGATTTCCGGGACAATCCCGGGCATCCGGGACGTTATGGCATGTATGCAGCAAGGCTTGCTGTTTATTTCTTACTTTCATTGAAACTTTGATATCAAACAAATATTCATGACTGATTTAATGTTAGACCCAACTTAAACAACTTTTCAACATTTGTAAACCAGTAAGTATAAAAATGTGATTTTTTTCAAAAGCATTTCAATCAGTTTTTTGTTAAACTATATGAACACGGGAAAACTAAAGGTAACAGTGGCCTAGGGGTTAATTTACTGGCCTCTAAACCAATGTATTGTACATGTAGGTCTGGGCAATACAGAATCAAAACCCTGTTTCCTAGTATGGCAACTGCACTGTATTAGTTGCCAAAAGTTGACTTGGGAGTGGTACAAAAACAAACTATAACTTGATATCTTATCAAGCTTAAAGGAAATCCACTAAGGTTTTCCTTGACATGGGGGGGGGGGGGTGGGAGGGGTATACAAAAAACGTTTTTATTGAGATTTATGTACCATTTGATGTATGTTTGGAGTGCAAAATTCAGATAATTTGCTACAAAAAAACTTTGATTTTCAAATACAAATTCGTGTTTTGTCTTTTTTTTAACTTTGAAGTCCTCAGTAGATTCCTTTATTCAAATACATTTGTTTTAAATGAAAGCAAAAGTTCTCACCTCTACATGTTCTCCCATCCATGTTAAGGACGTAACCTGGGCGACAAGTACACCTGTAAGAACCTTCTGTATTCTGACACAAATGTGTGCACGAAAGCTTGACCATCTTCACATTCATTCATATCTGTAACACAAAATTGTTAGCTAGTGTCATGACATCAAAATAGAATTCTTTCATGAGCTTGAACAAAAGAAGACATTAATAGATTGCCAATCTGTCTGCAGAATGCAATACCATTCTTTAAATTTTAGTCTGCAGATCAAAAGATCAGTAAGAAGATTATCTGATATGTCTTTAAAATACAAGTTATGTTGACTATCAGACCAGACTGTAGATTATTAGACTAGACTGTAGATTATCAGACCAGACTGTAGATTATCAGACCAGACTGTAGATTATCAGACCAGACTGTAGATTATCAGACCAGACTGTAGATTATCAGACCAGACTGTAGATTATCAGACCAGACTGTAGATTATCAGACCAGACTGTAGAGTATCAGACTAGACTGTAGATTATCAGACCAGACTGTAGATTATCAGACCAGACTGTAGATTATCAGACCAGACTGTAGATTATCAGACCAGACTGTAGATAATCAGACCAGACTGTAGAATTAGTATCAGGATTATAAAACCAATCTATAGTCATTCAGACCAGATGGTAAATTATCAGACCAGTCTTAAGATTTTCAGACCAAACTGTTGATTATCAGACCAATAAGACCAGTCTGTAGATAACATGACAATGAAACCTGTTTTCTAATAAAGATCTGTTTGTCAACCTTTATATTCCATGCACATTCTTATAGGAAGATAACATGACATCTACATACTTCTCAGCACATATCGAATGTTATACTAACTACATACCAACACACTGTCCAGTAACACTGTCAGATTTATAGCCTTGTGTACAGACACATCTATAAGATCCTGCAGTATTCAAACATCTGCCATTCTGACATAGATTTGGGTACATACGGCACTCATCAATATCTGTAAAAAGTCATTTAATACATTGTGTTCAGTATAAATCTGTGCTAGATATTTTTAAAAAATGTTCAAACTGAGATCCGGTCCAAATTCTTAGCCTCTGATTGACTGCTCATTTGAAATTGACCAATGACTGTTTGTTTTTCCTCCGACTGGACTGCTTGTTGTTTTTCTTTTTTTAACTTAGTCCCTGAGAGATCATCTTTTCATTAAAAGCGTTAAACAAATATAAGTACAAGCTTGAAGAGCTTACAGTTACGGAAAATGCTTTTAAAGGTGCAGGGTATTCTAAACAGATAACTAACTACATGTATTACGTTAACTTAATAGTTTTGAATAAAATTTGAAAGCCTGAACACCTTTTGTTCATTTAGCTCTTTAATAAATAAACTATTTATATCAAAAGAAACTGAAATGTTATACAAATGGTCAACAAGAGCTATAAAACTGTTCTTGTACACCTTTATTAAAGGGACTCCACTGAGGTCTAAAAACCTAAAACATAAAATGTGAATTTCTTAAAAAAAATGAGCTAGTGCACATAAAATAGTCAGATATGCAAAGACGGTTCAATATTTAAAAATGTATTTTTGTGCATTTCTTTGTCCGCTTTGGGTGAAAAGCATTGCAACACTTTTAAATATGAGGTCAGTTTTAATATGAATAATTTTTCTGGAAAACCAGATCAAATGATCTGAATTATTTTGCACAAAGTTTATGGGTCTAGATCAACATCAAATGGGACATATATCTCTAAAATTATTCCTAGTTCCACAATGTAAAAAATCCTCAGACAAGTCCCTTTAATAACACTGACATGAAATTAACAATCATGAACACTGCAATTATTCACTCACCAGTACCATCAGGATCATATCCTCCACCTCTTGGACACAGACTTTTGTATTCCGCTGAAATACAGTAAAAATTATTAGATAACTAATTACCAATTTCCTGCAAACCAACTACTACAAGTCATGTACTACATGTATAATTATGAAAAGAATTGTTGGTAAAATATATTTGTCAGTTTTGTAACAGACATGTAATGAATAAACAACAACAACAAAAATAATAAAAACGTTACAAATGTGCATTTGTGTATGAAGAACTTAACATTTTGTTTTTGGTTGGGTTTTACATCACATTATCATAGAATAGGTCATTATAATGGTAACTTTCCAGCTTCTGGTGGCTGAAGACTTTGGTGCCCCCTTTTGAATTATTCCACACACAAATAGGCACTTAAGTAGAAATATCAACATTCTGTAAGCTAGCTGGATGAATAGCTTCCTCATATAAAAGAATCCAAAGTCCCTGGCAGGATTTGAACCCACAGAACTGTGGTAAAGGGCAAGTAGCATAAAGTAAAGAACTTTAACCACTCAGCCACTAAGCCCCCTACAGAACTCAACATAAACCAATAACTAAACAATGGTTACAATAGTAATATAATGCCTACCAGTTCCAGGTTGTGGGCAGATTTCACACCTCCGACCCCATGCTTTACCACCACCACAGCAACAACTGGTGTGTGTGGACCGTGGAGTATCTCTAGAAGGTCTACATCTGCCAGATATCAACTCCATGTAGCAATAATCCTCTCTATGATCTATAGAAATGATAGGTCATAGGTCATATAGCTTAAATTAAAGCTGCATTTTATAAATACGTCAAAATACTTTGATGTCTAAAAACAAGCACTTGATTTTGCAATTATAATGAGGTTGCTGAGTTATACAAATGAAAACATCCGCTGCTAAAGAAATAAATGTACAATTACAGAGTATTTTACTGGGACATATCTAAGAATGTCAGGAATTTACTATTGTAGAAGAGTTAAGTATCATGACTTTCTATTCCTGCAGGCTAAGGATTAAATTGGAAACTAAAAAGTTATGCTAAGGCTATGGAGTTGAATGCTTTTAATTTTATTTTTAGACCAGTTTCAGTCCTCTTGGACCTTCATCTGGATAAAACTTTATACAAATAAGTTATATTAATTGATGCACACAAAATAACAAGCAGTTACTTATACATGTAAAAACAGAAATAAATTTTGAGATGTTCTCACACCTTGCAAACAATGAGTTTTCACTATAATAATTACCTAACATGTTTTCTTAAAGATAACAATAATGTAATCCTTTTTTATTTTTTATTTTTTTTTGGGGGGGGGGGAGGAGGGTAGGGGACATCTTTTTGGTCAAATCTCGGCAGTCAGTCTGCCAACTTGTTTACCTGGATAACTAACAAGTACTACCAATGTCATTGAATGTATCATACTACTCAGACATATTCTATGATCACAAAACAGCCATTACCCTCACACCGTTTCCCATCTGTACTTGGTCTGTAACCTCGAGGACAATTACATCTGTAACCACCCTGTGCATTCCGACAAAATCCAGGCTTACACAAATCTCGGTTCTCTCTACATTCATCTATATCTGTATAAATAAATTATGTGCTCTACCAATTAACTACAGTAAATCATGTACAATTGCTTGTCTTTTTCAACATAAAACAACATAAATTAAGTATGGCAAATGTACTGAAAAGAAAGGATTTTTGGCTGCTAAATGTAGTCTATGGATATTTTACTACTTCCAACAGTTTTGAAATGTTTGATTATTACATAATTCATATGATTATCATGATAGATAAATCATGTGTTAATTATAAGAAATCATGTGTAATTTATAAGAAATCATGTGTTATTTATAAGAAATAATGTGTTATTGATAATAAATCATGTGCTATTTAGATGAATCATGTATCAAATAGATAAATGATATGTTTAATAAGTAAACCATTTTAAAATACATGTACATTGTAGGTACTGAATAGGTTTGAACAGTAAATCACATTTATATCAGATAAATATTGTGTCATAGTAAATTATAAGTCATTAGGACATCCATGTGGTAAATAAGGAAGTTATGCACAAAATAGGGCAATTATATGTCAATTCGGGAAAATGTATGTTAAAAAGGGCTATTATGTGTCAATTGTGTGTAAAATAGAATAATCAAGAGAAAATAGATTGGTCCTTCCACTCTAGTTATCATCATGTGAAGATTATCATGTATCAATATCAAAAGGAAGGTGAAATTTAATTAAGTTTGAACAATCTTGAAAAGAGAAGATCCCACAACAGCAAATGTAATTTTGATATTAATGTGTAAATCTGTGATAAAATATCTAAAATCCATCCATGGCATGTCTTTATCTTCTTTTTTTTTCAAGTGTTAAATTAAAAGAGATGGCTATTACCTGTACACTGATCTCTGCCAGTTTCTCTGAAGCCTTCAGGACAAATACACATAAATGAGCCAATCAAGTTCTTACATGCATATCTGCATTTATTGGCAGGTGTGGAACACTCATCTACGTCTGAAATGTAATAATTTATATAGTGTTCATTACATAAAACAGTTTATTCCTTCATTAAAATGATCCTGAGCTGGTTATTAAATCAATTTTATTGAAAATAATTGAAAATACTTTGGTAGGAGATAAAAGTTATATAAATTTACAATTTCATTAGAGTTTTGCATCTTATAGCATCTTATTCGTTGTAAAACATTTAAAAGATTAAAAACAAACTCCATAAAAAAGAGGGTTGATCCCTTGAAACTTCAGATAAATTAGATTTGGCGCAAAATGTTGCTCTTTTTGAGTAAAATGAACAATTTACAGTATGACATGAACGTGTTAAAAAGAAAAGAAAAGAAAATATTTGTTTTTCAAGTGTTTCTTAAAATAAAATGAATAATCTTAAAGTTGATATGAATTACTGTTTCATAAGATTTCATGAATTTCATTGTCAACATAGCAACCTTTGCCTTTGAATTCAATATAATTACTGATACGAAATCTAAATTATGTCATATTTTGTCAGCCTTAAAACAAAACATTACCTTCACAGTGTTTGCCATCGGAAGCTACCTGATATCCCATTGGACAAATGCACCGGAATGACCCTTTAGTGTTGAAACATCGGAAAGCACACTGATTCAGTGGTCCGGAACACTCATCTATATCTGTAAGAACAAATACATGTACCGGGTATAAGCATTACATTAATGTCTTCATCATACATGGTCTATGAAGTTCCAGATAAATTTCCAGATAAACCCTTTTATCTGTGGCTGAGTAGTTAAGGTGAATGACTTCAAATCACTTCACTCTCACAACTATGGGTTCAAATCCTGTCAGAGAGTTTGGATGTTTCCATGTGAGGTAACTATCAACCTAACTTTTGCAGTCTTTTCAGATTATGTCTTACATAATGCACAACAATGTACTAAAGGTCTGCCTTCACCATTAAAGCATTAGGTAAGTTGTCAACTATAACATTGTCAGCATGACTTACCACCCAACAAATATACATTTTATCCAGGTGAATTTGTGACATACATTTGTCTTTATTAATTGCAAATCTGGCAAGAGTATCCACCAAGAGATGCAGGCTAGTCTACACCAATGTGTAAGCTGGTCTTGCTCTTTACTTGCAAAATGATATCACTACTTCTGCTTAAACTATAATAGAAAATCAGATATAATTCAAAAATGAAATAATCAAACTGTTTATTGTAACTACCTTCACATATTTCTTGTGGGCCCGGCTCAAACCCATTGTTACATGTACATTTAAAGCTGCCTTCAGTATTGGCACAGGTACCATCCCCACAAACATCTCTAGTCAAACATTCATCTTGGTCTGAAAATAACACATACAAAGAAACTTGTATTATATAATTATACAGTCTAACTTGCCCATGTTATCACGTGTATTAAGCCACTTTTGTCTTATGCGACCACTTTAAATCCCCCCGATCATTTTCTCTCTATATCTTTAATGTATCAAGTGACTTTTGCTCAATGCGACCAGCGACTGCTAATTAGTCACCTAATTCAGATCAATCTTCATTAAACAACCACTTTTACCTGTCAAGTAATTGTGTTTTAGGAGAACGCCGCCTTGTAATGTTACAAGTGTCAACAATCAAAACACAACATATATATGTGTGAAAAACTCTATTTCCAAAACCGTTTAAGCGTATGCAAATGAAGGTAAGTATACGCGTGACGTGTATTATCCAATAATATTGATAAAACAATGCAGCGCTCGCCCCTACTCAGATGGTTTATACACTTTGCTGTTGATATTTAGTCTGCATGGAATTGACCTTGAACTTGATCAGCAATTAAATTAATCGTTACAATTAGATGTAGTTTGTTTATTTCAAATGAAAAAGCACAACAGACAGCATCTTCACTTATTAGGGTCTTCGTGTTGGAGACAAGGAAAAACAAAAAAGTTTAAAAATTCTAGAAAAATGTCAAACATGTTCGTAATGGATTAAAACTGTTTTGTCAATTAATATCAGAAAGTTATTTTGTTACCAGAAAAAGAGAAAACAACAACATGGTACATTAATAAAATGTTTACTATTTAGAAAATAAATTCAAGTTTGTATTTATGTTTTGGGAAATTATGGCCACTCGAGAAAAACAACGTGGATAACCAACGTGGTTTTAGTTTGGGAAAAAACGTATGCCGACCGGAAGGAGGCTAGAACGAAAATGTTAGTCATATTTATTGACCAACAGATTGCCAAACATTAACAGAATACTAGTCACTTATGTTTACCAGTGTCTTATTGGTATACCAATACGAACTAATTGACAAAGACCGACACCTTCCATTATCGTACGGATAACCATATAATAATATCGGGTACTGGCAAAGCCACGGAGCCAAAATAATAGTACATCAACACGGACCAGCTGACAACCACTGATACCTTCCATTATCCTACCGATAACCGTAAAATAATGAAAACTACCAGAAGCATCACGGAGCCTGAAGTACGAATACCGATTACAAACACACAGATATTACCAAAGCACTAGAGCAATATCTGGTTACCTGACACAAAACACTTGTGTCACACATTATACCGACACATACACTGTGTCACACTTTATACCGACACATACACTGTGTCACACTTTATACCGACACATACACTGTGTCATACTTTATCCGACACATACACTGTGTCACACTTAATACCGACACATACACTGTGTCACACTTAATACCGACACATACACTGACCTACTTTACCAGACACAAACAATTTAGAAGTTTAAACGCCAAAGATATAAATTTATAATATTAACGCTGATTAAATACACGGTAATAGTTAAGACCGTAGACAAGATTGTTAACCAGACGGCCGCCTCCCGATCGACATAATTTTTTTCCCAGGCATAATATGAGTGACATTGTATACTTGATTCTAAGGAGTACAAACAAATAACACATGTATAGAATCAAAGCAACTTCATAACATCTTCACGATTTAAAATTAATGTAAAATGTTCACTATACTTCCGGCATTAAACAACTTCCATGTCACTATTAGAGTCTCTCAGCTCTACACAAAAACACATGTAACCCGCGATTAAATGAAACATATTAGGAGAAAACAATACACAGATACAGTTACAGTTACAGTCTAAACATTGACGATCCCTGAAGTTTGGTCTTCTCCCTTATTGCCAAGTATGGTTTTTCCGTCGAGAGGTACATTGTGTAGATTGCTTTACATTGACTGATCGTGCAGAAGGATCGCCTTGTCAAAGTGTCAGTGCCATGGAAGTATCTGTAATATAAGAACTACCAGAAAACAGTTAAATTGTTCACCAACCATTCTTACAAATGATTTTTATCTTGGAAAGATAATTTGACTATTTATCAGTAATTCAAACTTTGAAAAATCATATGTACTAATGCGTAAAAAACCTTTTAGCACGAACTTATAAAATAAACCAATTTCATTATTTATACTGACAGTACAAAAAGAACAACAAATTTATAAATCACAAACATATTTATAAATCATAAACATTGGGGTGTGGCGGGTGGGGAGTTAATTTGAAGTGTACTCGGACAGCGAGTTGTAAACTGAGAGACCGATGCACGAGTTTTCACGTGCTTATATAGTTGTTTGAGGAGTTTATATTGTTTTTCCGGGTTTTTCACCTAAATAAATAATCACCGAAAAGGAACCCTGATTTGTAAAAAAAAAAACTCTTTCAAAAGAGATTTAAAAAATTTCCTTTAAAAAAAAAAAGGAAATTTATTTTTAAAGGGGGAAAAAAAATTTTAATTTTTTTTTTACCCCGAAAAAAAGAAAAAAAACAACATTGGGACAAATTTAAAAAAATGTTTACTATTTAAAAAATTAAATTTAAGTTTTTATTTATGTTTTTTGGGGAAAATTTTGGCCCCTTTGAGAAAAAACAACTGGGTAACCAAAAGTGGTTTTTTTGGGAAAAAAAGTAGCCGAAACCGGGAAAGGGGGCTAGAACGAAAATGTTTTCTTAATTTTTTGACCAAAAAGATTCCCCCAAAAATTTAAAAGAAAACTTTTTCACTTATGTTTAAACCAGTGCTTATTGGTTAATTCCCAATAAAGAAAAAATTGCAAAGACCGACACCTTCCATTATCGTACGGATAACCATATAATAAATATCGGGTACCGGCAAAGCCACGGAGCCAAAATAATAAGTACATCAACACGGACCAGCTGACAAACACTGATACCTTCCATTATCCTACCGATAACCGTAAAAATAATGAAAACTACCAGAAGCATCACGGAGCCTGAAGTACGAAATACCGATTACAAACACACAGATATTACCAAAGCACTAGAAGCAATATCTGGTTACCTGACACCAAAACACTTGTGTCACACATTATAACCGACACATACACTGTGTCACACTTTAATACCGACACATACACTGTGTCACACTTTATACCGACACATAACATGTGTCATACCTTATTATCCGACACATACACTGTGTCACACTTAATACCGACACATACACTGTGTCACACTTAATACCGACACACATACACTGACCTACTTTACCAGACACAAACAATTTAGAAGTTTAAACGCCAAAGATATAAATTTATAATATTAACGCTGATTAAATACACGGTAATAGTTAAGACCGTAGACAAGATTGTTAACCAGACGGCCGCCTCCCGATAGTCATAATTTTTTTCCCGCCACAGTAAATTTTGAACACAAAAAATTTATATCCCAAAAAAATAGCGATGAACACTTAATTTATAAATTTTCAACAATTGCATCTTTCAAATAGTCTAAAATAAACCCAAGCCTAACAATGTTTAATGGATAACCACAAGGGCGGAAAGAAACAGGCGTCATTAATCCCCAGTGGTAAAAACGCCCCCTCCCCAGACTCAATGACAATTCTTCACCTAATTGATTAAAACACTTTCTCTTTAAAGTTTAAGGGCTTGTTTTCCCATTTTTCCGGCCAAGTTCGTGGAGGATACCCATCCACCAAAGGGGGAAGGGGTGTCAAAAAAGGCATCCCGTAAATGGGCGATCCCGTTTATGGGAAATTTTTTATGTCGGGTGTTTTAAAAAGATTCAAGTCGTTTCCCCCCAAATTAATAATTTCCAAATTTTTTCTGAGGAAAAATAAAACCTGCAAATTTAAGTACGCCTCAATCCCCACCAACCAACCTCTTTTTCCCCCCACATCCAATGGGAACAACCCTCGATCTTTAAATTTCCCCTTGGGAAAAGGGCAGATGCGTAACCCCGGCCCCCAAAACGGCAACGAATCGGCCTAAACCCAGACATCTGAAAAAAATAGAATCAGGTTGAAAAAATTAACGTACATTACAGCTTAAAAAAGTAGAGGGCCAAACGAACCCAATTTTTTTTAAAGGCATCTGAGGGTAAACCCCGATAACCCCGTCAGTCGCCCGACCAATCCCCAAACTGGTGTCCGGGAAAACCGGGTCGAAACGGGGCTTATCAAAAGCTAGCAAAAAAGGCACGAGAAAATTTGACCTCAAAATTTGGTTTCTCCTTTTTTTGACAAAACAAATTGAAAAAACCTTTTTATCGGTCTTTAAAAATTCTAGTAAACTCGGGGACGGAAAATAAACCCCTTCAATATTTTCCCAGGCAGCTTATTTATAGCTTTGGGTTACCATAAATTGGTTGTTTTTTAATGGCGAAGAAGATAAACGATTTTTCTGTTTACTCTTCAAAGGTAAAAATCGTTAAGCCCAAAAATTGGGAAAAGGGCCCAAAATTTAAAAAACTTGAACTGTAAGTTCAAATGACACGAAAAAAAGGGCCAAAAAAAAGCCGTTTAACAGTTTCTCAAAAATTTTGGTTTTAAATTATCATAACAAAAGGGGTGTAAAAATTTAAGGGATATTTTTTTTAATACATTTATTTTAAGAGGGGCCCGTAAATCTTGCGAGGTCTTTCTTTTTCGACCCCCTCTAATAAATTTGTTAACCTAAAAACTTATTAAAAAAATCTTTTAAAACCCAGGATTTTATGAACGTAGTTAATTCCTTTCCAAAAAGTAAATGATTGATTTTAGGGATTTAAACCCTTCTCAAAGCAAAATATAAATATAAAAACATAAAGATTTGACCGGGGAATTTGGGCCCCAACAGAAGTTAAATTTTTCCCTTTCCTAAATTTTTTGAATTTCCTTATCATTTTTATATACGTCATCGAAATTTGGGGGCTACTGCTGAACTAAAAACTGTTTTTGCTTTCCCCGAAGACGCTCCATAAAAAAAGTGGTAAATAGATGGGGTCGGGGGCTCTTCCGGGGGGAGTGATTGGGAAACGGGGGGTGTAAACAGACAAAAATAAAAAAGCGTTTTTGGGGTGACCCAGGGGACGTGAGTTGACCTTATCCAAATATTTATTTTAAGGGAACGTATGTATTAAAAAGTACCAGTTTTAAATTTCTCTACAAGACTTTGAAACCCAAATTTTTTTAATATAAAGAACAAAAAGCTATTTTTATCAAAAGTGAAATTTAATCTTCCTTTTTCAACAGCTATCCCCCCCAAATATATAATCTTTCCCAAAAACGGGAAAAAATTCAAGAAAGTAAATTTGAAAATAAACCGGGTTTTGTCCCTTCAAGGGGGCCCTTTCGGGATTTCACCCAATGACCCAAAAATATTCACCAAATCCTAAAATTTGGGCCCCCCCCGCGCTTCTGGAAAAAAAGAAAAATCAAACATTCCCTTTCCCAGTAAATTTTTATGAAATAAGGGTAAAACCCTTTTTAAAAACTTTAAGAAACATAACCCCATAAATTTTAAACCAAACCTTTTTTCTTTTTTAAGCCTTATCCCTTTAAAAGGTTTGTAAAACCCCGCCTTTAGAATCAATTTAAATCTACGTGAAAAAAGGTCTGCCCATTGGTATAAGCCCAAACAAAAATTAAGTACACCAATTAATGACTGCATTTTTTTTCAACGTTGTTTTTTTTATGAGATAAATATCTCTTCTAATTTTTAAGACAACCCCTTCCTGGATTTTTACTCCCGGAAAACCTTAACCGTCATAAATTATTTGAATCCGAGTTCGAGGCCTAAAACGTTTAATACTTTCTGGTCGGTCCCTCTGTTTTCTCTTCCGCAAGTGGAACACCCAACTCGGACATAAGTAGTTTTAAAAATCTTGAAATTGCTTCTGAAACAAGATTCAAAAGTAATATCCGCGCCCAGAAAATCATCATATAATAATGTATTAATCCTGACCCTGTTTTAAATTTACGGAGAGCCACTAAAACTCAAGGAAAACGCGAAAAAATCCTTTCAAAAGTTATGCAGCTTTTTGATGCCCGAAAGGCAAAGCTTTATCAAAATAAAAGTTAATTTTATTAAAGCAGAACCAGTAATTCAAAGTCGGACGGTTTAATAGGGATCAATCTGTAAGCCACTAAATATCCGCTTTAAAAATAGTTTAACAATTCTGACCCAAATTCTGATAATTTTAACCGCTTCATCAAAACTAGTGTCTGTACCGTGCATAGGTTAGGATCAATGTAATCAAATTAATGATTCACCAGGGGATTATATAAGGTGATAATGAGCCTATAAATTCAGCCCCGGTGTCTTTTTTGGGGACAAAGCCCAATAGGGGGAGACGATTAGTTTTGGCAATGGCCGATGTACAAACGGACCGCTACCCACCCCAATTCAATTTCTTTTATTAATTTTTTGATTTTGTATAAGTTCGGGGGGTTTAAATCTTTTCCCAAGGGGGAAATTTTTGGCAAATTTTGTGGTCACGTGGGCCTTATATTTTTAATGGGGAAAAAATCCAAAAAAACCTTGGGAATAAAAAAACCCTTTTGGTTTTTTTCTAATATTTAAAAATCGTCTTAAAACCCCAACATTAAATTGGGGATGGGCTAAACTAAATTCCTGATTAAAGAGAAGTATTTCCCCCGAATGTTTAAAAACAATTTAATTTTTTTTTTGCTGATTTTAATATCCCTTTTTCTACGGGATTTATTTTTTAAAAATTAGGGTGTGTTTTTCGAAGGGCTGTGTAAATTTGACTGTGGGCCGGACCACGTGTTTATTTCCGGGTTTAGGAAACCGGGGACATTTTTAGCACGTGTGTGAGAACTTAACAATCCGGCCACGGTGATAACCTGAATTTAAAGGGGTTACATGTTAATCTTCCTCAAACGGTTTGAGGGGTTTTTGTTAACGAAGGCTTCATTGCAACAGGCGCCACCACAAATGCGTTTATTTATCTTTGACTCCAGGGGGCTGGTGTTATAGCTTGCCGGAGACGAAATTGCTCGTACGTATTCTCGCCAGCAATACGACCCCCTTGTCTTGCAGCGGCCTCTCTAATGTTATACAAAATATAGTGTATTAGCTCATAGCTTTTGTCAGCGTGATTTGGACAAATACACAGACGCATATATCAAAAAATGCATTAGTACCATTTTCAATGTCGAAAATCTTTTCTTTGCAATCTCTTCGACATGCTTCAATTTTCCCCAATTTTAAAACTTAATTTAAAAATTGAACATCACAATATTGGGGAGAGTTCCAACGGGTTCCTTTTAACAATCAATGCTAAATTAAAATATTCTCCCCTACAAATTTGTTGTTTGCATAGAAATGGTAAGGCCCCGCAATTTTCTCGTCTGCCCAAAAAAATTTAAAGGGGTTAGACGGCCCTGCAAATTATCCCGCATGGGGATTTCTTTGAAAAAAATCCCCTTTTGGGGGGTTTCCACGTGTAAAAGGAGAACTATTATTTTTTACCCGAAAAAACCCGCCAAAACCCCCTACTTAAATCATTTTAACCTGAAATTTTTATTATCTAACTTACTATTCGGTTTTAACAAATTTACCCAAACTCTCATTAAATTTTTCAAATCTATGAAAATTTTGGGAAAAGAAATGGAAATGTAAAGGGCGTGTCCCCTCTAGGGATTTCCCCCTCCTCCCCTGCCTGCCTTTTCCCCCCTGGGTTTTACATTTAGGGCCTCCGTTTCCAGTATTTTACTGGCCTTTGAACCCTAACTGGCTTCCTCTACCCAACGTGGCCATTCCAAACAACGGAATTTTTCCGATGTTTAAATTTCCGAAAGAGTTAAATTGAAGTGTTACTCGGACGCGATTGTAAACTGAGAGACCAATAGGCACAGTATTCCGATGCTTATATAGTTGTTGAAATTAATTGGTTCCGTTTACTAAACCCAATAAATAATACACCGAAAAATGGAACCAGTATTTGCTTAAACAAAAATTGATCTTCGAACGAAATTAAATAATTTCTTGGAAAAAAATAAATAAAATTTATTTTAAGGGAAAAAAAAATTTTATATTTATTTTTTACATTTAAATCATCAGGAGCATTCTACTTTATTAAAACCTTTTATATAAAAGTAAGTTAAAAAACTTCCCTGTTTCCTGGAAAAGAAAATGTCACTTAAAATTTTTCATTTTAAGCGAACCGTTTTAAAGGTGTTTCCCCTTTGGGGCTTTAATACAAGTTTGACTGTATTCCCAAAGTCCAAAATGGAAAAGGATATATTAATTTCTAAGTAAAAAAATTTCTATGGGGGAAAAATTTTATAAAATTTTTGTCAAAAAACAAATAAATATTGCCTTTCCCTGAAAGGTCTCATTTTTAATTAAACTTATTTTAGAAACCCCCAATTTTATATTTACCCTAAAAGTCGGGACTTAACCCCAAAACATCTTCGGCCCCGTTAATTCAAAAAAGATATCCCGGGAAGACATCACATCTGGGAAAGAACCCATGTTTACACATTTTCCATTTTGACACCCGCCGGGGTCTAAGCATACCTCCCTTAAAAACTAAATATAAAAAATTTAAAGATTCTGTACAGATTTTTTTACACTTATTGTAAAAAAATTTTAAATTATTTTAAGGGAAAATTTTTTACAAGGCACAAAAATTAAATTCATTTTTTTTAAAAAATTTCCCCCTTTTTCCCTTTTTTTTCAAAGATTTTCAAAGTGATGATCCAAAATTTCCAATTTTAAAAATTTTTTCACATTAAAAAAATTGGGTAAATATAAACCGGGTTTTTTTATATGTTTTTTGACAGGGAATTTTAAAAAATAAATAGAAAAAAAAATTTACACAACTCCCGACAAATTTTAAAAAAATTAAAAAACTACAAAAAGCAAATAATTAAAAACCAAAGTTTTGCAAAATTTTATCCCTTGGGAAAAAGATCTTTAAATTTAAAAAAAAAATAAACAAGATATAATACTTTTTTTTGAAAAAACAAAAAGCATCATTTTTACTGAAAAATTTAACAAAAAATTTTTGGGAAAAACAATCTACCTTCAGAGCTCCACTGGGACCTTTTCCTCTTCCCATATCCTCACACAAGTCTTCAAATCCAGCTGAAAACAAGTAAACAATAATAATAAATAATGTTTTTAAACAAGTAAACAATAATGTTTCTAAATTCCTAATATATATACTCAATAGGTTGTGACATATAGTCCATAGATTAACAAAACTTGTAAACAATAACACTAAGTATATTTTTTTAATAATTTATCAATAAGTTAACAATAATAATTCTTAATGATAGTAAAGCAATGAGTTAACAATTATATAATGTTTGTCAATTTCAAAACTGGTAAACAATAATGTATGTCAATTTTTCAACAGGTAAGCAATAATGTTTCTAAATTTCTGACAATTATACACAATGTAATCAAAAAGGAAAACAATAATGTTTTTTTTTTTTCAATTTCTTGACTGGTAAACTTGTATAATGTTTCTCAATTTCTCAAATATACATGTAATTGATAGGCAAACAATAATCTTCCTCAATATCTCAACAGCTGGTAAACAATATTTTTTCCAAATTTCTGACATATTTCTGTCACCTTAGTGCAGTAACAGATTAAATCCTTCTAAATTCAATAGGAGTTAATCAGTTATTGCACTCAGGTGACAGATTATAATCAATTTCCATTTATTCAATTAACCCTTATCATGCTTAATTTGTGTAAACTCAAGATTTTAATTTGAATCACTGGATCACAATATTAGCAGAGTAAGGGATTCTAAATTAATATAATATTACGCTAAATTTAACAGCAAATAGTATAGATTCTGGTCAGACTGCAATGATAGAGATAGATGAATCATAACTGAATGTATGATTATTACCTTCTCCTTTAATTGGGCACACCTCACAGAACTCTGAGCCAATATGTGACCATGCGGCACCTGTTGTACAGCAACACTGGTACTTGGTCATGTTGACAGGTATCGGGTCCTGACACACTCCTCTCTCAAATACACGGAAACAATTTCCTTGACGTAAATCTGAAGAATAAATATCAGCATATCTCAAAATTGCTACATTTCAACAAATTTATAATTATTTCTTTTTTCATAGATCTATATAGATCCACCATTTGTATAAGTTAATAAAGAATTTATTTTAGTTTGATTGCATAGAAAGCCATATGCTTAAAGACCTACTCTCATTCACACTAATTCATTCCTAGAACCAAAAGTTACCAGCATTGAGCAATGAGCGTAAAAGTTTCTTGCTCAGAGAAACAATTTTCTTGCCATAGATGGAGTTTGAAACTACATGACTAGTGATCCCTAAATTATAAGTCCTACGATTCAACCTCTCAACCATCCAACCACTTATTTTGTACGCTAAAAGTAAACTCTAGCCTCAGACTGAATAATGTTAAAGAAACTCAGTCCTACACTTCTTCAAATCATTAAAATAAATTACTTATTGATAATTTAACAGAATTTTGTTTTCTTCAATAAAAAACAAAGAAATAAACATATTCACCTCAGAGAATGCTTATATATATTTAGATAAATTGAACAAACCAAACACATGTAAAACCAATTTAGGTGAAACTAGAAATGTGTCCATAGGACACGGATGCCCCCACACACCACTGTTCTTTCAATCTTTTGACTCTAGGTCAAATATTTTTCTGGACTACATGTGCCACAAGTTGAAAACTAAAAATCAACAAAGGGCTATAATTCTGTTAAATTTGGTCGCAGCAAAAATGCCTTCCTTTACTACCATCTACACATTAAGGTTGTTCATCCCTGGAAGTTTAAGCAAAATCTGCCATCCGGTTTAAGAGGAGTTGCGTTCACAAAATTTCTACATAGTATATAGTGAAAAAATCAACAAAGAGCCATAATTCTGTTAAATTTGCTCGCAGAAAAAATTCCTTCCTTTACTACCATCTACACATTAAGGTTGTTCATCCCTGGAAGTTTAAGCAAAATCTGCCATCCGGTTTAAGAGGAGTTGCGTTCACAAAATTTCTATATGGTATATAGTGAAAAAATCAACAAAGGGCAATAATTCTGTTAAATTTGGTCGCAGCAAAAATTCCTTCCTTTACTACCATCTACACATTAAGGTTGTTCATCCCTGGAAGTTTAAGCAAAATCTGCCATGCGGTTTAAGAGGAGTTGCGTTCACAAAATTTCTACATAGTATATAGTGAAAAAATCAACAAAGGGCCATAATTCTGTTAAATTTGGTCGCAGCAAAAATTCCTTCCTTTACTACCATCTACACATTAAGGTTGTTCATCCCTGGAAGTTTAAGCAAAATCTGCCATCCGGTTTAAGAGGAGTTGCGTTCACAAAATTTCTACATAGTATATAGTGAAAAAGTCAACAAAGGGCCATAATTCTGTTAAATTTGGTCACAGCAAAAATTCCTTCCTTTACTACCATCTACACATTAAGGTTGTTCATCCCTGTAAGTTTAAGCAAAATCTGCCATCCGGTTTAAGAGGAGTTGCGTTCACAAGATTTCGGGACGTACGGACGGACGTACAGACGGACGGACGGACTGACGGACACTCGGACGGACAAGTGCAACGCTATATGCTCCCACTCTGTGGGGGCATAAAAACTAAGTACACAACAAAAGCAAAAGGACGAGGAAACATGTTCTTACAACATAAGATTAAGACTTTCCAGAGATTTCCAGAACTTTTAACTTTTATAGAGTATGGTAACAAAATCATTTGATTATAATAAATGAAAAAAAAAACAAGAAAAAAAAACTTGGGACAATGGTGAATTTTTCCAAGTTATCTGCCTTTTAATTTGATTTTCTTGTTCATATCTTTGGAACAATCTTAGTATAACTATAGTTAACATGCACATTATATTAAATCAACCTCACCAATACAGCTTCTTCCATCTTCAGACAAGACATAGCCAGAGGGACACTGACATCTGAAACTACCCTCTTCATTTATACATCTTCCATTAGCACAAATATTTGGTATTGTACGGCATTCGTTTATATCTGAAAATTGAAAAAATGTCTCAACAGCTTTTGTATTGTTTTCAGTTCTGCTTACATTCTTGCTTTTTAATATTGTGTAATACAAATAATCTTAAATATTCTGTCTCATCTTTAAGGTTAATCAAATTAGATCATTAATTGAAAGGAAATGAACAATTTGTGTAAGATGACATATGAATAAGGTTATTTTATTACAAATTTGATTTATTATTTTCACTTGAAAAATTACTAAAAGGCAAGATAATGTACAATTAAGCATTTGATATTTTCTTGACTTAAGGAAGCACATAAAATGCTGTTTTCGAAAACCATAATATATCAACACTCCATGATTTACCTTTTTAATAAATATTCTTATAATCTTTTATAAAATTTAATTCATACCTCTGCACGATTCCCCATTAGATGACAACCTGTACCCATCAAAACATGTACACTGGTACGAGCCGTCGTTGTTAGAACAAAATCCATTCCTACATATACCAGATATCTCGGAACACTCATCAATATCTATAATATTTATATTTATGTTACAAGATGTTGCAAATACTTAATAAAATCTACTTTAGTATATTAATTCAAGCTCAGTATTGAAACTTCACATAACTTTTACTAATCACTTTAAAGTCTGCTTCCTGGAACATACTAGCATTGGGAAAAGCTGTCCGGTTAGCTCAATAGGTAAAGTGTTGGACTGGGAATCGGGCGACCCGGGTTCAATTCCCCGACGGCGCAGGTCACTTTTGTTGTGATTGATAATGAAATCCTTTCTACGGTCATTCGCACTGTACCTCTACTCTGGCATGTACAGAAGTTTCAGTTCCTTGCGAAAGTGAATGCAACTAGTACTGGTAAACTGCTTGACAGCCTGCCCAGGAACAAGGCGGTGGTTGAATTGTGCTCTAGTGAGTTCAATGTGGCTTACTGTCGTGATCTGGAGTGAAAACTACCAACACCACCACCATACTAGCAATGGTGTCATATGTTGTAACATGGACCGTACCTTAGTTACTAAGGGCTTGAACCTTATTTCTCTGTGTTGAGTGGCAGACATCTTAATCAGTAGAACATCAGTCCACTTAGAGTTACTTTAAATACTTTATAAAGTTTAGCACATTTATTTATACCTACCCATACAGTTGTTCATAGCTTACCTCTACAATTCATCCTGTCTGAAGCATGAGTGTATCCAGGTAAACATTCACATAGGAAACTACCCTGTGTATTCAAACATCTAGCATTCATACATATCCCTATATAATTCCTACATTCATCTATATCTGAAACAAAAAAAATAGTCATGAAAATTTTCTAAAATGATAACTATGAAGTATGAATATACATTTGTATATATAAGTATTGCATTTAACTTTTTAAAGAGGCTTCACTTGGGGTGTTTCTGACATGACATACAAATATGGAAAAAATAATTTCAAATTACTGCAACATTAGAAATTTGTTGGATCGTTTGCTTACACCATTTTTCCAGACTAATCATTCTTATAATTAATAGGCAATTGACCTTAACATGAAAAGCATTTCAAGTCTTTCTACTCAAACTCGGCTAAGAATCTTATAAAAAAATTGACTTCAATTTATTTCATAGTGCGTTATTTATCTTTTGCATGCGTTTCCCCAGATGAAAAAAAAATCAAAATATATTTTGGGTTTTTGAAGCTCAGTGGTGCTCCTTTAAGTGCCAGTGTTTTAGTGTTTAATAATATCATCAGTAGGCAAAACTGATTGGGGAGTAAATCAAAGAGAAACTGACAAAAATGTTGTTAGTGTTAGTTTTTTTTGTCACCTTTCCAATACATGAAGATCAAAGTTGCCCTAATTTGTTCATAATTTTTAACAAACATATTTGAAACACATGTCACAAACATACCTTCACAATCCTGATTGACTGACAATTTAAATCCTGGATTGCAGTTGCACTCATAACCTCCAATTTTATTGTCACATGTTCCATTTCTACATAATCCTGGTTGTAATGTACATTCATCAACATCTGAAATACAATGTAAATGTTAATACTTAGCCTGCTGGCAGCAATTAATTCTACTCATGCACCAAGAGCTTACCAAGATCATCCGGCCTATCTTAAACAAGCTGAATGGTTTTGTCCTAGATCAGTTGTTACAGAGAAAATTCACCTTCTTCAAAAATCAAACCAGTACAGACCAGATTACAAATCCTATGCTCTCTCCTAATTCAGCTGCGTGGCTGTTTGGTGATCAAAAGTAAAACATGTTTATCTTATATACAAACAATTATCAATATAACAGTTTACCTATGCAAGCATCTCTTGACGAGGTGAGACGGAAGCCTTGTTTGCATCGACAACTGAAACTTCCGTCCAGATTGATACATTCTCCATTTGCACATATACCTGCAACGTCCTCGCACTCATTAATGTCTGGAAAATAACAACAACTTAAATAACATGTCACTAAATATTAAAGCTAGAAAATCACTATATTACCTTTACAAAGTTGGTTAGCGACTTAAAACCCAACAAAAATCTGAACAGTTCACATTTTGTTTCTGTTACACAGATTTTAAAACAATAACCAATTTCTTCATAAGTGACAGACTACTAATCCCATTTCTGTATTTGTGGTGAAACAAAAAGACGCGATGTCCAAGCTCATTTGTCAAGGAGAGAATTCATCATGCCTGAGGAACAAACTAGCCATGTCTCAATAACTAATCCATATGTAGAACCTTCTATATTACCAGTACATATTTAATCTATGAGAATAACCAACAGAGAATATATGAGTTTTTTAATTTGATCCTGATCTTGATCCTGATCCGTAAAACTTTGTGAACACAGGGCCAGTACTTCATTGCAATTTAATAACGTATACCTACCAGTGCATCTCCTTTCATCAGACGAGAGTTCATAGCCCGGTATACAGTCACACCTGTAACTACCCACTGTGTTTGTACAGACAGCATTTCCTTGACATGGATTCCTTCTACCCCTGCATTCATCTTCATCTAAAACATGAATTTATTACATTATATGCTTTTGTTCTGGTTTGATTTAGAAACTAGGAAATTAGATTTTTTAGAAGATGTTTGATATTCAAACATACAAAACCAATAATCCTAACACGACCCGCATTTTTAACTATTGAACATAGAAGAACCGAAAGTGTGTGTTTTTATGCATCAAAATCACTGTTAACGTTCTATATTTAGACATGTGACATAATCATTATACATGTGACATAACCACTAAAAATGCAACTTATCCATACCTAACCACTACATTTGTAGTCTCGGAAAATAAATCATTTACAGTGAATGATACAGGATTTATCTCACTGATGAATTTCATGTTTTAAAATGATGCATTTGATACATAGATATGTTTATTTATTTGCTCTGAATGAATCTGCAACATACTTTATCATACTTAAAAATAACATATTGTTAAGAGTATTAAGAAAGATTAAAGCAAAAGAAATACAAACTGTAGAATGGTAGATAATATTTTTTCATAGGGAATAATATACTGTAAATACACAGTAAGAGAAGAAACAGTTTGTTCCATTTTAACACAGTTTTTGACACTTTTTTAGTCATATCTTGGTAGTCAATTAGAAGTAAAATACAAATGACCATAAATCTCAAAGTCCAAGATGAATGGCCACCTTGTCTGAGGATCGAACCAGTAACCTCTGGATTACAAATGTGATTCTCTCCCTAAGACAGGGAACAAGAGATGAATGTAACTTCTCATTGATAAAATTTGAATATTAAAATGATATTTATAACTCAAATGAAAGACTGACATAAAATTTGATTGAATATACTTAAAACAATGCAGTGAATTATAAAATAGAAGTATGATTATATACCATCACATCTCTTGCTGATTTTGTTGTACACAAACCCCTGTCCGCATTCACACAAATATCCCTCATCTGTGTTGGTATCTATACATCGTCCATTCTCACACAGGAACTGGTAGATAGCACATTCATTCGTATCCTCTGTGGTAAAAATTTATATATTTTATTACTTCATATCAAAATTTCATATGTTTTATTATTTCATATCAAATATCCAATGTCTATAAATAAAGATATATACATATATTATTTTGACTGTCTTTTTGGTTGGGTATTACGTCAGAAAAGGTCATATGGCAACTTTTCAGCTTAATTGGTGGAGAAAGACCTTAATTGCCTTGCTGTGCATTATTTCAGGCATGAATGGGCACCTGAGTAGAACCACTGATGTTCCATAAGCTAGCTGGGTAACTTCCTCACATGAAAGAATCCATAGTCCCTATAGGGATTCACACCCACAGCAGAAAGGAGCAAGTGGTTTGAAGTCCATGACCTTTACCACTCGGCCACAGATGCCCCACACTTCATCAGTAAATTAGTTATTATGAGTCTATAAACAAATAATTTACCTCTTATTGGCAATGGTTTACATAGATCTAAGTATTCACCTGAAATAAAAACATGTAAATATTAAAAGTATAATTTCTCATATTAGGTCAAAATGCATTGGTACTGGTTTAAAAAAAAATTAAAGTGATAAATATGTTTATTTGATGTATCATCATTTATTAATTGGAAATGTAATAAACTAAATAAAAAAAAATAAGCATTTAAATGGTAATGACAAAACCAAAGCCAGTTTTTTTATTCTGTTTTAATAAATTATATACAACACACAGTGATAGTGTGTGCTTATTTTTAATGAACAATCTTCGGAAATAAACATTTATCTGTAACAATATGTACAATTGTCTTTTATTGAAAATTTCTAAAGGATTATAAATTTACCAAAAAAGGAATTTTCCTTTGTTATTATAAAATTATGATGACAACTGATAAAGCTTATTAAAGCAAAATCCTGTTTTGTTAAATTATGTTGGTTTGTAATCTTTTTATCATATCCAAAATAGGAAAGAAATTTATTCAACATGTCTTTACTTACGAGAATTTTTCACCGGACAAAGTTCACAGGGTGTTCCCCATCCCTGACCTATGTTATCTTTACAGCAGCATTGTCTTTTAGTGACCTGTGTCGACAACTGGTACTCACATCTTGGTGGATCACCACGTCTTGTACCATTAAATACAGCTGCATAGCAAATGTCTTTCCTCATATCTTAAAACATGAATTAGAAGATTTAAAATTAACCTTCTTTTTTGTACAAAATAGGTTAATACCTGACCAATTAAAGAGATTTGGTAAACATTTTCTTCTTCATATTCTTAAAATATGATGACATAAAATAATTTGGTCCTTTAATTTTTTGAAAATTATGCACTATAATACATGTAATATATTATCAATTACAGATATACCTGCAGGCTGTTTAACTACATCTTGATAAAAGCTAAATAATATTAGTTAAAATTAATCTGGCAGATACCATTTATCAGCAACAGCTTTAAACAAATCATGTCTTAACATAACATACATACAAAATTAACGTAATCTCGAGATTTATAAGAGCTTAGTAAGAGATTTAGATATACTTTAGAGAGAAAATAAGTAATTACCCATGCAGCCTTCTCCAGGCATTGGCATATATCCATCCGGACAGAGACAGGAGAAATTACCAGGACTGTTTACACATGTACCAAGTCCACAATAATCTGGGAAATCTACACATTCATCTATATCTGTAGTACAAAGATAAAAGTTCAAAGATATTATTTCAAGATAACTTTTCAACGGAAAACGTTTCAAAGATGACATTTTGGTGGATAATATTTCATGTATTTCAAAGATAATACATTGTATATCAATTATGATATGTGTATTTTAAAAATAAGACATCAAAGATAACATTTCAAAGGTGATATTTCAAAGAACCTATTTCAAAAATACTATTTCAAAGACAACTTTTCAATGGGTAATATTTCAAAGACAACATTTCAAGAATGATATTTCATTACAAAGGATAAAATTTCGAAGATAATATTTCAAGGATCATAACATTAAAAGATGTCATTGCATTTCAAATACTAGAACTAACACTAAATGTGATTAATACCCCCCTAAGACTGCTTTGGAAATGAGAATGTTACTAGTAACAGAATACCTTGTAAAAGAATTGAAATATAGTGTTATGGTTGTGGGCAATTAAAGATAGTTGTGGTTCTTATATGTTGCATTTCGTTTCAATGTGGTTGGCCATTGATGAAGTTTAATTGAATTACTCTGTAATAAGTCCAGAAAGACAAAGAAAAGGAACAAAGGGCAATGACTCTATAAATACTGAAGATAGTTATAGTTCTTGTGCACTGCACTTCCTCTTATTGTGCTTGACCATTGTATGAAGTTGTTTTGAATTCCAACCAGTATGTTTTAAGTTATGCTCCTGACAAGGAAAAGTATCAAAGGGCAGTAACTCTGTATTTTGTCAAAATGGAGTTATGGCTCTTGTGCATTGCACTCTCTTTTAATATTCTTGAAAAATGTATGAGGTTGTATTGAATTCCAAACAGTAGTTTTCAAGTTATGCTCTGGACAAGGAAAAGTAACAAAGGGCAATAACTCTGTAATTAGTCAAGATGGAGTTATGGTTCTTGTGCACTGCACTTTCTCTCAATGTGCTTGACCATTGTATGAAGTTATATTAAATTCTGACCATTAGTCTTCAAGTTATGGTCCGGACAAAAAAGGCAATGGAAAAGTAATAAAGGGCAATAACTCTGTAATTACTTTAGATAGAGTTATGGTTCTTGTGCACTGCATTTCCCCTTATTGTGTTTGACAATTGTATGAAGTTGTTTTGATTTCCAACCAGTATTTTTCAAGATATGCCCCATACAAGGAAATGTAACAAAGGGCAATAACTCTGTAATTGGTCAAGATAGAGTTATGGTTCTAATGCACTGCACTTCCTCTCAATGTGCTTGACCATTGTATGTAGTTATATTGAATTCCAACCATTAGTCTTGAAGGTATGGTCCGGACAAAAAAATCAATGGAAAAGTAACAAAGGGCAATAACTCTGTAATTACTTTAGAAAGAGTTATGGTTTTTGTGCCCTGCACTTCCCTTCATTGTGTTTGACAATTTTATGAAGTTGTTTTGAATTCCAACAAGTAGTTTTCAAGTTATGCCCCGGACAAGGAAAAGTAACAAAGGGCAATAACTCTGTAATTAGTCAAGATAGAGTAATGGTTCTTATGCACTGCACTTCCTCTCAATGTGCTTGACCATTGTATGTAGTTATATTGAATTCCAACCATTAGTCTTGAAGGTATGGTCCGGACAAAAAAATCAATGGAAAAGTAACAAAGGGCAATAACTCTGTAATTACTTTAGAAAGAGTTATGGTTTTTGTGCCCTGCACTTCCCCTTATTGTGTTTCACAATTGTATGAAGTTGTTTTGAATTCCAACAAGTAGTTTTCAAGTTATGCCCCGGACAAGGAAAAGTAACAAAGGGCAATAACTCTGTAATTAGTCAAGATAGAGTTATGGTTCTTGTGCACTGCACTTCCTCTCAATGTGCTTGACCATTGTATGTAGTTATATTGAATTCCAAACATTAGTTTTCAAGTTATGCTCCGGACAAGGAAAATGCAACGGACGTCTGGACCGACCGACTGACAGACCGCCCGACCAACCGACCGACCGACCACCGGGTGACTCCTATATACCCCCCAAAACTTCGTTTTTGGGGGTATAATAATATTTCAAAGATATCTATTTAAAGAAAATATTTCAAAAACTCAATTTTCTATACAATATCTCTTAAATAACATTTTCCTTTTAAATATAATAGTTGAAAGAAAATATTCAAAAAGAAATATCAATGTTTTATAAATATGATTTATAAAATATTCTATAGAAAATATTTCAGCGGTGACAATTTAAAGTTGAATGTTCAAAAACTAATTCATGTATTTTGCAAGAAATATTAAAATTTCTTAGGTTTTTTTTCTAAAGATATAACTTCATAGAGAACATAGCCCTAACAGTTTAGTATTTTTATCATCTACCAGTATTTCCATAAATGTATTTTATAAATGTGTGCAAATCAAGAGATTCTAATAACCCCTAATCCAGTGGTAATGTGCTTGCCTTGTAAATAAAGGGGTCTCAAGTTTGATCTCCCACTCCACAAGTCTTACAAATTGAGGTGTAACATGAATCCATGTTTCAAATGGGGCAAGTTAAGGAACCAGTGTAGCATTTGGCATAGGGCCACTGCTGAATCTATGAACTGCCCCAAAAATAACTAATTTTCTGAGGGCATTGCAATACTGGGTAAGCAAAACGACAGTAATTAAAACCGAAAAATAATGTGTTTTTCTAAAATATCATCCACTCATTCCAGAGTCTTATGATACTTATCAACTCACCAACACAGTCAAGTGTATTGTCATCCAGTCTGTACCCATCAGGACACACACATGTGTAACTTCCAAATGTGTTAATACATTCCCCATTCTTACACACACCAATAAAATCATTACACTCGTCAATATCTGAAGACAAAAAAAATAACTAAGTTGAAGATTTAACTTTTATGTAACAGTAAATCATTTGAAAGCAAAACACTTGTCTAATTGTTAAATGTTGAAAACCAGTTGGTGATATTTCACATTTTATCAATAATATTAGATTTAACCAAAGATGGCTTTCAATCTGTTTCAAAATAAAAGCAACATTTGTGTTTGTTTTGGTTGTTTTAAATCACATCAAGACTATTAAGGTCATATGGCACCATTCCAGCTTTACTGGTGGAGGGAGATCTCAGATACCCGTTATGCATTTTTTCAGGCACAACCAGGTATCTGTGTAGAATCACCGACCTTCTATAAGCTAGCTGGAGAGCCTCTAACCACAAAAGAATCTTTAGGCCCTGGTGTGACTTAAACCAACAGTGGTGAAAGGCAAATAGTTTGAAGTCACTACCCATCACTGACTTAAAGTCCCAATATGCCCCAGAAATGTCTATTTTTATTTCTCTAAAGAATTTTACTTTTTATGTACTTTTAATAGTTTCTCAAAAGTGGCTCATTGGCCAATTACCTGAACAATCTTTTTCTTCTGTTGCTTTTTAGTGCTTATAGTACAGTCATAGTAATTATTTGGATTTAGTATTTTGTATGGAAGTCTATATACTAATTTGTTTACATTTTGCTACTTTTTTGACAAATAATTTCACATTTAGTGAAACTATCTTGAGGTAACAAGCATCTGACATACTCTAAAACCATCATTTAAACATTTTAAAATTCAAGTTGGCCCTCTCTAATAAAGTAAAAATTTATTCGTTTCTGAGGCATAATGTGTGCCTTCAAAAAAGAAAGGTTACAAGAGATGTTTAACACAGCTAGCTGATGTTTTCTACACCACTGTTATATACACATACCTTCAGGTAGAAGAGTGTCTGGATTAGGTTCAAAACCATTTTCTGCAATACACAGCTTCTTATATTCATCTGAAACAAGAAATAAATGAAAAATGAAACACCATTTCATCCCATTAAATGTCATGATGTTAAAGAATGACTTTAAAGCTTTAATGATGGAGGACGGCCTTATATTTCTCTAGGTGGAATATTTTAAGCATTAACTGGCAAAAAGATGTTTCTCAGAATGATTTATTTAACCAATGCAGCTACAGTAATTCAGCAGTGCTTGAACTCTACTGGTAAAACCATGATCTTTACTGGAGAAACCCAGACACAATTTAAGATGCCATAGATGGAATAAATAATTTATTCAGAAACAAGGAAATAGCTGGGTGAAATCACAAAAATTCCTTAAATCTCACTGGCTACTTTGTCTTTTGTGAAAGAGTGAAAGAATTGTGGGATTTAAAATCTTTCAAAAAAGGATCAATTATCTTAATGACACATTTCATATTTTCTACCCACAGACTTTGTCATAGCTTTACAATCATCATTTTATAACAATGTTTTAATACAATACCTCACAGCTTTTGTACATTTTAAAACCAGTTCAAACTAAAAACATCAAACACATACATACCTGTGCCATTTCTTGGACAAAGATCACAAAATCCATTAGATTCACCCCAGCCTCTACCTATAGAGCAGCAGCAGGTTGCCCTAGTTACATCATTGGCTATAACCTTGCTACAACGGCCTGATCTTCGCTGCTGTCTTACGTCAAGGTAACAGAATCCACGTCTGTCATCTAAAAGTATGTTAATATATATGTATTTGTATGATTTAATAACAATCTCATTAAAATCACATCCTAACCGTTGCTTCACTTCCCCTCACTAGGTAGCAAAGAGTAAGGGAGAAAAATACGATGATCTGATTTTAATAAAATTGGTTTCATACCAATGTATAACATTATCTTAATCGAAAACTTAATGGCAGCTAACTTTATCTGTCTATTTTAGGACTAAATTGGTTGTGTTTTTTGCCACAACTTCAAAGTTAAGTATAAAATTATCAAGACATACTTTACAACCATTTTAAGAATGTTAATAACATAATATGCCCAAAACATTTTCGGGCATAAAACAAAAAAGACAAGTTATTGAGTTTACTTTGAAATAAATTTGAACTGTATGAAACAAACATAACATTATTTGAGTTTAGTTTACAATAAAATAAATCATACTATATAAAGTACATACCAATACATCCAGTCCCTGATGGATTGAGTACAAAGTTTGGTGGGCACTCGCAAGTATAACTTCCTATACTGTTAATACAGTAACCATACAAGCAGTTCTCTGGGTTATCACACTCATTTATATCTGTTAAAATAATGAAAAATGAAATACCTTTTTACAGCAATAACATTCTCACACAAAAAGTTTCAATTTTGCCTGAAGTAATATTTCACAATAAATTTTATTTTAAATCTAGGGTAACTGTGACTTAGATTGTTTCCCAAAATGTGTTGCTCTGCAGGGTTTGTACTGTACTCTTTTATTATAAAATTTCTGAAATATTGATAAAAATATTTTAATTGTTAATAAAATATCAAATTTCATATCAAAGTGCAATCAATAAAAGTATCATTATACTATTAAACATAATCTACAATATCAGGACCCGCATACTAGTCTGATTTTCTTGTCCGTTGATAACATCTATATAGTAAATTCTTAAAAATTTCTACTTGTCCGTACTAGCTGTGGGACAACCTGGGCAATACACACAATTAAATTTGCAGCCCTTGAATATATATGTCATCGACGGGCATCCAAGGTATATATTCCGTACATACAACATTATAGATAATGTAGTATGTGCGGATTATAAACTGTGGGTTTCAGATTATATATATATGTGAGATAACTAGTTATTCTACATACCTGTACAGTTACCACCAGTAACATCAGGTTCATAGCCTTGTCTACAGTTACACTGGAAAGACCCATCAAGATTCTGACACACACCATTTACACACAGGTTTGGGAACATTATACATTCATCTATGTCTGTAAGTAGAAAACATAAATACAAATCATGTTTGGAATCAAAATTAAACACTGTGTTAGATATGCTCATTTTAAACATTTAAAATTATTTAGTTAAGTTTATACAAATTTATTTTAGCTTGATTGTGTAGAAAGCTATAGGCTTATTGAAACACTCTTGATGCAACCAGTACTTCATGTACTAAGCAATGAGTGTAAAGTTTCTTGCACAAGGAAACAAAGGCCTGCACCTGATGAGGTTAGAACCCTAGTGACCAGCAATCCTTAGATTAACCAATCGGCCATGCCACCACTCATTATTAAAATTATTTTCCATACTAAGCAAGAAAATACCTTTCATATAAAATTATCATATCATATGCTATCAAATCAGATATTTCTTTTAGAAATTTCTATCACAGAATGCTTTTTCAACGGTTAGCAATTTGTTAAGGGTAACACAGCATCTAGTCGTTACAAATAATTTAGCTCATCACTTTATTTCTGATAAGGTAAATGTTGTTTTTTTCTAAAACAGAAATAAATGGAAACAATGCCTACCTTCACAAGCCTTTTCATCCTCTGACAGTGCAAAGCCCATATTACAAGTGCATCTAAAACTTCCAGGTAAATTATAACATCTACCATGTTCACACAGATTACTGTTCAATGTACACTCATCTATATCTGTAAACAACAACAAAATACTGGTTATGAAATGTACATATAATGAAGTCATATAAGACATTTTTGATATCTTATATAAACCTCGAAATTAACTCCAAATATAGAAAAGTCACATGACATTTAGTTTTCATTTTGTATAAATTAGGTCTAAATTTTCTAATAGAATTTGTATTATCCTGATGAAGTATATTGTCTGACCAATTATACTGGTTGATGATTAAAGTAGCTTAAACCGACTCTGGTGTTATTGACATGTTGTTCTACATCCCTTCCTTGTTTACTAAGTTTATCTTATATATTATTTACTAAAACATTACTTTTAATTAAAGGTTATTAAACAGTGTAGAATTATTTAAAAATAAAAAAATATAGTGTCATTGAATCAAAACATCAAGTACTGAAATTCATGCATAACCAACAAATCTTGCATACAACTCAAGTTTTAATATGATACAAATATATTTCTCATATTAAGATTGACTGACATTATACACACAATATTTGTTTGTTTTTCTCGATTTTAAAGAAGATTTTTACAATTTTTTGGTCATGTCTTGGCAGACATCCAACTTTTTTTTCTCCATATTTAAAAATATTTCGGCTATTCTATTTTAACATTCAAACCTTGACATCTGTATCCATCACCGGTGAAACCATCACCACAGACACAGTTGAAACTGCCAGGTACATTCATACACACAGCCTCCGCTGCACAAACTCTGTCTCTTCTACATTCATTGATATCTGAAATATAATTTATATTATAAATTTTCCACAAATTATTCTATGGTTGTCAATATCAATGTGACTAAAACATGGCATGAAAGGTTATGACATGGCATAATGCAATATTAGTGGTGATGAAATGACCTGAAAACAAATGTGACACAATATGACATAACAAGATAAAATGTGACAATGATGTCAATAATAAAATATGATATTCATTATATAATATGACAAACATGATACAATATGACATAACATGAAACTATATATGACATAACATGATATGATGTGATAAACATGATACAATATGACATAACATGATATGAAAAACATAATAAATATGACATAACATAATATAATATGACAAACATGACATGATGTGACAAACATGATACAATATAACATAGCATAATATAATATGATATAGAATTTAAATATTGCATTAAAAGATTTTTTTTGTAAAACAAAGTACGAAATGAAAAGCAGATGTTTGTAATTAATCACTGAGGCATACAGTCTTTGTGCTGGTAGGCCTCAGTGATTAATTACAAACATCTGAACCGCATACCATGCTATATGTAAAACATTATATGTTGATATTTATCATAACATGATAATTGTCATGTGTTAATAACATTATGACTTAGTTACCTCTACAAGAGAATCCATCCCCCTCAAATCCAGATTTACAGTCACATTTGTATGTACCCTGTGTGTTATAACAGAAAGCATCGTCAGCACATAGATCATCTCCTGTTTTACACTCATCTATATCTGTAAATGACAAGACCCTATATCATCACTTTACATCCCAATGGTTATGTTTGTTTCAAATTTAAACAGTGGGATAAATGGCAAATAATGGTAAGAACCTTTTACCAGAGATTTTGGATAAAATATCATTTTTTAAATCTTTTCTATTATTTTGTATCAACTATGACAATGTCTTAAAAATGTTTCACAGCTTAAAGCTGAGCAATGATAAAATTAGTGCACTGGGTTATATAAAATATATATCTATGACTTAACTAAAAGGCCCATTAACCCAAAAATGCTATCATTTTCATTTAGCAAAAGCTTTTATTTTTGATGTACTGTTACAGTTTCAAAAAAGAAGCGTAATGGCCATATATCTGAACCATGTCTGTTTCATTCGCCTTTTTTCTTTTAGTACAATTACAGCATCTTATCATTTTGAAATACTATGGAAGTAAATATTCCACTATAAGGCAGGGATAACATTTTTGCTTTAAAAAGACCTAAGTCTAAAGACAAGTCCCAATGTATACATCTGTAACAGAAAAAAACTTTTAAAATAAATAAACAGCAATGATGAAAATGTGGCCAGGTTATTACCTGTACATGTAGTAGATGACCCCTGTACAGCATAGCCATTGTCACATAAACATTTATATGATCCATGAGTGTTTTCACAACGTCCACGTTCACACATTCTCCTCTGTTCAGAACACTCATCTACATCTGAAATAAATAAAATACAAATACTGTAATGTGGAACACCTGTTTGTCATGTCTAATAAATTTCCATGTTAGATATACACGTATTATATAAATTATATAAACGCCATTTGACATCATGTCATGACATCATAATTTATTTATCTAAATGCAAGTGTTTAGAAAAGTCCACCAAACCATAGGATATCTAATATAGGATAAATCAAAGCACGAAGAAAAGAAAGCACAATCAGACATGAGAAAACTTCTTGTGCTCAGAAATGTGAAACTAATTTAAGAATGATTTATGTCAACTTTGCAGCTCAAAATTTAACATCATTTACAGAAAGAAAATGTACATCTTTATCCACATATAACATGTACCCATACATTATAGAAACATGTACCCATACATTATTGACCATCTATAAGAGGGTTTTTGATGGCCCATTTTGATGGCTAATATTGGGTTTTGGAATTTCCCAATTTCAGGGAGACAATGTCCAATTCAAGGAGCAAAAAAGAAAATAAGTCAAATTTGTATTTTGTTACTTTTAACTGCACTGTGCCACAGAAAATTGTAATCTTCAATTCCATTTTGTTATGTACTTATAAGTGATTTATTTGACATATACAATATGCTGACAGTTTTTCCCAATTTGTTTAAAATATCGGAAAACAATCCCAATTTGGGGATTTGGGTCATGTACCCAATTTGCTTAGGAAGCCTGAAATGTGTGTTCCATCATAAAACATGCTTGTACATATTTATCAAATTATCATATACAGTGCACTTATAGACCACAGATACATTGTACAAGTTCCACATCTTATATCCCCCTAACATAAAGGAACCCAGACTTACCTATACATTGTTTCAGATCATCAGACGGTCTCAGACCACCAACACAGGTACATCTATATCCACCTGGTATATTTGTACATTTACCACCACTACAAATCTCAGAGTCATCTATGCATTCATCAAAATCTGAAATAAAGACACCCAAATATTGATAAAAGAACAAAGCTAGGTAATGTAGTATTGGGCTTACCTAATTCATTATCAAAATGAACGTCAAATTTTTACAAATACTTTTGAGATTTTTTATACCTTTTTTCTCATAATAACAAAAATTAGTCATTTTATGTATTATTTCATACTATTTACAACTGCTATGCACATGGACTATAGCCTATAATTTTTAATGAAGAGTACCAAAATTATAGGTACGGTAGGTAAACATAATGCAAAAAGAAAAATTAGCATATTACACTTGAAGAAAATAATCATTTCAAATAAAAAATATGAATTAAGTAATTAAAATCTGAGAATAAATTCAAAAATATACCTATATATAAATAATTAGTAAAACATGTAATGTATGAAGTGTTAAAATTCAACAAATTAAATTTTTGATCATCAACTGAAAGATGCCCATAAAATAATATTAAGTTAAAGTACCGGTATATTTAAAATGCGATAAAAGTAAATTTAAAGCAAAAACATATTTTCAATAATTTTCAAGACTCAATCAAAGCCTGAACTAGTTAAATGACCGAAAGCTCTTAATGACCTCTAAAAACACAAACCTTTGCATGTCCGTCCGTCTGGTTGCAGTATGTACCCCTGCTCACAGCCACAAGCAAAACTGCCAGGTGAGTTTATACACAACATTTCACATCCGCCATTTCTCTCCGAACATTCATCAATATCTGTAATCATTGTGAAAAATGATTAATATTTAATTATCATCAAAGACATTTTTTTTCTTTGTAACTTTGTTGTTTTGTTCCTGTTTTATTTTATGCTGATTTAAACATACTTTTGGTCATGTCTCAGCAGCTGGTCCACCTAAATGCCTTTTTTGGGGAATAATTTTAACCAGTAATTACCAATTTCTCTGCAAGTAAATCAGCTCTATGAGACAACTGGCCATTACACTTGATGTCAAAGATCAATTGTCACCCCAGCCAAAGATCAAACCAGCAACCACTGCATTACAAATCTGATACACTACCTGGTGAGCTAATTGGTTGTGTAAGAAACTTTCATGTAAGTCAAATGCAAATAAAATCAGCAAAGAATATGCAAATATTTGATATCTTAAAGATAAGTTTATGAAACAAGATAACTTTTATAATGACAAAAAGCCTCTGGAGTCTAGTATAAAGTGGCAGGTTTGTTAGGATCAATGACTTTGCCAGCAGCCACACAGTTGAGGGTTCAAATCCCCCCTAATGTGAGGAGTCTTTCCATGGCAGCTAGAGAAAATAGGACGTCTGTGCAGGTGCTCGTAAATCAATGAAATATTGCATAAAAGCCAGGGCACCCAAAGCCCTTCTCTGTAAGAAAACAGAAAATTGATACATTGTAACAGAAAAAAATGACCTAGGTCTTAAAACACACAGAGAACACAGTGAATCTTACCAAGGCAAGTTGTTCTGAGAGTATTTGGTCTGAATCCCTGACTACATGTACACTGGTAACCACCCATGAAGTTTTCACAGAAACCATGGGAGCAGATACTACTGCTTGCTGAACACTCATCAACATCTAAAAATAGAAACATGCACATTTTAAAGTTTGTTATTAATAATAATACTAGAAATCATTCCTTACTTATTCTATGTTTTGGAATATCTATGTTTTGGAATATAGAACAACAAATAAAATGTTACAAAAATCTCTTAATAATATAGAACAGGAAAGAAATATAGTTTTCCATGTAAATTTGTGGTTTAAAGTAAAGGTACAACATTCCCTTTAAAATTCTTTTTTAACAATTTGCATGCTAAAATAATTGTCTACTAAAAAACATTGTCTAAAATTTTCATTTTTATTCAATTTTCATGAAATGAACAAAGAAAAATTTGGTGGCTGTTAAACAGCTTGGTGTCTATTTGTTCATTTGTTCATTCATTAGTTTGTTCATTCCTTCCTTCCATTCTTCCTTCCTAATTCTTCCTTCCTAAACTTTCTTTCTCTCCTTCCTTCATTCATTCATTCATTCATCAGGGTTGATATCTGCCACACATTCTTGTATTTAACACAAGACATTAGCTACTTCGGGTCAAACCGTTACATAGATATTGTATTTATACTTACCATGGCACTCTGTACCATCTCTGGAGAGCTCTAGCCCATCAGGACACTGACATCTGTAGGCCCCTTGCTCGTTGATGCATGCCCCTCCTCTACATAGAGATGGGTTTTCCTCACATTCATTTATATCTGACAGTAAAATTATAACCACATTCAATATACCATGTTACTCTGATTTTCCTGAATAATATTTCATCTTCAGATATATGTAGCCTTAAATGGATAAACTCATTCTCTAATTCTCTATGTATATCTAGATTACATGTAGTTAAAACAGAAATTAGAAACATTTCTAATTTGCTATTGACAAAGCATCCTTTCCCAAAGTTGCAGAATTGAGACCTAGCTATGTTTTGATAAGCAAACATGTGTATTTGATACAAAGTAAAAAAAAAAAAATCCCTGTCATTTTGGTTTATTTACATTATAGAATTCATTTTAGTTAGATAGTGTAGGAAGCTATAAGCTTTTAGACAAACTCTCCTTCGAACTAACTAAGCAAAGAATGTAAAGTATCTTGTGCAAGGAAACATTGGCTTGCCCCTGGCAGGTTTTGAACCTACTCTGTCAGATATCATGACAGTAATAAACACATTGCATTTCACTTCTCGGCCATGCAGCAAAAAAAATAAAGTAAGAATAAGTTTTTGTGACATACTAGGATTGAATATTTTTTTTCACTTATAATGAATACTTAAGAATAGTAAAGAATGATAGATGCATGTTTAAGAAGATGTAAAGATTGATTTAAAAATCTTTCAAACTTTCTGATCAATCATCTGCATGTATAAAGTTAAAAAGCTGAACTTTTTTTACATTGCTAGTCTTATGATCTTTTCTTGTGAAAGTAAGTACAAAACAAACTGTCTTCAAATTGTTTTTATATTAACTGTAATGAATATCCAACTCACCCATGCACATTTGTTCCATCATGACAGCATTGTATCCCGAGTTACAGTCACAGCGGAAAGCTCCAGGTGTATTAACACATCGCCCATTTGCACAAATACCGAAAGATATCCTACATTCATCAATATCTAAAATGTGACAAAAATTGTTGACATGAATGCAACAAAGATAGGCGAATATATAACTTTTAAACATTATAACTATCAAATTCATTGCGTTCACATAACCATGTTTGTATGTTTATCAAATTCAGTAAATGAATGTGATGGTAAATCTTTAAAACTTGACATGAACCTTACTCCCATTTGGACAGACAGCATCAAATTCTAGCATAAGTTTTCTTTTTATTACAAACAAAAATTATTTGACGAGTTAAAAGCCTTACCAGTACAATTTATTCCCCGTGCATCTAGAGCGAAACCTGGGTTGCATGTACATGTGAAGCTCCCGACAGTATTACGACACTCTCCATTCGTACAGATACCTGGTATTTCCTGACACTCATTAATGTCAACCGGATGATCCGGTCCAATAATAGTTCCACCCTCCTCACATAATGCTTTATAGTCCTCTAAAATAACAAAATGGTTATAAAATTATCACAATATTTGTCTGTTATATTTCTCCTTTTTTTTCAATTTAAACTAAAACGCAAGAGTTTTTATAGGAGACAGTTACAATAATGCTGGAAAAATTATATACGACAGTGAAAAAAGAATATGTGTAAAAAAAATCGATTATGCTATACATCAATATCAAGAAAATACTCAAAATTGTCCATCATTTTTGCACCACATATCATGTGAATTAGTCAGATAAAAAAATATAAATGTATAAGGTACTATTCTCACTTTAATGAAGATCTATTAACCTGTTTGCTATTACAACATTGATGAAATTTGTGAAGTTTTCTTAATCAATCATTCATTATTTTCATCAGAATATTCCAGCTTATTATTGAGAATTTAATCAAGCATACCAGAGCCGGCTACCGGGCACGGTTCACATTGCTGGCTCCAGGCTTTACCAACAGAACAGCAGCACACAGAACGACTAAACAATCCCTCTAGTCCTCGGTGACATCTACCACGACTGTAGTCAAGGTAACAGGTTGACTTTCTTTTATCTGAAATAACAATAATAGACACTCAATATCTGAAAACAATACATACTCACTTCATATCTAAATGAGACACTCACTCATTACCTCAATAGCTGACAACAAGACATTCACTCAATATATAAATAATAAGACACTCATTATCTGAACACTAAACATTCAGTCAACATCTTAACAAAACACTCACTCAGTATCTGAACTACAGACACTTGCTCAATATCTAAATGACAGACACTCACTTGATATCTTGACAAGACACTTACTCACTCAATATCTAAACAACAGTCACTCACACTCAATATCTAAACAAAAGACACGCACTCAATATCTAAACAAAAGACACGCACTCAATATCTAAACAAAAGACACGCACTCAATATCTAAACAAAAGACACACACTCAATATCTAAACAAAAGACACACACTCAATATCTAAACAAAAGACACACACTCAATATCTAAACAAAAGACACACACTAAATATCTAAACAAAAGACACACACTCAATATCTAAACAAAAGACACATACTCAATATCTAAACAAAAGACACACACTCAATATCTAAACAAAAGACACACACTCAATATCTAAACAAAAGACACATACTCTATATCTAAACAAAAGACACACACTCAATATTTAAACAAAAGACACACACTCAATATTTAAACAACAGACATTCAACATCTTAACAACAGACACTCACTAAATTTCTAAACAAAAGACACATACAATTTTTCATACTTTGGAATAAACTGTCAAAGTATTTGAAAAGGAGAAGAGATTTAATAATCAAAGATCAAAGGGCTCAGACTCTACTTGGGTCATAGATATGTTTTTGCATAATATCACCACTACTGGTTAGTACAAAGAAATATGACTCATGAATTGTACAAATAAGCTGAAAATATTATTTAAATGATGTTGAAACTAAAGCATCTGATAGTTTTACCTATACATGTTCTTCTTGATGAATCTATCTCCATGCCTGGTGGACAAGTACAGGTAAATGATCCTTCTGTGTTCACACAGGTGCCACCTCCTCTACATAATCCCTGGAATAAGTGACACTCATTCACATCTGAAACAATACAAAAATCCTTATTAATTATCTTTATTAACCTTCAGCCTGCTGGTGTCAACTTTATCTATATCTTGTCGCCTTAGTGCAACAACAGAATAAGTCCTTCTAAATTTAAAAGCAGTTAATCGTTTTTCCCCAAAGTGACTTTGTGGGCAGAAAAGTCAGCTAAGCATACCCTTGCATTGAGTATGTTTGCACTGTTCAGGACGGGAAAACATAAACTAAAAATTTCCTAAAAAAATAAAAATTTTTAAAAATTGAAAAACAAATATAAATTAATCATCAGCAGACATAAATAAAATTTTGTCAGATCTTGATTATATGGACTGACCTTTCTATGAAATAGAAATATAAATGCCCCCAAAGAATAATAATGAATTTAAAAGACTGCTCTTGAAATCTCTTTACACAGTAAAGTTCAATATATGAGCATTCTGCGTATGTTTTAAGAAAAAGTTTTCACATTGAAGTAAAATTTGACAAATGGGAAAGAAATGAATATTATTATAAGTTAAGATGTCTACACCTGATCGTCCATAAATCATAGGATACACTGGGTATTTAGTGTAATAGCCAAATTTACTCACAGGATGCCAATACTGGTTTCTTTAGGAAAGAAAACATGAAGTCACAGCTATAAATTATCATGAAAATGATGCAGGTAAACTGCTCCTATTTCAAGAAAATATTTCAAGTTATTTATTTACCTTCACAACCACTAACTTCCAGTTTATATCCTGGCCTGCATGGCGATGGTGCTGAAATAAAAACACAAATAATGTAATCTGAGTGCTTTTAGCACAGGGCATATCTATATTGTTTGTAATACTAATCTAAAACTGGATTTGAATATATCTTGATGATGAACAAAATTAGCAATCTATGGTTATTCCTATGTCCAATTTATGAAATTAGTGATAAAATATGACCCTAAATATTTGAAATTCTCATAGCAAATTTATCATTTTTCTGAATAGTTTTGTAAAGAAATACTAGGCCAAATCAATAAATAAATTAAAATGGATGTAACTTCCTAATATATATAATGTATAATGCTAAATTTACATACGTAAGGTAGAACATTCCTGGCACGGACTTCCCCAACCTTTTCCTATAGTGCTACAACACTCGGCCATGGTCATTCTCTGCTTTACATTAGATTCACATTCGCCATTCCTTATCTCCATCCAGCATGAACCCTTTCTATTGTCTGTGAATAAATTATATTTATTATATTTAGGTTTTACATCATACCAGGCATGTAAATTGACTGACTACATGGACTACATTAGAGGAATTGCCCACTCACACATTATTTTACGCAAATAAGGGTACCAGTGTATAACTTAAACAAGCTATTATAACGGATATTCTAGGTTATTGATTTTTTTTTTATTTACAAAGCAATCTCTGGCTTTCTGAATGGGAAAATATAGCATAGTAAATAAAAATAAGGGGAAAAAATTAAGTCAATACCAACAACTGAGAGTGTCATATAACCTAACCTTTTTTAATCAAAATTCCATTTCAAATTTTGATATTTCTCATTTACAGCTATTTATTTTGTAATTTGACTTTTTTTACTGCAGTTAAAAAAATTTTTTCTGTTCAATCATGACTTTATGTTACTAGTGTTAGGGGAAAATATAGCTTCTTTTTTTACTAAAAGCTAGGGGAAACAAGCCTGTATAAGGCTGTTAAATATGCACAAAAATATGCAGAAACAAAACACTGTAGGTAAATTTGTAATGTACCTGTTAAAGTCCTTTTCCTTTGGCAAATTGTTGAAAATATTAATTCTCTAACAACAGTTTTTAAAAAACAATCTGTTTGATTCACTACAAACCAACAGTTTTAATGTGATACTGAAAATTTTGATTCTCACAAGCAACATATTTGAGATCACTGTAGAGTCCATGAAACAAATGATACCTTTAATGATTTAAAAACAAAGCAAGTGAAGATATATATTAAATGAAACTATAGGTAATAAATAAAGAATATCAACTTTTAACGATAAATCCTAAAACTTCATGGTATGAGTTTCTGGTATTAAAGATTAAAGAATGAAGTAATTATACCTATACAGATTTTTCCGGTTGAATCTAGCATGAAACCATGCCTACATTTACACCGGAAGCTACCAGCAATGTTAAGACAGGTTCCATCAATACATGGTGAAGATGCACACTCGTCAATATCTGTAAATAAATCCAAAATAGTACCATACTTGTTTTGTTTTGTTAAATATCAATCTAATGACTTTCCAGCTTTTCTGTTGGAGGAAGACCTCAGGTGTTACCTTCATACATTATTACAGGCATAAGGCGGGAACCTGAGAAGAACAACCAATTTTCCTTACATTAAAACTGATAATCACATTAACTTTCTGTTAATGCATACTGAAAAATTTGCCGCTTAAATTTATAAGTTCTAAGTTAACCAAAATAAAAGCACAATATACTTTAAGTGTTTGAAAAACTATTATCTTAAGGATGGAAACCAATGTTTTAATGATAACATATTCCATTTTACTGCAATATGCATTTATATAATGAAATAGGCATAAAATCATCTATGAACACACAAACTTTGGCCACAATATTTTCAGTACACAATATCTTGATAGCTTTGTAATATAGACTTATTGGTCACTTACTCCCAACCAAAAATTAAATTTTTTGTTTAAAATTGTTTTGTTTTTATTTAAGAAGCTGATAATAAACAGTATAACCCCTGCAGGAATTAGCATGTGGGTGTGTCTAAGAATGTGGGTGTTAGTCAAGTATGTGGGTGTTAGTCAAGTATGTGGGTGTTAGCCAAGTATGTGGGTGTTAGCCAAGTATGTGGGTGTTAGTCAAGTATGTGGGTGTTAGTCAAGTATGTGGGTGTTAGTCAAGTATGTGGGTGTTAGTCAAGTATGTGGGTGTTAGCCAAGTATGTGGGTGTTAGTCAAGACACTATGTGGGTGTTAGTCAAGACACAATGTGGGTGTTAGTCAAGTATGTGGGTATGAGATAAGCATGTGACCAAAACTAATATTAAATGTTAATATGTAGAATATGAATATGTAGTTTCCTACCTTCACACATCTGATTTCCAACATTAAGTCTGGTACCATCTGGACAAACACAATAGTAGGAACCAGGCGTGTTCCTACACTGACCACCTTCACATAGTCGGGTATTTTCTGTACATTCCTGAATATCTGAAAATAGTCATTGTTAATGTCATTAAAATCAGGCCTTTTTTCCTCACCACTTTGTTAATGGCCTAAGTTCAAGCCCCTTTTCTTGCCACCTTGTTAAAGGTCATGAGATTAGGGCTTTCTTCATACCTCTTTGTCTTAGGCCTTTTTTATTGGCCTTAAAATTAGGTTTTTCTTTCTACCATATAGTTAATGGTGTTGTTAATAGTACTAAAAGCAGGTACTGATATGCCAGTTGATGTTATTCTGACATGGTTACAAGGGTAGAGTCTGTTGCCACCAACATGCTTGCTTTAAACATATTTTTTTAGCTTGATTGCGAAACAAGACTTAGTTCTTTGCAACTTATATTAATCACTTTCAAGTCTGCTTCCTCGAACCAACCAGTGCTGGTGTTATATGAAGAAACATGGTCGTGACCCAAATAGGGCTCAGACCCATGATTTCTGGGTTGAGAGGCAGACACCTTAACCACTAGGTAACCTGTCAAAAAAAATCTTAAAAACAAAATAGTAACACTCTAAGAGTAAGACATAGTGGTTTGTGAACCATCACAATGATGTAAAATGTCAAAACCTGACTTTAGACCACCTCTGAATAAAGATCACCCTGTAACTGAATAAAGACCACCCTTTGCCAAACCTTCATTGATAAAATCTTAACTGTGTACACCTGAATTAAAAGACCACTTGTCTATTAAGGTCATGTATGGTCTCTCCTTTGCATGGACTTTATTCACAGTTTTGACTGTACCTAGTAGCATATAACAGTATGTTCCTCAAAATTATGTTCAATATAAATAATCTCTTAATTTGAGTGAAAAAAAGCATTGTAATGAAATAGGCAAACACTAACCAAGGCATCTTCTTTCCGATGAATCAGGACGGTAACCAGGGTTACAGCGACACCTATATCCACGTGGTATATTCTCACAGGCTCCATTCTGGCACAGATCTCCTCTCATTGCGCAATAGTTTATATCTACACAAAAAAACAATAATTATGCAGAAAAACTCTTGATTGAAATGAAACATTCATTAAATTGGTAATTACAGGTTAGATATGCAGGAATGCTGGTTTAGTGGACCAACAGTGGAAACATTCATTATAATTGGCATTTAAACCAGACAAACAAACAAATAATATTCAGAATAAATATTCTGTATTAACTACAAAATGCAAATATTATAAAATATATCATCAAAACAAGTCTTTCTTTTTCACAGATAGTAAAAGACAGGTTTCTATAAGTTTAAGAGTTTATGAATACTAAACCAGGGACAGGAAAAAAGTATATGAATAAATATATATGCACAGTCAAAAATAAAGTTCATTTTTTTTTTCAAATATCATAAATCATTGCATCCATATGAATTCTTTAACATTTTAAGCTGAACTTTACTCTTTTAAGACAACAGGTATAATTGATTTTATCAATAAATTATTGTTAAATTAAATAACTCAAACACATTTAAACTTGACCGATTCGCAAAGAGAAAAAAATTATAAAAAAAAATAATAAATAACAATAATATTTCTCTTTTTTGTAATGGCATGGCAATGAATTTACTTACTTTAATTATTTAGAGCCCAAAATACAGAATAATGTATTTTAATGTTCAATTACCTCCTCCATTATGATCAGTCCCAGGTCCATTAGGACATAAAATTTTGTACCCAGGATCAGACATGGACAGGCACTGCTCGCAATCCCGTCCCCAAGCTATACCAGGTGGATCCATGGAATCAACCATACAGCAACATTGTGATTTGGTGGCCAACATGCGAGATGGGCTGCTACATACACCTCGACTGTATTGCATGAAACATAAATCTTTCTTTGTGTCTGTAACATTGAAATACATATACAGTGTATATATCATTCTGATAAAAGTAGAATAACAAAAATGAAATTGAATCAAAGAAACAGTTTCAAAAGAAAATATTGCCTCAAAGTATCTGATAATTAAAAATTATGCAAAGAAAAAGTACTAATAAATTACAAATTTTAATTCATCTCCCTATAGAAACAGCAGTTTTATAACAATTATACCAGCTAGTAATAATGATAAAATATTTTTTACTGACCATTCCATATTTCTCTACAATAATATTTCATGTATGTAATTTATAATCAAACATGGTCATTTCTTCAATGTTTTTCAGACTGTGTAATACATTAATAAAGTTTTCTATTCCAGTTTAATAGTTTTAAAAATAAAAAAAACCTCACCAAGGCATGTGCGTCTGTCTGGTCCGAGACTGAACCCTTGAGCACAGCGGCACCTAAAGCTACCCTGGTTGTTGATACATTCTCCATTAACGCAGATACCAGGCTGGCTACTACATTCATCAATATCTGTAATTTATATATTCTTTTTTATTTTGACTAAGCTACATATATAAGTTACTACAGTATATGAATATTAGATAAACTGAGACTAAAATTAATCAACATAAAACAACATGTGGGACTATACCTATGCAAACTTCTCCACCTGGTGATAGGATATAGCCTGTGTTACAGATACATTTATAACTTCCTCTGAGATTCTTACACATCCCATTAGCACACATGCCTGAGGTCTGGCATTCATTGTCATCTGTAAAAGAAAATGCATACAATATATCTATCTATACATAACTATTTTTACTGCCTCACATTCTTTAGAATGTACAGAAGAAAATAGTTACTCATTAATGTTTTTGTGAGAAATTGAAACAAAACTGATTCTGTTTTTTTTCCCAGAACATTATACATCGGAAAGGGCTGATAATAATTTAATGTAAGAACACTTGCCCAACCCATTTGCTTTTAGGGTACCACTTATGGTCACACCTTGAATGATTTATAAGCTCAATTTGTTTTGTTTTTTGTTACATCTTTCAATATTTGAATAACATAACATATAAATATAAAGTAGCATATACCATGAAGATTGAAGGCAAAGATATTATGATTTAAAAGGAATGTAACTCTCCCAGTAATGCTTGCAGACGTTTTTTATGGCAGCAATATTTTGAGAAAAATATGCGGTGACTCAATTTATGCAAGCTGTTTGTTATAAAAGTAGAGCTGCGTTGGAAAAATCTAAACAGTTGGAATCTGAAACCATTTGCAAATACCTTTAGTAGATATACTTCTCTTTAACTTTAAAGCAACAATTAAATCTAAAACCGTTTACCGAGACAGAAAGCTCCGTCTGGTGATAACCTATAGCCTTCATCACAAATGCATCTAAAGCTGCCTGGTGTATTCAAGCATTGTCCATTTAGACATACACGCCCATTCTCTGTACATTCATCTATGTCTGAAAATTAAAAAAATAAAACATTCTCCTTCAGTTTATACTAGATCTAATTTATTTTCATACGATTGTTTTAGAAACACTCTTGAATCCGTTCCTGGAACCAACCAATACTAAGCAATGAGTGTAAAGTTTCTTGCTCACGGAAACAACGGCTTGCCCCTGACATGGTTTGAACCTACGGGCCAGCAATACTTATTTGAATACTTGTCTGACATGTTAACCACTTGGCCACACCATCACTATTACCAGATTACATCATAGAACATTATCATAGGAGATAGCTGTTTTAAACTTATCATTGAGGCATTCACAAAACATTTATCTTATTCCAGGCAAATATTCTAAATCAAAATCAAAAATGATTAATTAATAAGAAATTGATAACTTCAATCCAATCCACAGTTCAGCACTAACATTAGAAAATCTCGAATCATGCAAAATTGTTAGGGTGTTTTTTTTTTCGTTTTTTTTTTAAAGTCTTACAAATAAAATTTAAACATACTAAAATTGTTATTTTCAATCTGTTTAATCTACTTTTAAAAATATTGCATAAAAAATTGTTAACTGTCCGGATTCTGAAACTATCCGGAATTTCATATACTTGTTGGAGTATACCCAACTGCTAATCAAGTAGCGTTTTAATCCTTTTTATCTAATCGTGAGATTCTGCATCATTTAAAGTTAGCTCGAGGTTAATATCTAAAATATGTTATTTCAAGAAAGTCGCTTATTTTAAGCAGGAAATGCAGAACATTTTACCTACGCGCAAATGGCGTTTTATTGTAAAAGGGAAGTAACTCTACAATATTGATTTATAATATCAGTGTTACGCGTCAAGAAGAGAGAAACATGCGATTTCTTTTATGCACGGTCGGATTTATATTACATGTAATTAAGATACGTGTTCTATGAAAATAATAACAATATTATGTTGATATTTGTAATGGTGTGTGCATTTTTTTTATAAATTATAAAATAATTGATAAAAAAATATGCTTTTTAAAACCTTTTGTTTAAAAATCAAAAAACAATGATAAGAGCACTTGAAATATTTGGTCGTTGCATTCTCTGCTGGGACATAAGTTGTACTATGTCACAGAATTTCTCAAGCCTAACAAAAGCTACTTTTATCTGTTACAATTTTACAAGTTACATTGAAATTCACTGACCCGTGCAGACTTGCTGGTTTGCCGACTGTTTGAAGCCCCTGTTACACTGGCACTTATACGTCCCATCCATATTTATACAAACTCCATTTGGACACATATTCTTCTCTGCACATTCATTCATATCTATAATAAAACATAATGAGTCATATTTTATTATTTTATATAGGCCTACATTGTATTAATAATGAGAAGTGTTTGAAATCATTTGAAAAGTAACAGATGGAAAAACAAATTTTCATAACGCTCAATTAGTCAGTGCTCTACTTCTTGACATGCATGCATGTATCTTTTTTTTACTGACGTCACAAAAAGTCGCGCAATCGACAAATTGAGCTTACATAATTATTATTACAGTAGAACACTTAATGGCTTTTTGTGAGACACACTTAAAGCAAAATAAAATCTTAATATAATATAGCTATTGAAGTATCTCAAAGGAATATTTTTTTTAATTTCACAATTTTTGCATGTGTTTAGATACGTACCGGTACAGTATCTTCCACCAGGTGCTAGTACGAACCCTTCACGACATTGACATTCGTAACTTCCGGGTAGATTGATACATTCTCCATTCAGACAAAGACCAGACTGTATGGAACACTCATCCACATCTGAAAACATAAAACACACATTAATTTAAAAAGTATTTTCCCCTTACTAATAGCACGGATTTATGTAATTAAGATCCTAGCTTCTAGACATTTATTAGGCGTCACTATAATAAGTGTATATAAATGCTTTTAATTATTTTTTTCCGAACATGTTTGTACTAGATCGGGTGCACCTAAATTCGAACATGTTCCTAACCAAATACATGTATTATATTTTTTATCTGATAATTTATTTAACTAATAATACCACAATAAGTTGATTAAAACGGCAGTCTCTCTCAAATTTGGCACATGTGGTATCAGAGATTTTATGTTACAGATATATTTATGGTGTCATAATTATGTATTCAAGTCTCATGCAGTGAATCAATATCCAAACTAATGAATCGGTATATAGAATTGCAAAACACGGATAGGCCTAATATTCTTTGTATACATGATACTTTATATAAATGTATATATCAAGCAAAAGGATATTTGAACATATGAGCCGCGTCACGACAAAACCAACATAGTGCGTTTGCGACCAGCATGGCTCCAGACCAGCCTGCGCATCCGCGCAGTCTGATCAGGATCCATTCTGTTCGCTTACAAACCCTATAACAAGTAGAGAAACTGATAGCGAACAGCATGGATCCTGATCAGACTGCGCGGATGCACAGGCTGGTCTGGATCCATGCTGGTCGCAAACCCATTATGTTGGTTTTGTCGTGACGCGGCTCATATGTACATGTACCTACCCAAGCATTCCGAACCATCATCGGATATTCGAAACCCCTCGTAACATTCACATCTGTAGGAATATGTTGTGTCGACACAGCGGCCATTCTTGCACAAGTTGGGAAACAACGAACACACTCTGGTCTGAGGTTCGGGTCTTTGGCAAAGTTTCACATGGGCTTCTGCACAACATAAACAAATGCACATAAGTGCAGTGGAATGTTAAAACTCAAGATAAAATGATCATTAAAATTTTACCTCTTAAGATAACCGAAAAACTTGTTACATAATTGAATGTTACTAAAGTTTCTTTTTTTCTTGTCAGCGACAATATATACTTCAGAGTTGTTGTAAACGTCTCCATTTATGATATACACAACTTTATACTGTACAGAGCCGATAGATTAGTACATTTATCATTAATTATGTTAAAGGCTCATTAGGCCTCAGATTCGCTATGTTTTGTTTGGTAATTTTGACAGCTTCGAAAAATACTCGTTGGCTATATAGATTACCTATTTTTCGCTTCTTTTGCTGTATAAATATAGAGTTTTATTTGTGAATGTAAATCAAAATACTACTTTGTTTACATTTTCCTACTTCTACAATACAATACTGCACAGTCAACATTATATACTTTCAGCCGTTGTATAACCTCCAAGACTCTATAAAATCATTTTCAAAATATTATTTAACACATATATATCAGACCTTTCCAAAGAAATAAAAGATTATTGACTTCTAAAGCATAATGTGCCTTTAACTTGGTGGTTCATATCAATAAGCAAGTGTATATTATGTTTGGCGTCATAAACTCTTATATATGTGCACGGTGTAAATAAACAAATGAATAAACTTTAAATATTTTGTGCACACATAGTCAGATCTACTTGTTAAATAAGTGAAAATGTGTCATATAAGATATTTCATAAAAAAACAACAAATTAAAATTTTAATTTGATGGAGATCAAACCTGAATTTTTCTCAGGGCATATCTGGCACCGTTCGTCATCACCCCAACCTTTGCCGGCACCACAACAACAGTCTGTCAGAGATTGTTGGGTTGACAAAGCGTTCGAACATCTGCCACTTATCACACGTGTGAAACAGTACTTCCGTCTCACAGCTAAAATAGATATAGAAAAATGAAAGGTCAGAAATGGCCGGGTTGCATCTGTATACTAAATATCACAAGGCTGTGATATTATGAAAATGTCCTACCATTGACCATAAATGTCGAAAATTTAAGTAAGCCAGTAAACAGGAAGTGGATGAGCGACATACCTGAAATGAAATCCCACAGTATGGGACCACGTGTATATACCAAATATCAAGAGGCTGTGATAAGTATATAAGAAGTTGCTGAGAAAACTGTTCTAAAATTTTCTACAATTCACCACAGACATATATAGTGGCTATGAATTCACCATTAATGTGGGAAATTTAACTAAGTCGGTAAACAGAAAGTGGATTAGCGACAGACCTGATATCGAATCCATCCCACCGTATGGGACCACGCGTCTATGCTGTATACCAACTTTTAAGAGGCTGTGATAAGTAGTTGCTGAGGAAACAGTTACGAAAATTTCCTACCATTGACATATATAAGATATATATGTATTATCACTTAGAATAGGTATTATCACTTGCATAATATAGACATACATTCTTTTACTGAAAACTCTACAAAGAAACTTGAAAAAGTGACTGGATTATTTACTGAACAGGAAGAATTTTTATGCTGAACCATTATACATTTTTAAAAAAATGGTCGCATGAAAATCAGATGAATCAATTCGTTTGGCCACAGCATCTGACAGAAACTGGAGAGAATTACAATAAGCTTTCAGTTTCCAGTTCAATCCACTTTATCACGATTTTGTATAAATTTTGTGTTTGATGTGTAATATTGTAGCTTGATAAAAAATAAATATGTTTAAACAAAACTGAAATCGGTTATCATTATTAGTTAATACATATCATGTAAGTGTTTTATTCTTGACAACCTCACTGTGGCTTACCTATACATGTTGTTTTATCTGGAGAGAGCTCGTACCCAGGTTCGCATGTGCAAAAATAGCTCCCTTCTGTGTTAGTACAATGACCAGCGCCGCAAATGTCTCTTTGTGTCAAACACTCATTTATATCTGCAAAAAAAGTTTGTGAATAATTGAAATGATGGAGAAAACGATTTCTAAAATGTTTACATCACTAGTAAAATTATATGAATGACGGTCTATAATTTCACTTTTTTTCGAATAATGTCACGTGACTAAATTATTAGTGGTATACATATCTACTTCCTGTGCACGCAAGAAATGATACAAGCTTGCAATGGATTAGGAGGAGCAGATGTTGTGCTCGCAATAAATGATACAGTGGTTGCGCGTTCCCTCTGTGGATACAGTACTCGTGTATCACATGGTTATAGGATTTGGCCAAGTGACCGACAAGACAATTACCATATTTAACCTAAAACAAACGTAAAATCCTGCATATTGGTCTTAATTTTCTTATTTATATATTCACCATATTTAAATATTTAATGTATATTTTCAACCGCAACATAACGGCCCTTTCAGTCAAACCTCGCTATTATGATAATAGCCAATATGTTCCGATTGTATATATATTTTAGAACTGGTGGCTTGAATTTTGTTGTACATTGCACAATTACCTTCGCATACACCAGTAATTCTGTTTAACGTCTGTCCGTCCTGACACTGGCAGGCGTACGAGCCGACTGTATTTATACAATTACCACTCGGACACAACCCAGGGATAGCTTTACATTCGTCTATATCTGTTTGTATTAAAAATAAAGAGAATACATGTACACATTGCGTGCATCTTATAAACATATGAGACGCGTCACGACAAAACCAACATAATGGGTTTGCGACCAGCATGGATCCAGACCAGCCTGCGCATCCGCGCAGTCTGATCAGGATCCATGCTGTTCGCTATCAGTTTAATATTTACTTGTTATAGGGTCTGTAAGCGAACAGCATGGATCCTGATCAGACTGCGCGGTTGTTTTTGTCGTGACTCGGCTTATATAAGAATTGTTATGTAAATTGGCATTTAGTCTACTTTGAACACATTTCACGACAAAAATGGAGAAACAATACGGCATTTACATACTGATAAAAAATAAACATGTAGTTGCTCGAAATTAAACAATTAATTGATGGCACTCTCAGTACTGTATTGAACATATCAATTAATCTGATATCAGTTCAATAAAAAATAACTATTTCAAGATTTCATTTTGACATAACAAATCATAACACTTTCCCTATTTATGTTAAATAATCATAAAATCGTAATAATATCAGCTCTTTTATAACTTTTATATTGATAAGTCAATTTGATTTAGGATATTTTAAGCTATATTATAAAGTCTTATATGTTAAATGATATACATGTATCTTGTAGCTCAATAAAACTAAGTAAGAGATTGTCTGAAATAATAATGACATAAAACAAAAGTAAGGCCAAACTGTCTCTAATTAAATGAAAGTAAGATGAAAAGATTCCACATTTCACAGCAAAACGTAGATTTCCCCAGTGCTATGTCTTGCTTGGGTTAGTGATGGCTTTAATAACCAACTAATAATCAGTCCTTTGTCACAAGTGTAGACACAACACAGGCCAGCCTGCATCCGCCGTGCAGTCTAAACAGCGTCTATTCGGTTATCTGACATATTGTGGCGGCAGTTACTTAAGGAGGTTTCTTAGATTCGGTGACATTGCTTACAGGTTTTACTGATTTTACGCTTATAACTACATTATCTACACATGGTTGTAATGTAACAACAGTAGTGGACGAATGGGTTCAGTTGAAATGTGGTCAGTGCTTGAACTTAGGAATCTGACACAGCAGACTTGACAGACTCACTAACTGTGAGTTGATATTGGGTTTATTCTGGTCTTTTTATTTTAATTTCCTTTCCATTTATTGCACTATTTTCTTCTATTATATCGCGCTGATATAGTAGTTAATCAGTTAACATGTAAAGACTCATGTATTTTGACCATTGGAATGTGTCATTTACTCTTAGACAAAACATTTGACAGTCGTTGACCTTTAATACAAATCTGATCAATCTTGACACTATTTGAGGACCATTTAATGAAATATTTGTTCAGGGATAACTTTCGCCAGGCGTATGAATACCTTTGACAGTGTACCGCATTTTATCACACTTCTGGGCGTGACTTGTATACAGCTTAGATATAATGTTTAATATAGAAAATATATATGATTAAAATATATGCTCATGATTAAGGACTTACAAATATTCTTTTTTTTTTTAAAAGTCAGGATGTTTAAAGCAAAATACATTTATTAAAATCTTCACACGATAAAAGAAACCGGATTTTAATTTAAAAGATATTAATGTAATGTTCACGGACCCTTTTATAGTACATACTTGACCAAAAAATAATACAAAGTCAAGACAAAAAATGAAATTTGCTCGAACATGAAAACATATATAATAGTTTTACAATGTAGTGTCTTTATCTCAATTTTAGTTTTATATCCTATTTTCCAGTTATTCCATTTGTTGTTAATTAAATCGTTGTGTCTGTGAACACATTCATTTTCATGAAATTTAAGGTCTGGTTGCTCCAATACAAGAGAGCCATTATGCAGTATAGTAAAACCAAACTTTACTGAAATGCAAAGGTTATGCCATCGTTACAACTGCTGGAAATGAATGTTAGCCATCTAACCTGACCTGTAGCTTTAAAGATCATGTGTGTTGTAATTGAGGTTGTATACCACACTTAAGTGAAATTATATAATTATATGTATATAATTATACTTATAAAACAATTTTCAAAAATCGAAGAATATGTAAAATATGTACTGCAAATATTTGTACATATTATATGTAATCATTAAAATATATTGAACAATTTGACTTAGACTTTAAAGAAAATGATTTTTATTACCTCCCTTTATTTACATGAAATGTTCTATTAATCGCAAACTTACCTTGACACGTGTTTTTCTGTATATTCAATATGTAACCTCTCTTACAAGGGTGCGGATTGGCTGGACATTGCTCACAGGGATCTCCCCATGCCATGCCGAGAGTGGAGCAACATAGATGTTTCGTACAGATGACGCCAGGAAGCGCACCTCGGCACATGTTGTTTGAGAGTTGAGTATAACATGGACCTGTTCTTAAATCTGAAATAAGACGTTTAGTAAGTAGGCATTCAGCAGAATTCGTTTGTATGTTTTTTCTCTGGTGTTAAAACGATTTTACCACATTTTGGTTATATCTCAGTGGGCGATCCACCTGACAGGCTTCCTGGATAATTAACCAGTATTTACCCATTTCTTCACAATAGCCTTCTAACATCACATGAGTCCGAGGTCAATTGTTACGTAGAAGTTATGCCTCGGTCAAGGATCGAACCAACGATCCCTGTTTTTTTTATCCGATGCCCTCCCTATTGAGTTAAGAAAAAAATCTAAAGGCTATCCAATATAAGTGGAAAATTTAAAATCAAAATAAGCGAATGTGAACGTTTGCAGTTGCTAACGTAGAAAATAATTATGTAGTCAATGACTGTCGGACCTTTACAGTCCGACTCCGCGACGAGTTATCGGAAATGGCCGAAAAAGGTCCGATAGGAACTCGCAAAATAATTGTTCAGTTTGTTGATGGTTTGTATACCTACCGTTGTCACATGATCCGCCGGAGAAACCGGAAGGACATCTGCAGAGGTTTCGTGCCACACATACGCCACCGTTCTTACACGGTGGATTACATAAAGACGATGTTCCTACAAGAAATTACACGATGTATTTTCTACGAATATGTGCATATAGAATATAAACGGTTTACAATAAATGGTAGTTGATTTTGCAAGACTAGTACAACTTTTTTCATTCAATTCATAGGCGAATAAATAATAATTGATACATTCCTAAATAACATATTCCTTTGCAATAATGATAATATCTTATTCCCAATGAGACTTTGAAAATGAAATATATATCAAGTCATGCACTGTATGAATGATTGTGTTTCTGTGGAAAGACAATTGTTGCAGGTGTCAAACATTACCTCCTCCCGACGTCTTAGAGCCACAATACGGAGATATCTGACCAGTTCCGCATAAACACATGCCCGGCCTCATACATATACCTCCGCTACCACATCCCGCAACACATATTGCTGAAACACGAGATAAACGTGCATTTTATCAATTTTGTCCGCGGATTGTGATTTAGACAAATAGTCACAGTAACATACCTAAGATGCAGTTCAAATTATATCGGCGGAGGATTACTTTACTAGTTAGATTGACTTATTGTAGAAATATAAATTTGGAACAGTCAGAATGTAAATTCAGCTGCAAAATAAAGCGTACAGTACATGAACAAAATAGTGGCAAATTTGGTATCAACATTTGCAGAAAAGTATTGACCATATAATGAAATATACCCAACATTTCGCTTTATTTAATGTCATGCAGAAAAGTATTGACCATATAATGAAATATACCCAATATTTCGCTTTATTTAATGTCATGCAGAAAAGTATTGACCATATATTGAAATATACCCAATATTTCGCTTTATTTAATGTAAACTATTCTTTCTTTATACAATTCTGCAAATTTTGTTACAAATATGCCCAATATTTTGGTTTAATAAGTGTATAAAATTTCTCTGTAACCAAGAAATTAACCTTACTATCACTATGTGTTACTAAAATATAATTATGCATACTGTATTTGCATGTTACATGTATATTGTGAAGATACAACTCGATTAATAACGTCTTGATAAACTAGCGCGAATCATCAAAACGCGCAATGATGGCGCTTATTTGACGCTATACATAAATTGCTGACTTTACATTACACTAGAATCAGAACGATATGCAGTCTGTTTTAAAGAAAAATTGGCAACAATTTATCATTCAGTGTTTACTTTGGGAGGTAAATTTGTTTGAATGAAACCAGAATTTATAATGTAAACGAAATTACGATGATTCAGACGAAATTAATCGGTTACCTGAATCAGAGCTAACTTATCATCTTTTAACATGATTTCCACTATGTTTTATTAATGATTTCCAAAATCTAAAATCATTATAAGATATCAATACACGAAATTACCGCTGTGTTTCCAAAAAAAAGCCCCGGTCCATTATCCAGCTATTCTATTAAAAAACTGATTTTTATGTAAGTTTTCACAAATACTCTGTCAGTATAAGTCTTTGGATGAAATTATCAAGACAGAGTAATTGTTTTAAGTAAGTCCATCTTTTGTTATGACACTTGTATTAGAAGTTGGTAAGTAATATATGGTATCAGTACAGAAAAGTCTGATATGGTGCCAGTATTGGTTAGTTTGAAAAGGTACCAGTATTGATTGTTTCGATATGGTACCAGTATTGTTAATTTAAATATAGAATCTGTATATAATGTACCAGTATTTGTAAACATGGTATGGTATCAGGTCTGATAAGTCTGATATAGTATCAGTATTGGTAATTATGATACGGTAACAGTATTTATAAGTATAATTATGTACAAGCTTTTGCAAGTCTGGTATGGTATCAGTATTGGTAATTCTGAAAAGGTACCAGCAATGATCTGTCTCATATAGTGCCAGTATTGTTATGTCTGATATAGTACTAGTATCAGTATAAGTAAGTCTGATATAGTACTAGCACCAGTATTGGTAAGTCTGAAAAGGTACTAGCAATGATCTGTCTCATATAGTAACAGTATTGTTATGTCTGATATAGTACTAGTATCAGTATCAGTAAGTCTGATATAAAACTAGTACCAGTATTGGTAAGTCTGATATAGTACTAGTACCAGTATTGGTAAGTCTGAAAAGGCACTAGCATTGATATGTCTCATATAGTACTAGTATCAGTATCAGTAAGTCTGATATAAAACTAGTACCAGTATTGGTAAGTCTGATATAAAACTAGTACCAGTATTGGTAAGTCTGATATAAAACTAGTACCAGTATTGGTAAGTCTGATATAGTACTAGCACCAGTATTGGTAAGTCTGATAGAGTACCAGTATTGGTAAGTCTGATATAGTACTAGTACCAGTATTGGTAAGTCTGATAGAGTACCAGTACCAGTATTGGTAAGTCTGATATAGTACTAGTACCAGTATTGGTAAGTCTGAAAAGGCACTAGCATTGATATGTCTTATATAGTACAAGTATTGGTAAGTCTGATATAGTACTAGCACCAGTATTGGTAAGTCTGATAGAGTACCAGTATTGGTAAGTCTGATATAGTACTAGTACCAGTATCGGTAAGTCTGATATAGCACTAGTACCAGTATTGGTAAGTCTGATATAGCACTAGTACCACTATTGTTGAGTCTGAAAAGGTACTAGCATTGATATGTCTCATAAAGTACCAGTATTGGTTAGTCTGATATTGTGCTAGTACAAGTATTGGTAAGTCTGATATTGTGCTAGTACAAGTACTGGTAAGTCTGATATAGTACTAGCACCAGTATTGGTAAATCTGTTTGCACTAGTACCAATATTGGAAAGTAAGACGTATTTTTTCCGGGGTCATTTTGAGGTAATTTTCGACGCATTTCTAGATAATTTTTTTTTTCGATGTATGTTTTTTTGTACTTAATTTTTTGTGTCAATCTCGACGTAATGTTTTATTATTCACGCTGCTGCAATTCTTTGTCAATATAAGTTAATTGATCAGTAAAGCAGATTTCCGTATACTTGGGAAATGAAGATCTATCTTTATCTTAATTTCCAACATGATTACGAAAAAGCCTATTATAGAGATAATTAAAAGACTTACGAACTATACACCTCCTACCGCCCGGATGTGCCGACCATCCCCTACAACACTGTCGACTTCTACTGCCTCCACAGACATTCGACCTAAAATGTTAATATGAATAATGACTTATACGATATAAAGCCTTGTGTGCCGTCTAAGGGACATTTACAAATTACAAATGAATCTGAAAAAAGACCAACCCAATTGGATTCAAACTCCCAACCAACGGCGGTAAAGAACTGCCCTCTAGACAACTGAGCTAAATAATCGATACCCTGACGCAGTTGTCAGAGGTTGCATCTATGAATGCGCTATTAAAATAATTATTTGTGCCTGTTTAGGACATATCTAAATAAATATCTATTGTAATGAAGTCTACCAAGAACGCTATAAACTCAACAATTCATACACAAAAGAAAAAGTTCCTACATTGCATTTCCTTCTGGATGTTTCCTATTCTCAGGTGAGCAAAATATCAAAATGCCGATTGTTGATAGTTACATATGAAATAAAAACATATGCTATCTGATTTCTAATTTATACGAGTATTAATGATATGGAGATTTATTTTGTAATTATGTCGTAATTGAGCATTCATATAGATGCTTCATTCACATAGATTCATATAGATGCTTTACGTATACACCACGGATTTATATTATAATTAAGATATGTGTTTAAACATATCAATTATTACCTTCCCCGGTCATCATTTTGAGGGTAATAACTAAAAAAAACATGTGCTTTTTATAACATAATTTTTTTGTTTGTTCGCAGCTAAATGGCATCGATCTATATTTTTACTTGAACGGATATTATTGATATTGAGCATAATTATGCAACAGATCAAGACGGCGACATAAAAAGATTATAACCCGATAATATGTATTTATTTTCATTATCTATTTTTTTTATATTTATTTTGTTTGTTCACATTCTGAATCTAATGCTTTTGAAAAAGTTCATGCTTAGAGGTATCTTCACATTGATGTATTAAAGACGTTTAGGAATTGAAAAATAAATTCTAGATACATAGATGTATAACTTTGGACGAAATTCAATTTCAAATGCAACTTTATTAAGACGTCAAACCAAATAGTAAGAAAGAAGTTAAAATCATTGATTTTTTTTGATTAACTCTTTTCTCAGGTATCATTATCCGGTTATCGTCTGCTGGGATATGGAAAGATATGAAGTTAGTTTTAGATTTTCATTTATCGCCGAGCATGCAAAAAACAGAAGATCCTAAGTCTAGCAGACAGGAAATTGACGAAATGTTTGTTTATCCACTTTCAAACTGATAATATAAATAAAATGTCTTAAAACTAGAAACATTTAACTCTTTGCATTAAATATAGGAAAAAAATATTTCCTGTTCTGTAAAAAACGAATTGATTTTAGATGAAGAGAAATAATGGCGTCTAAAAAAACTATACGATAATTAAACACTCGTTTTTTCTGCATTTTGAAATGCTTAGGCATTGGTTATAAATCTTGCTTATAATTGACATCTACTGCAAAATAATGGAAGTATCCCGAAAAGCAAGAGCTGAATAAGTTTTCATAGAACGGAGAAAAGTCAGTGCAATACATTTTTTTTCTCTTTTTTTTTTTTTTTTTTTTTTTTTTGCAAAATAGCAGTTAAAAGCCCTAATGGTTTATGTGTTATGAATGGGAGCAAATCACACATGATTTATTGTATGAGACAGATAAAAAATAAGTCTTAATGTGCAATAAAATAAGCGCTCATAGTATATGAGTTGGAAGCTCTGTCAATCAGTCGGTAGATATAAATGTAAGAAGTAAGTTAGTTAGTATTAATGCATTATTCAGCGAAACCATGTGGGACTCAATCTGCAATAGTCGGATGATATAGATTTGAGCCGCGTCACGACAAAACCAACATAATGGGTTTGCGACCAGCATGGATCCAGACCAGCCTGCGCATCTGCGCAGTCTGATCAGGATCCATGATGTTCGCTTACAAACCCTATAATAAGTAGAGAAACTGATAGCGAACAGCATGGATCCTGATCAGACTGCAGGCTGGTCTGGATCCATACTGGTCGCAAACCCATTATGTTGGTTTTGTCGTGACGCGGCTCATTTAAATATATTAAAACTTGATTTTCTACATATTTAATGCGATCGGGAGTCACTGAGAATACCTGAAAGACTGACCAAAATCATGCAAGTGGTTGAAGTGGAACGGTAATATATCGACAGCATACTGAAATTTTAAAAGAAAATGTATTCTCTTTTTCGTGGAGGCAAAATAGCTTTTTCTTTGCAGTAGTATGAGTATAGTAATGAGTTATTGTTCCATGTATTGCTCTGAGGCATTTTAATACAATGATATAATTCTTAATATATTACCATATAAAAATGTCAGTGTGCCGATCGCAATATAATATTGTAAGGAAAGCATTTTTTAAAGTTTCCTTTTTTATAGAAAGTTCCCTATCGGTTTAGTTAAATTGTTAATTACAAGGAACATATTCTATTTGTGTTGTTGGTTTAAGTCTCAAGGATATGAGAAAACCTTGGGCACCCTTCTTTGCAGAGTGAGCACCAGTGTAATATTGTATACTAAATAGATAGCTTTATTACGTCAAACATAAAAAAAATGTTTATAGTTATTATACTTATTTAAGCTCGATTCTTATTTCAGCTCGATTCTGAAACTTAAATCGACCACTTTCGAGTCGGCTTGTTGGAACTAACCAGCACTGATGTCATATGAGAAATCATAGTTGTGACCCAAGTAGGGATCGAACTCATGTTACCTGGGTTCAGTGGCATATACTTTAACCACTAGGCCATGGTTCCCCTTCTAAACATTTATTGAAGCCTTTGGATGGAATTTAACCCATTGTCATGAGATTTACTGAACGATAGTAAAATAAAACATAAAACAAAATTGACTATGGACGCTAAAGTATAAGAATATGTCTCAATATAAATAAGTTGGAAATAAAACTAAATATGAGACGTTTACAACGGAATTACTTACCCTGTCAGAGAGGATCCGTCGTTCTGATACTGTCGTAGCCGCCGTCGTCGGGCGTCCGATTGTCCGTTGAAGAGTATAAATACCAAAAACACTGTACATAGAATCTTTATACAGAAATGGAATGCCATCTTAGTTGAAAATTTTAATACTTTTATCACAGAATTGTTTTATGGTAAAAGCGGAATCTCCTGGTAATAGTGATATGTTGTTGTTGTTGTTTTTATATGAGATACTGAATGGTTCACATGTTTCATAACCCAAAGTTGCTAAAATTTGAGAGTTTTGGAAATATCATTTGCTATCAATTATACTAATATAATTTATCTGTTTCACTGCATTAAAGAAATGGTTTAACATTCGTTAAAATAGTTTCATAGAAACATAGAATTATTTGGTTAAGAGATTTATTAGATATGATTAGATCTTTCTCTTATCTTTCAAGACTAGACGTGGAGGGGAGGGGGGGGGAGGGGGGAGATGTGTAATATTACTTGTGTAAGAAGATGTATTGGGAATACCCTTTAAAATGACACGAAGTGTGTTGTTTACTTTTTAGTTGTTTTTTTTTACATCTTCCCGGAGAAGGTTTTACTCAAATCTTCAAGGGAATGACTATACCATAGTATTTGTTGATTTGTGGGTATCAATGGCCACATAGCCACAAAAAAGCTAGTGGTGGTCTAGCGTATATTTACAATGTAGTGAATTCGTATAGGTTCAAGCACTAGTACGGGGTGGGGACTGGGATGGGTTTTTTAACCTTCGGTGATATGACAGCACAATCGAGTCTAGACTGATCTACTTCAATAGGAGCTGTGCGTGACTTTCAAATTCGACTTGCTTGAAATGTATTGAAAATTTCATGCTAATATTTGAGCCGTGTCACGACAAAACCAACATAATGGGTTTGCGACCAGCATGGATCCAGACCAGCCTGCGCATCCGCGCAGTCTGATCAGGATCCATGCTGTTCGCTATCAGTTTCTCGACTTGTAAAAGGGTTGGTAAGCGAACAGCATGGATCCTGATTAGACTGCGCGGATGCGCAGGCTGGTCTGGATCCATGCTGGTCGCAAACCCATTATGTTGGTTTTGTCGTGACACGGCTCATTTGTAATCATAGATATATTGGTATAAATCAAATACAAAAAAAAACAGCAACACGATAACTGAGGTATCAACCAGTAGTATTAATGCTTAAAGCATCTTATATTTGTTTGAACAAACTTCATAACAAATTGCCATATCAGTCGACGGATTTATTTACGAAACTTACAGATGCCAATAGATAATATGATTGAATGTTAAGCGCGAAGGAAACGTGAAATAAATTGAGTTACGAAACACGTGAAACAGACAATAACTGTACCTTTAAAAGTTTCGTCTATTAGAAAGCCATTGGCAGGAATGCGTTTATAATGAAGAAATGCATGGGCCTATCAAAACCGTTAAAAGTTTTTGCATTCTTCTATTAAATTTGACTTAGTTTTTGCAACTTTGCCATCTGCAAGAGTATTTAACGCTGCACAAAAATCCACATTCCTTCATCAGTTAATTATGTTTATATATCCGAAAATATTTTCTCAGAATAGAACTGATTGATACGTTTTTACTCTGTTGTATTTTTTTTACGTTCACACGGAAATACTGTTATATACTCAAGTCCATTCATCTACGCATAAATCCATTCAAATTTTCACAACAACTCACAACGTTGTACACTTTCCTCCCATATTCCTAGTTAAGAACTCACAAAACAAAACTTTTCCCCGCAGATTTTCATTCCACTAACACAATGTGATAACACAAACAAAAAATAACTAAATCTTTCAAAACCTTAAACTAAATCATGCATTTTTTGCTTTCATAAACTTCATTCTACCGTCCATGGTTTTGCTTACATTATACAGTGTACGTATCAAGACGTGATGGTATGTCATTCATACTGTGCTGATAAGCATTAGGCTGAGATATGGCAAGTATAAACATTATCTCGAGTTACTCAACTTCCAGCTGGGTAATCATCAACAAGTTTCTTATAATTTATTTTCATTTACTCTCTCCCTCTGTTTAGAATATTGGCCAGAATCCACTGTGTAAATTGAACACTATAAAAATTATCTCAATATTTTAAAGGAACTTTATCATATATGTAGGGATAAAGGTGAAATTATCATATCATATTAGACTTTGCCGACTACATAGATATTAAAAGAATGTGTAGATTTTCAGATACTCTTTTATTGCAATTGTAGTGGCTGATTTTTTACATTGATTTAATCAGTCCAAGAACTTGTTCCTTCTTGTGCAACTGATTAATGCATTGGCTTAAAAATATTGAATCTAGGTACATGTATTTAAATATCTTTATCGTCATTTTGTATTTTAGCATCGCTGAGTGTATAATCGTACATTTAATAAAAATGCAATTTCATCGTATATTTACATAGTTTATTAATATTAAAGCGACTTTATCGTATATTTTAAATACACTGTAACAGCCCCTATCGAATACATTTTGAATTGGCATATTTTGTTTTTCAAGTGACTTTATCGTAAATGTACGAAATTTATGAAATCCCTATTGCATACTTGAATTTAGATATTTCTATTACATATTGCTATCAAAGAACAGGTATTGTATAAAGCAGCTATCGTACATATTACATTTAAGCAAATACTGTTGTATATTGTATTTAAGTGACTCTATCGTATATTTGTATAAATGAATTGTTATTGTATATTTATACAATAAATTACCTTATATTTGTATTCAAATCAAGTACCACTTTATTAGAAATCACTTTCATAGCATATCTATTGAAATACCTCTTTTGTATATCTTTGTTCAAGATACTTAATTAAATATCTCCCATATCGTATACTAAACAGCTGATATATAACAGATAAACTAGGCTCATCGGATTAAGTGAACGAGTAAAAACATTTTATATGTATGGCCACTGTATACTTCTGATTAAAATTGAATGACTGAGCGTTCATTGAACTGCTTAAACGATTCTAAACAATAAATATTTCGCGATCAAGTGATGGTTTAAATATGGGCAAGCTCAATTTCAGACAAATAACCGTTTGTGATACAATATGGCTTTAATCATATTATTTTCAAAAGTTATCTAACAATTAATTCATTCTTAATTTGAGAGTTTCATACGTTAATAAGTTAATTAAACGTGGCATTTAACTGATCAATAATGCCTTCATGTATTGTTACGTCAATGCAACGTAAACGTAAAGCAATTGTTGTTTTAACTTACATAAAAGTAAACCATGTGTAAAATCTAACAAAGACTTTGATTTTATAAATGTACAATGATATAGATATCATAAAATTATGTATAAAAATATTGTCAAATATAGAATACTTTGCATCAACTCCGATGCGCTCCGGAATTTCAAAATCAGTTGCAACTTCGGATAAAGATGATTATGAATAATGGGCGAAGTGTTCCGAATACGTCAAAATCTTTACATTTACTACGCTGCGCTGCGCTATATTTATGACGTGTTTTTATCTAATCGTTCACAAAACCTTACAGACAGCTTGCATACATATATATCTAATTTTATATAAAATAGATCTTTCTGTCGAACTAAGAAAGATGTTAAGGTAAGAGATTTTAGCTACATTGTTTATCGAAGATAAATCAAGCTACACTGACAGGTTTGGGATCATGGTTCGATAAAAGCACGATTACTGTCCTATCTAATCAGCAAATGCAAAGTGGTTCATTTATGCGCAAGTGTTGGCAACAAAAGTAAGTTAAATTTACACATTAAAGTCACCTTCTCGTAGATAGAGCATTCTCTAGGATTTTTTTGTTCAAACAAGCGTTTGTCCGAACCATAATTTAACGCAAGTGTTTCAATACCCATGGATTATATAATTTGACCATTTTTTCCGTCGGAAAGGCAATATTATCGTTGAATTTTTTATGTGTATTTATTTGAGCAGTACCAGTTACGGAACATAGCGAAGAAAGCCGATTGTTTACAAATGAAATATATGATGTATAACACGTTTTGATAGGTACATGTACAACATATCTTTTCACTTCAGATTCCTCTTTTATATGAGAGGTCCATCTTTCAGAGGCTTGTAAATGTCCTTTTCTTATTAAGATATCCTATAAAACCATCACCCCGCTAATTGAGAAAAAAATATGGGCGTTGCTTAAGTAACACGTGCACAACCTAATTATTAATCATGGGTGTTGCTAGAAAACACATGCACGACATGTTAGTCGAAGGTGTTGTTAGAGTAACACGTGCACTGGTTGTTAATGGATAGCTAAATTACCTATCGCAAGATTATTCATATATACGTATCAATATATAAACATATTTATCAATATATTTACTTCTCTTAAGACGCACCAAATTTATCATTAGTTCAAACAGTGGTTTATTGATAAGGCTGCATATCCTGATTTATTTTATAATACGGAATTTGTTTTTTTTTTTCTTTTTTTTTAATTTCAAAAAGCTATATTTTTACAAAGCAAAATCGGCTAAATATGTATTATATTTTGGTTAATTTCCCAAAAATGGATTCACAATAAGATATTCCGAATTTTCTGTAACACATAAATTTTTACATATTCCATACTTTAAACCACTATGAAGCTGGTTATATGACACATATTATGCTTTATTCCTCCATGTTCAAACGAATTGTCATTTCACACTTCCTGAAATATTTGAGTATTTAAAAACACTTTAATTTTCTATTAGCAAATCCACTCTATTTTTCTATCAGACTTGACTTAAAGTCTTGAGTTACTTCCCCTGACAGCATATTATTCACTGTGACATAGGCCGGGAACCAGACAATTTTTGACAACTCTAACTTGCGATACTTTTAAGTGGTTCTTAATTATATAAAAGACTGACTTTATTTTCATTCCTTCTTTTTACATACATCATGTAACTATTTAAATACCGTTCAAACACACCAGTATCTGAAGTGCCGTATTTCTATTTAAACCGTACTTTAAGTATACCACTTCAATTTCAGAAAGAGCGAATATTTACATACGTTCTTTTTGTGTTATTCACCCATATTATTTTGTGTATTTATCTTTTTTACTTCTTGTCAACGTGAGAATTCTAAAAATGAAGATACTTTAAATTTTAATTTGAAAGATAAAGATAATGAGTTTCAATCATTCGCTAAGTTAAGCGGGAATGAAACTGTGTTCTTAATTGAATTCAATTGAGTTAAAAAGTACAAGCGTATATTGTTTCCTGGGATGAAATTTTTATGAAACATATGTCATGTATGCTTTATTTTTATTGCAAATGTCATTGCTATATATCTTAAAGCTATTTGCATAATTTCTTTTTTGTTCTTACCAACTTTGATCAATTCGAAACGAAGTTTAGTTTACAAACGTGAAAGGTGGCCTAATGGTTAAAGTATCTGTCTCTCAACCCATGATACACTTGTTCGAGCTCCAGTCGAGTCACGATACAGTTTCCTCATTAAACACCATTACTGTTTAATTCAAAATAATTATGTTAAAACTATATAAGTGTGGTTTACCAGGAACATTATGTTCTTTGTTATACATGTAGTATCTACAATGTGTTTAAAGTATAAATCGCGAAAAGTCTTATTATAATCCGAATAGAATTGTTTAAAACGGATTGTCATGTTGCCATTGATATACATATAGAACAAGCACAAACCGTATGTTTATAAAATATTTATGTTATGTACACATGTAAGTAAATCATTACGATTTAAACATTTTTGATACAGAAATAAAATAATGGCTAAATTTAGTTATTGTATGAAATGTCAGGCGATTTCAATTGTTTCTCACTGCTGTATATAAATTCACTGGTAAATGCTTGCATGCATTTTTCATTCCACATTTGCATAATTTTCAAAAACCGTTTTGCATTTGATTATTATATGTGCAACAAAATGTTTTGATTTTAAAAAAAAAAATATTTTTTTTGCAAGATGAAACTTATATTACCCTTATACATGTATTGCATGGATAATATTGTGGATTCACATTTTTCAGTTTATCAAATTCATAAATAATTAAAAGTGAAAATAGTTCGTTTCACTTAATTTAACAATTTACTAATTTCAAAACTAGCTGTTATTTCTCTGACAATACTGTAGCAATAACGTGATTACATAATTGAGCCGTCTACGATCGAAACATAAACATGTGAGTTTACCAATGGATCGTACAGCTGCCATACTCGCAGTCTGATACAGGATCATTCTATTCGTTATCAGTTTTTAATTATTTTTAATGATTATGTAGCGAACGATGGATCTGATCAACGGGCGGTGCAGGCTGTCTGTCAGTGGTGCAACCTTTTGTTTGTCGTGACAGCTTTTTTTTACATATTAATGACTTTAATATAATTATATTGTTTGCTTTGATATTAGATTAGAGAGTAATTTGTGGACAAATCATACTTAAGTTACCTGGCTCTGTATGAGTTTAATTTTAGCGCTATACCTTAAAGGCCCATTATGCCTTAGATATGATTTAATTTTTATTTCTCCAAAACTGTTCATGCTTGGTATCTAGTAAGAGTTTCCAAAACATGCTCATTTGCTAAGTACTATCCCTTGCTTATTTTGCTTTTTTTTTAATGTGAATAAGGATTTTGTATGGAAGTCAAAATACTACTTAATCGTTTACATTTTGCTACCATTACAACACATAACATAGCTTCATGTGAAGCGTTTTTATTTAGTTTATGCTATTAATTCGTTATTTAGTCAGAGACAATGAAATGTTTGACATTTCTAAAGAATAAAAATAAAAAATTTGAGGCATAATGTGCCTTTAATTCTTAATGATAGATTAAACTATATGAAACAGATGCAGCTTTTAAATCTAAATAAATCGATTTTATCGAGCAGTAAATTTATATAGTTTCTTCCAATTATTGGTACATTAATTCAATACATAAACATTTTAGAGAAAACTTACATAAAAAGGCGGTTGTGTAAGTTGGTGTCTCAAGTTCGACTTATCCACGCGGTAAACCTCTTATCTAGGGTAATAGGGCTGTATGTCATTGTGAAACCATTTTACTCTAAATGTCAAGTGATTTGTCATTCAAACAGCGAGTTAAAATGTAAATAGTCTGCCCTCTTCTTTAAATATGTAACAACTTTAGATTGTACGTATAGCGGTTCTCGTTTGGCGCTTATTTAAGTTAACGCGTCAAAATTAAGACATACTCACTTAGAAACAAAACAGGATTAGCCCATTGATTTTTTTATTTTTTTATTTTAACATATATACTGCACTGATGTTGGTGTTTTTTGTTTTTGTTTATTTCAGAATTTCAGCATAAAATATTGATTGGTAATTTGATAACTGTAAACCTGCTTACTTTGTGTAAACGAGTTGCCTTACTATCAATTTGGAACAGATCATTCAATGTTTAAGGGATTTCAATATTCAAATACTAAAATATAGCCATCAACGGTATAGTCTTGGCAGACGAAACGAGCATGCAGGCTGGCCGGGCTCTAAACAAGTGGCAATGGCGTAAATCAAATGACATAAATAAATTTACTCCGTCTTGGGGCGTACGTCCGCTCGTACTTGAAATGATGCATGGAGTGACACCTAAGGTCTTTATAACCACAAAAAACGGAAACTTTTTGACTTGAAACATAAGCCCTCCCCTCTACAGACACGCACAAAGACACACAAAGAAAGAAAATAAAAAAGCCATTTGTTTTATTATAAATATACGTATATATTTATTTAGTTACAGCCCTAATATTTAATGAAAGCATCTATCCCTGTTAAAAAAACTCTTCTTATTTCAAATCAAATGTTTGCAATTTTATAAATACATATTCATAAGTTAATTGATAAAAGCATAGGTATATATTTTAATCGATTTTCAGTTACTTTTAAACATATGCTTACAACATCAAAACCAAAAGGCGATTAATGCGACTTGTTAGAAAAAGGACGACAACTGGCAGAGAATGTAAATAATTGCCCTGTACGAGTTATTCCGCTTAGAAACTCATCTAAGAAAGACCACTTAAATTAGTTTACGTTGATATCTTCTTTAAATGATTATTTCCCTTAGTTAAATAGCAATCAGCAATTCAACTTGTTTATCCTCATAACAGCTAGCATAGGGAACGATGTCCGACGCTGGAATGACGCTGTGTGGGTGTTAGATACCATATGGCATGAAGAAATACTGAGGGGCTGGTGGCCGACATCACTAATATCCGTTCTGATCTGAAAGAGCTCTGAACTGATAGGGTTCAACAGTTCAATCTGTTTAAGTCTCTCTTCAGTCATTAGTTGATAAATCCTGCCAGACTTTCCTTTTACTAACATAAGAAAGCTGGGCTGTGCACAGACATATCTGCTTACGTTTAAAGATATATACTATGCTCATCGTTGATCACACAAAATTATTGAAATCTATGAAATTCTTACTAAACAAATTCTTACTAATTTGAATAGAAGAGCGAATAAACTATGTATGAAAGCTGTGTTCCCTATCACAGGTCAAGTAAAGTTGGTATTTTCTTAAAAGAACTGCCAGTTTCTTTAATGACGCTATATATTCATAATGCCACCACCTATACTGTGAAGTTGTGTCAAGTCAAACATGTTTATTTTATATTTGTTGAAAGACCGTGTAACAATTATAAATATTTCTAATATCAAATTTGATCATAGTAAAGTCGGAAACAAAAAAACCAAATCAATAATTAAGATTTATTTAAATACACAATCACACATCCCAGCCTTGTAGGAGATCGATGACATTTTTCCAGTGTTTACTTCTCATTTCAACGTGAATCACCAGCTTCATCTGCCAAAGAAATCACACGTTACATTAAAGAAGATGGTGACATAGTTTCAAAGGATAAGTACTGACCTGGTCAAGGTCAATTCAATACATATTATGTATATGTAGTATTAAACATGCTTTTAAGGAAATGACCCGGCATATTTGTTGTCTAAACTTTTGAAATGTATGCTTGATTGCATGGAACGATTTCAATGAACAGCGGCACGAACTGCGTAAATGTTAATTATCAAAAGGATAAACGTTGAAAATTGATTTGCTTAAGATAGTATGAGAAACCATCAAACTATCCAGAAGCGTATGTAAAATTTGTATTCCATTTAAAATACAAATGTGCTGTTTTGTTGAATGGATAATGTTTTGAAATTTTGGACTGAACCCTGAACAAGACCATTAGCGTTTTGATATGATAATTATAATATTATCTATTTCCCATCAAAGAAACCTTGCAGATATATCAAATACATCAACTGTGGCTAAAGAGACTTTCCCCGATCGGAACTTAACCAATTTCTGGCCAAATGTTTACATGTACAAACTGTGCCATTAATCAGGCTGAAAATCTCCCATTTTTTAAAATTGCTGCAGGGTTGTTTAAAAATACAACAACACAAAACATAAATCATCAAAAGAACAAAAAAGTAAACGACCAGATAATGATACAAGGATGTAAGAATGCAAGTTGTGGTTATGTAGTTTTGATATTCATTTATAAACTCACCGAGGTATTTAATGTTAGTCCATTAAAAACATTTAATAAAATATCTGTAAAGATATAATTATAAAATGCAAAGAAAAAAACAACAACAAAACCCAAACATCTGATTATCTAATGGAAACAAAAATGCGACTTGGGAACGCTTTGAGAAAGTCAGCGGTCTCTTGCGTCACTACATGCACACAGAAACCCTCATGACAAATAACATCTGGGTCATATATACAAGACTCAGATTGATGACTCCCACCGCAATAAGTTATCACAAACCAGACTTTTATTTAAAGTCTTATTTAGCATACTTTCAATAAATTTTTATGAATTGAACATTTGCGTCTTATTCTCCGTGTCAGGAGACACTTAATTAAAAGACTTACCGCAGATACAGTACTTTATATGTAAAAGTAGTTAAACAGTCTACAGTGCCGAACTGAAAATAGAGAAAAACGGAATCTCTAAAGAACGTCCAAAACGACAAAATTGGAAATGTTGCAGGCTCGGTTTGATTGAGTCTGTACAAAGACGGTACCGGAAAGTACACGCCCCTAGCACCGACTTAAGCAGAATCTAACCAAACTAGATTAGTGTATATCGTAACTACAGTTTCATCATACGAGGTACTTGTCTCAAGTAATTCTTGTCATGGTTTATTTAAAGGCCCAATATGCCCCCGATAAAACAATTCTATGTTTACATTACGTTAATTTTATGACAAAAATTACACATTCAGCGTTTCTTCATTGTGGAGACAATCATCTAAAATGCTCTAAAACCATTATTTAAAAGTAACAAAACTCATTTTTTCCTTTTCTAAAGAATGAACATTTCATTCATTTCTGGGGCAGAATGTGCCCTTAAAACGATGCTTGAAACAATTTCCGTTTAATGTTACTTCATAACAGAGAAATGTTTTAGAATTAAAATAGCTTAAAATAATAATTAGCTGATATACGCATTATATTTGTTAGACATGTACTAGAATTAAATGTAAGGGATTCTTCAATTGCATTTTCTTTTTAAGTTTCAAAACTGAAATCACTTATTCATCTGAAATTGTTGATGGTAGTAAAAAAAAGGCTAAGAAGAGGTACCAATTGCATCAGATGCTATGTCATTTCTAGAAAATAGAGGTAGTAAAATATTGCAAAATGTTCCACTTACTAAGACAAGAAAGACTTCATGTAAGGTTGTTGGAGGGAAAGCGGTAACTGAAGACCAAGTTTTTGATATTGTATATCACTAATCAATATTCTTGCCAGAGGTCATCTGAGTGTATTTTGTGAGAAAATTCACGCATGACCACTCACACGATGAAAAACACGTTAATAACAGTTGCAACGTTTGGAAACTTCCGTACAACAAGTGGAATTGCACACATTCTTTTACTCACGACTAAAGTAAGCTCAGTGGGTTTCAGTGAAATTATATACTCACGTTTCATACGTTTACCTTCTACGTCAGTGGTAGCATATTTTCACTGACACAAGCCATCTATACACTCAGCACTTGTATCAATTATACACGGAAAACCATTCGGACTACTGCATCTGCCTCCATATGATTCATCTGAAGTATTAACAAATATTTTATATGACCGGCACATGGTCTTTTTTGTTATTGCAAGTGTTAAAGGTTATACAAATATCATTATACTATTTAGTGTTTCCGATGTTCATACACAAATATGAATAAGAATCCAATTTCAAAAATCATATCATTTGAGTGAGTACAAGTTATAACATACATGTATAACTATACAAGCTAAGACTGATAAAATTAAAAATTTTAAAAAGGTGCATTTTTAAGTCCAATTGAAACACAAGTTCATTTAGACTTAAGCGTCGTCCGTTTCTAGTTGACATTACTAGTGTCATTTGAGTCTGAATAGGCTAGAACCTACAATCCCTGAGTTGAGAGGCAATACCAATGACATACTTTAATAGACAAGCCTTAATTACGTAAATTAACGTACCCGGGTAAAAATGGTTATAAGGACAGTCTTGGGACCTTTTGTGCCCAAAAAGGTGCATGAATAAATGATAAATCGATGTAAAGCTACATATTTGAAGTTTTTAACTTTTGGGGTAGACATGTTGAATACATTTTGAGAAATCTAAGATGACCGTCAAGATGGCCACCAAATTTTAAAAAATACCTCGTATTCATATTATCTGATAATAGATGTTATTTTTGTATTTAGACAGGAGTCAGCGTAATCCTGGTAAAGGGTCTTGGTTTCTTTTATGAACATAGCTTAGCATTAGACGTAATATCTTAGCAGTTTTATTCTGTGGAAATCCAATCCGAACTAGTTCTATAAAAATACGCATCTTTAAACAAGGCTCAACTTTTTTATTGTCAGGACTTATAAGAAAGTAAAAATGAACAGTGTAAGAAAGGTGATTATATGTAATATGGTAGCTTTATACCAGGTACACACTTCCCATTTAGAATACTAGACGCTTCATTACAAACACAAACTCCACGTTGACATTCTGCATTGATGTCATTTTTACACACTTCTCCATCAGAGCCTGTGCAAATTCCTCCCAGTGTTTCATCTTAAAAAAAAAACAGTAATTTGTTAAAAATCGTTGTTGTCGTCATCATCATTATCATTACTATCATACAAGTAATTACGAGTATCGTCGTCGTCATTGTCATCATCATCATCATCATCATCATCATCATCATTCATGTAATTACGAATATTGTCGTCATCATCATCATCATAATCCACGTCGTGGTATGAAATCATCATCACAAGCATCATCACCATCATCATTTTAATCAAAATCGTCTTCAAAATCATCACCAGAATCATCATCATTATCATCGAAAACAAGATCATCATAACTCTCGTTATCACTGCAGTTATTGACGTCATAATAACCTTTATCAGCATTAGCAGCAGCAACGACATATATAGTTAAAAAGCTGAGTCGGTGTTTGAATTTTGCAAATGAAATATTGCCGAGTTATCTTCATTTGGATGTGTCACACCTGTATGATATATCACTCATACATAGAATTTTACACACTTTTTCCCGTGTAAATAATGAAAAAATCATACCTGTCACACAAATATCGAGTCTTCTGTGGGATCCATATTTACACTCACAAATAAATCCAATACATACGGAATTTTTATCATTTTCACATTCGTGTCCAGAGTTGGTACAATATCCGCCTACAAATCCAGCTGCAATGTCAGATGAAATATAAAGGCATTTTAACATATGACCAACGTATATATTTTCCCTTCTATATACATGAAATAGAAGAGATAATTTTGATAATTTTGAGTATTATTCCGTCCCATAAGGACGCTTTTTTGAAACAGGAAGTCACGAAAATGACGAATTATACCGAATTTTCACGAAGTTACTGTGAAAAAGCACAACAACCAAATCCTTATATCACTGCATCAATGACACATCACTGATGTTGATACTAGGTATATAAATCATTTTAAAATTCGATTTTTCCAGGTTTGGCTCTTATCAATCTTCAATTTTACTCAGTTTCAAATATTGTGATATGAATGATATCTTATAGATATAATACACAATCTCAGAAAGTGGACTGTTTTAATATAATATGACACAGTGTCAGCAGGTGAAAGTCTGAGGGTTAACACCAACCTGCGCCATCATACAGAAAATAGGGGCCGTCGTATTCTTCTTTTGCAAATGTTGCCGTACTGTTTCTGCTATAAAACGATAACAGCTCTGAGCCGGGATTTACTGATCTAAAAACGTAATAGTAATATAGCCCTGAAAAGAAAAATACCCATCAAATTGATAATATATCAGAGAAGAGGCATCAATTATTCGTTTAAACGCTATATTGGACGCCATATTGGACATCTCATTTGCCACTTTGTTTTAATATTCATACTGTCTAAAAATAATTTGTTCAGTCTCGATGCCTAACGTAAACAAATGCCCCGTAGTATAGAGCTGTTGCCTTATAGTTTTTAATTTTAAATAATTATGAACTACATCTACGTGTTAAATTATTTGAGCCGCGTCACGACAAAACCAACATAGTGGGTTTGCGACCATCATGGATCCAGACCAGCCTGCGCATCCGCGCAGTCTGATCTGGATCCATACTGTTCGCTTACAAACCCTATTACAAGTAGGAAACTGATAGCGAACAGCATGGATCCTGATCAGACTGCGCGGATGCGCAGGCTGGTCTGAATCCATGCTGGTCGCAAACCCATTACGTTGGTTTTGTCGTGACGCGGCTCATTTTTATTTTAATAGGCATGAAACAAAAGATAAGATACTAGATTTGTTAGTAATTTTTCCTTAATATACAAATGATTGTCAACCACAACAGGGTCTTTCAAATATTTGAAAGACCCTGACCACAATAAACCAAAAATAACTCCAAACACTGCATGCACTAATCAATAAAATGTCTTTAAAAAAACAAAACAATGTTCAAGAGTAATATGTAAGTAAGAAAAATGGCCAAACATTGGCCGACGTAACATACAGGAACATTCGGTATGTACAACCATCTTGTGTAAGATTCTTTTAGTTTTTTTAGTGGAACCAATGCTATAAATACCTTCGTGAAGGAAGTGCACCATGTTTAATGAATTCACATCCGGTGCCATGTTAACGAATCGTAACCAATTAGACAGGTAAATATGTCTTCCATCAAACCAGTAGTCTACGGAGTCCTCCTCCTTGATCTGGCAGAAAAAGAAAATATGTATGCAAATTTAAAGATAAAAGAAATATGGATAGAAAAAATTATAAACAAGCACGAAATAAATACTATAGGAATACATTTGTGCATTTATCTTCTATGGCAACAAAGGCGAAGTTACTGATGACTATATTGCCATAATGATTGATATTTTAGTTGTTTTTGTTGTGAACATACATATATTCAAATGACTAAATGCATGTAAAATGACTAAGGAAAATGCAGGAACAAATATGTAAAAAAAGTAAAACACAATAAAGCAAAAAAAAAACAAGGTAAATTATTAATGAACACGAAATAATAATAGTGAACACAAGATAGAAATAATTATGAAATACGATAAAAACAAGAAAATCATAATAAATATGGCGAGAAAATATAAAACTAAAATTGGTCTTTTGATTCGTTTCATTTAGGTTAGTTGTAGAACTCTCCCTTCGGATCACAGCAAGAACAAAAGTTAGCCAAAATGATAGAGTTAACATTAAGGAAATGAAGATTAAAAAATGAAAGAAATAGAAATGGACAATAGTGTTATAGTTCAACAAGACAAATGCATTTGTTCCGTGAAATGAAATAAATGTTTCATTAGGACAAGACAACAATAACAGTGAAACAAAATATTAACTAATATTAGTAAAAATAGTAAAATGAAAAACGAACAGTAAAAATATGAAAAAAAGAAAAAAGAGAAAGAATTAAAATAAAAGTGGTAGTAGTAGCGGTAGCGGTAGTGGTAGCGGCAGTGGTAGTGGTGGTGGCGGTGGCGGCGGCGGCAGCGGCAGCAGTAGTAGCAGTAGTCGTAGTAGTAATAGTAAGTGTTGGTGGTGTAGTGGTAGTGGTAGTAGTAATATTAGTAGTAGTAATTGGTTGTGGTAGTGGTAGTAGTAGTAGTACTAGTGGTGGTGGTGGTGGTGGTGGTGGACGTGGTAGTGGTAGTGGTCGTAGTTATGATAATAATGATACTTAAAAGAAATAAAATAAAACATTTAATTAACAAAATATGCTCACATGCCAGGACCAATGTGAGGCTATCTTCTTATCTCCTTTTGCTAAGAAACCTTTACACGGACCAAATACGGTTCCTCTCTTGATAAATATATTTGTAAAAGCTCCTGAACCATGAACTGTTGAAATTTTAATCTGTATTCCATCAGGTCTGGTGTTGAATGCTCTCTTCGGATCATAGCAAGACCATGTCTGCAACAACGTTTCAATATAAAAACCATCATCCTCACCAAACACATTTTTATTCGTACTTGTAATAAACACACTTTTAATAAAAGCACTACAATCAAAAATATACTATGGTCATCTTTGAGTATAATAATTTTATCGCAGAAATTTATTGAAATCTATGAAATTCTTACTCTCAGACTATGTCTTATTTGAATAAAAGCACGTGCAAACTATGTATAGGCATCTGTATTTCCTTTTAAAGGTTAATTAAAGTTGATCTTTTTTTAAAGAATCTGCAAGGTTTTTTGATGACACTTTATTTTCATATTGTGGACTTCTAATAGATCTACTTTGTGTGAAGTCGAAACATGTTGATTTTATACTTGAAAAAGAGACAGTGTAGCAATTACCAATATTTTCAAATATCAAATTTGAGCATAATATATCTCTGAAAATAAGTTGATGTCCAGCTTAGCCAAGACTTCAAATATTTAAGGCATTTTAATCATCGATACTGTGAGATTTCATTAATAGAAATCGATGTTTACAAATATAGGCAGAGAAGACATTTTAGTTAAAAAACTTTTTTATTGTATTTATATACACATCACATAAATAATTATTTCATTAGTTTACAAACACAATCCTCAGGCCAAATGTTCTAACAGTTCCAACTTTTGAGACGGACAGAGGCATCATAAGTAAAACACATGTTAGTGAAAACCATTTACATTCAATATTGCTTACAGTAAGTTATGTTGGAGGATACAATAATAAGAATCAAAGAAAAAAGTAGGACAGGATCATCATTGCCTCAGGCAATAATACCTTACAGTTAATCAAATAAGATTAGTATACCGATGGCTGTCGTCACTACGAATAAGGGCCATAATTGTTTTAAGTTTTGTCTAAAAACTACGACACTCGGTCACTTTAGAGGAAGGAAAAAAGAAAGATTCGATCTTGAAATTGTTGAATGACACGACGGTCAAATCATGGTTTAAGAAGTATATGTACATGTCTTAGCTTCACCATTTTCATGTTTGAGTATTGAATTCTACACGTGGACGGTAATTTGCATTTGAACGACCGTCCATCAACAGTCTAGATGAAATCGAAGCTGGAACATATTCAATTTTGCCGTTTTGTTCATCGAATAATGATGTTACACTGTTATTGCTAAAAGGAAGGTCTTTCTCGCGTTGTTCACGAGCCTTTAATGTAGTTCCAACATGTAATATCTCAACTCAATTCCGCTTGGAGAAAGATTTCAAAGTCTTACCATTCGTATGTTCATACATTACGAGATGTCACGCCTTCAGTCGCCAGCATAGTAGGGTTATGATCAATTTGGTAGGAGGCAAATAAAGTCAGCTTTCAACGAGAATGAGAGTGGTTTAAAGTACTTGAGTGATGCATTTAGGAGGACAAAACTACTCAAAATATAACAACAACAACAACAATAACTGAAACTTACGCTTTTATCATTTACGACGTTTCCACTCAACAGCATCGTTTGCATTTGAAAAAACGATGGAAAGGCCTTATAGGCGGAAATATCTATCAGAAAATAAACGGATAATAAATTAAAACTAACTGTGATTTATTTTGAACACACGTCTATATTCCCTAAAATAAGTTGATATAAAAGGTACTCCACTAAAGTTGAAGGGACCGAAAATGTTATATCTGGATTTTTGTATTACTGTCTGTATGTCAGGAGCAAAATTTCATATCATTTGCTGATACTTATTCCCAGGTATAACTAATTTTATTGCACAATTTGAACCCAAAAATAAAAAAAAACGTTGCATTGCTTTTCACTCAGTTCGCTCCATCTCCGCAAAACAAATCGATTGTCAATTCAGAGTATATTTACATAAAGTATTATCTATCTTTGGCATTAGTTTTCTTTTTCAGGTACCGACTGATTTATGAAAGAGTTTCAAAAAATTCTTATTTTAGGCTATAAGACCTTAGTGGAGTTCCTTTAAGCTATATTACAATGTATTATTAGGACAGACCAAATGACCTAGTATTGTATTTTAAATGTAAATTTATATTACACTAGCGAAAGATCGTTTTCCGCGATCTCATATCCTGTCAAAAATATTTTATAATGAATTCATACTGCACCACAATTTCTAATTTGAGGAATATTAAATTACTTTAAACGTTAACAGAAGACGTGCATATAGATTATATAGACGTCATGATTATCCGATAAAAATCAACATTTCAAACTTGCAATACTCTTACTTTAGCAAGTTAATTTCAAAATACGCAATCATCAACCCGACATCTGTTTGATTATATTAAGTAGATAATTATGAGTTCTATAAATAAGCTAAATATACATACCAGCCTCAAGAGAACATTCAAGCGATGACATGTTGCTATACTTGTACATTGAATGGCAGGACGTGTCTTCAAATTGCTCACACTTGTTTATACCTGTTACATAAATTATGCATATGCAAATTAACCCTTGAGATAAGCGTACTATACTCAAAAGTATCGGAGATACGACCACACAGATGTGTTCGTTGCCTTTAAAGGTTATTTGACGACTTTTTTAAAATGTCTTGCAAAGGAAGTCCATAGCTCGTCAATGGACCAAGAGAAAACACACTGTCTATAAGCATCCTTAAATAATTCAGCTCAAAGGCTTTGAGTCCTTATCACTGACGGGCAAATGATTGAAAGAATGTTGCTTTAATTAATCACTCATCTAAGAAACCATTAAGTTACTTATATCAGAAAGAATTTCAAATATTTGGATTTAATTTTGGTTCTAACTTAAGGTTAACAAAACTTACAAATGGACAAATTTATAAATTTTTGATTCCTGGAGAAGATACCTTTTGTTAATTATTGACAACGCTTAGTCTATTTAATGAGCACTTGTAAAAGTAAAGCAAAACACAATTGATACACTTCTTGACAAAATGAATATGACATACACATATTTAACTTGAAAGGTGAAAACACTTCAAATTTACCAAAGATATTTACTGTACATATACAAGTAGACGTCGGTCTGTGACATTTAGAATATGGTCCACCATTTCCAGCCCGACACTCGTAATCTTTATTGCACTTCATTCCAATATCTACTCCTTTAAGAATAAGCAGAAACATTTAAATATCTGCAACACTGGGACATGAAACAAACATTCAAGCATTTGGACAGTTACTTAATTATATTTACGGATTATTATTTAAATTCCAAAAATGAACTCTAAGAATGTAATAGTCAGTCAAATGACTATCTTTATCCTTTTAGTATATACATTCTAAAACATTTTTGATGGATCACTTCATGCATATGTGGTTTATGTTATTTGATTTTTGTTACATTAGCCAATTTAAAATTGTTAGAAAGAAAAAGAATTGCATTTCCTATAGCTGTATTTTGTCAACAACATATCTAGATGTCTATACACATCTATATGTAACCAAGACGTAGCAGAAATAGTCGAACACTAGAACACATTCTGTAAGTGATTTAAAGGTATTACTGTAGCTCCAATATCTAGAAGTTAAATAATAGGACAGCTATATGTACATATAGCTGGTACCAGAAATATTCAAACACAAGAACACATTCTGTTACTCGCATTGGGATTAGAAATGCATACGTTACCTGGTTTTACATAATTCTTTTCTGCATGCAGATGTGCTAGCCCGAGGTAAAACACGAATGTATATGCTACAAAATATGTTCCTGATGCCGCCATCTTTCATGTAGACAAATGTTGTTATATTTTCTCCTGTCCAATCCTTGTTAACAAAGCAAAAAGAGTATAATTCAACAATAATCTATCAAAAATGCATTAAAAATGCAATAAGTAAAATTTCCATGGATAACGCCCGTCACTCTTTTTAGACTGTAAATTAATTTTATAGGGTGTTCTTCGTGACAAGTAGTCTTTTCCTTTGATATTACGAACCAGTCTAAATTTTAACCAATTTAACGACTAAAATGTTATGTTTGAAAAGTTTCAAGCATGGATTCGAATGAATTGTTTTCCGAACTAAGGTTTTCCTATGTGAACTGTAAAAAAAAAGGCAAATTTATTTGTAACTCGAATTTAAATTAAATTACCTCCCCTGAGTTATCCTATTGTGCACGAGAACGCTAGTATCAAGAGCTTTTTTCGTAAAGGCCATATGGTCCTGTAATAGGAACTCGGGAGCAAAGGTCTGAAATATTTGCATGATCCCTCTCATTTTTTGCTGAGTATGAGATATTTAAGTAATAAGCCATCTTATTATGGGAAAAAAACAACAAAAAAAACATACTATTTCATGTTAAAATGTAAATCACTGATATTTTAATAGAAATTCTTTGGTGGCATACAAACATTTGGCTTGTTTCTATATAAATGTATAACTCTGTACACATAATCGTTAAAGAGAAAGATTTCAATATTGCAAAAGAATTACAAGTCCTATAACAAGTAGAGAAACTAATAGCGAACAGCATGGGTCCTGATCAGACTGCGCGGATGCGCAGGCTGGTCTGGATCCATGCTGGTCGCACACCCATTATGTTGGTTTTGTCATTACGCGGCACATATTAATTTCAAATCGTAAACCATATTACAGTCCTAAGGCTAGCAAATTAACATGACATAAAAACTGAATGGAAATGAAATGACACTTAACAACGTGTATAAACATATTTACTTATTGGAGATCAGTAAAATTTATAGGATACTTGTACATTAAATGTACTGTTCAGATATGAATACATTTTTCCCACTTAGGAAAGGGCAAAGCTGTATTTTATAATGTTTTATGAATGTATTTAGAGCAAAAAAAATGGTGTCTATCAGATGAATTAAGCAATGTTAATTGTTAAATGTTTTCTCATGAAGTATAGTAACAGGTAAGAAAAGTCGTATATTTTCCTCCATGGTGATACACCATGCTACACATACTTATCCAACACGCGAATAATGTTAAAGCAGCACGCCTCCAGATTCATGCTTATTTTCATGAAAATTTTTAAAATGTATTTGAATGTGTAATTTTGTGAAGTAACCAAAAGAAAACAATTTACACATTATCAATGGCACATACAAACCACGTTAATTACCAAAAAGGGGCAAAAATATGCATAATTAGCTTTTACTGCGTTAGTAACGCCGTAGAAATGTAGTTGTAAAACTAATACTGAAAAATCAGTCATTAATCGCGCATATTATGTAAAATATTACTTGAATCTTGAAACTTTTTTTTTACTTTTCCCTACATCTTACATTTTTCTCAAGTTTGATTATATTGAAATATTTTGACTCATGTAGCATGTAGCTTTTAATTCAACATGCAACCAATTCAAAATACAAAATTACCATAACTGTACTAATTTGTCAAAAAAGAAAACGAAGCAAAAGCTGGTCCAGGTGAACGACCAGCGAGTACCGTTCCGGAACTTAAAACCGAATTATTAATACAAAATTAAAAAGACAAGAACAACTTTGCCTCCTTATGGCTTAGGGTTGCATCGAAGCATTATAATGGCAGTCACCGTTTAGCCCTGCTTGTATTATCCCTGCGTGATCGTAAGACGCGATTAAATGGGTTCGAATTAATCGGAGTCTATGCGCAACTCTCCAGCAGGTGAGGTGGTTTTGATGCTTCAAATTTGTAACATCCGAGTTTAGCCAAATTAAAGTTTCTGTTTCGGCGCCATTTGACCTGAATTGTGTTTGTGTGCCGTAAAATCAACCAACCAAACAACCAACCAAACAATAAACAAAATAATAGTAATGTTAGGACTTAATAAGCCTTTAAAGAAAACGCAAGTTCATGTTTGATAATTTATTTAATATCTTACCTAATCTAAGATCATCAGTGTGCATAAAAGTTCATTTTATTAATATACTTATATGATTTTCAAAATCCTAGTTACACTTTTATTCAATTTAAAATGTTATATTTAATATCTAATTGTCAAAACGATTACTAGATATAAACATTTTATTAGCCAACTACATGTATATTATATAGTTAAGTTAGAATTTAAGATGCATAAGTGCCGCGGGACACTAATAAACTACTAAAATGAAACCACAGTTTTGTTACATGCGGAAAATAAAAAAGACATTTAACAGTATTAAATTGCAAAACCAAATTCTTCTTGTAAATCATCTATGTATTCATCATCTATGTATACTGAATGCTCCAGAAAATGTGAAATATGAACATCTTTTAATGAAAAACTTTTAGTTAAGGTACACAAAGGAAAATATTGGTTGTGTTACAACACAAATTATAGTCTAAGTTGGTTTAAAATTCATGTTTAAAATGTTTAGTCGTTATTTTATAATTGTTCTTCACTTTTTAATATCTTTATCACCACATCGTGATGTCTTTAGCAGTGATATAAATCTTCTCATTTTTTGTACTTTACTGGTTTCCTAGCAATTTTCCGGCCCTTTATCATTCTCCTCCAGTACAGTCTATTTTTGCCAACAGGGCAGCTCTTTTACTTCATCAAATCAAAGAGACATTTGTTTTCTATGCAGCAGAGAAGTTAAAATAGTACAGAAATTTACATGTTTAGAAGTTTTTCCTGTTGTTTAACGCTACCTTAAGAACTTGCGACATTTAAAAATAAGCAACACCTGAGGAATTCTAGTAATAATGCCCATGCGAAATAACGGAGACTTCATTTCAGGTAAACCAATACTTTTCAACAATAGGCAGATAGCATGGGAAATGTTTGGAAGTTCTATTTCTTTGATAAAATCATCAACATTTCTAACTGGGACTGAATTATATTCAAAATAAAAAGATCCGAAAAACTACTGTGAAATTTTGAATGAAAGTGAAAAAGTTGTTTCAATCAGGCCTTTACTCAAATTAATACTTAAAGTAAAAGAGCAACACTGAAAACATTGTAATGCTAGGCAGGTACTTTACTTTGTTATGTCAAAGTTTTATACTCGTTCGTGGACATAGTTTTATTTCATTTGTTAAAGTGTACGATTTGGGTCGGAAACTGCTAGGAAACCAGTAGTAATCTGACAAACATTATTAAATACCATATTGTTTTATACTGCTTGTTCTGAAGCAATCCTGGTAGAATAAAAATGTTGCATTGACTTATATATTATACAGAATACGTTAAAATTTCAATACCTTTATAATTAATGAACTTACAGATTTTTCTATAATAAAATAATCAAAAACTTCTGTGTATAAAATTTACTTTATTCATCAGGATTCATCACTTAAATGTTTACATCAACTTTCTTCTGTTTTATTAATTTCCTTCATTACTAGATCTATAAGATCAAAATGTGATGCACTGAAAAAATATCATGCCAGATATTAATTTTCCAGACGATATTTTACATTAAATATTTTGATTACAGTAATCATTGTCATTGCCGAGAAGAAAATAAACTTCTTCAAATAAATGCATAAAGAATTGATAATACTTATCCATCTTATGATCATTGTACAGGGAGATGTTCTGCCACACATCAATTCTGTTCGTTTGCAAGGCTGGCTGAAAGACCTAATCGTAATATGTACTCAATTTATTGTTTTTATCGATTGCGTACTAGTATTTAATATAACTTTTTTATCATCACCGATTTATACCCTTCAATTTACTGAGTTTTCAAAATGATATAGTTCAGAATAGTCAATATTGGCAGTATCGCTATCAATTTCAAACATATTTGCTCACGGTCAAGCAGTTATTGAAGTGAAGAACATGAAGTTATCATCACTAATATCAACAGGTCGTAGTCATTTTATGTAAAATAGAATACAATCTGGAAAAGGGGTACATGTAATCCTTCAGATTCAATGAAAACAACAACATATAAGTTCATTTTGAAAAAATCAATTAGTTTTAAAAAGTGTTATTTACATAACATTAGCAGAACAAACACATGCGTGACGAGGTCGTACATTAAATAAAAAATATCCTATTTCAAACTTTTAGTTTTTTTATTTGATCTTTTTCTAGTCGGGTGGTCCCATAATTCCTTTTTGAATACTGTATTATCACACTAAGCATAAACTGCTTGTTTTTGCCTTACCTTTAACAGCTTGTCTGTGATATGCAAGCTTCATAACTCATCGTCTCCTCTCAAAACTCCTTCCATAAGGGTCTTTTAAATAGAATAGTGAAAGAAGGAATAATGGAACCACCCGACTATGGGTCAACACAAAGTTATAAGAATTACCCCGCTTGAACTTAAAATTTTTCATGAAAAATGCTTTTCTTTTATAACTTATTTATTTTTTTAATGTATATACTTCAAACTTGAAATATATGCTTCTGATTTCCACTTAAATCACGTGAGAAGATTCAATACTCTAGCTTCACTATTTCAAGAATTATGTCTCCAATGAACTTAGCTAAACTTTATTATTTTTCTAAAATTATTCTTATTCATTCTTTAAATATATGTTCATTATCAACTCCTACATCATATGTGATTACATTAATAAGTCTAGCGCCTGGATTTCTACGGCTATTTTCATTAGAACTTGAAATTCATTTGAAAATTGTTATATTTTTTATAATTCTTTTATTTGTTACTATAAATGGTATATATGAAAGCTGTTATTTCTTCATTTTTCTTCTTTGTAACTGTTAATGTTATGTACTTTAAACTTAAGATAATTGTTTTTTGTGTCATCACTCAAATCAACGACAATGTTCTTAAGTCTAGCATCTTTATTGCAAGAGTTATCTCCTCTTTAGTGTAAGAATTTTGCTTTTAAACATGTTATATTCTGGTAACAACCAGGGATGTTTAAAATTAACCCTCAGAATGTCTGTCAGCCCGTCTGTCTGTCCGTTCCTAAAAATTGTATCCAGAGACCACTTTTACTATGATACAGACAAACTAAGAACTCGCTTCAATCATCATCTCCTCAATAATTTTGCAGGTTTGGAAGAAACTTTAAAGAAGTGATCGTTTTGGTAGTTCTTCATGACTTTATTGTTTTATAAAGAAATTATAGTGACAATCCAATAGCCTGCCAATCTGTTCTTCTGTAACCAGTCATTAAACGCATGTTCATTTTATTTGCCTGTCTAGTTTCTACATATTATAGAAACAGCTTGATATATGCCATACATTTGTGTATCTTCAGAATCCAAAAGCAATTTCAAACTAAACAAACTGCAATAAAATTCCTGTACAAAGGAAAATAATCGAACATTAGAAAATCTGGACTTTTGAAACAAAGGAGACAGAAAAAACCGCTGCCATTATAATTATAAAATCTTTATAGTTTTGGTAATGGCGAGCACAGCTGGAACAACATCTACGCTTACTAAATGAGCCGCGTCATGACAAAACCAGCGTAATGCGTTTGCGATCAGCATGGATCCAGACCAGCCTGCGCATCTGTGCAGTCTGATCAGGATCCATGCTGTTCGTTATCAGTTTCTCTACTTGTAATAGGGTTTGTAGGCGAACAGCATGGATCCTGATCAGACTGTGTGGATGCGCAGGCTGGTCTGGATCCATGCTGGTCGCAAACGCACTATGTTGGTTTTGTCATGGCGCGGCTCAAATGTACTTGAATATGGCTTTGTTAATGGAAATTTGCTGTTGCAGTTACCATTCATCCGTATCCTTTCAACTAGAAATCAATACTGTAATTTAATACCGTTATATTACGTGACGTTTTGTTGTTTTATTTTGTTTGCTTGGCTGCTTTAAACAATATTTATTTCATCTTCCATATTTACAAACAAAATTAAAATACATAAATTGCAGGATGGGATAGAAAGCCTAAAGCTTACGAGGATTGATCAAAAAGTTCTTGGACCGATGTACTTCCGGTAGTCAGAGAAACCAACTAATGGTCTTACTTTTCAATATAATCGCCCTCTACATCAATGCACTTTTTGCCCACCTTTACAACTTGTTTAACCCTTCAAAATAGAATTCTCTATTTTGGTCCTCAAAGAACTCATTGACCGCCTCCATGACAGCTTTTTTGCTATCATAACTTCTACCATGAAGCTTGGTTTTCAGTTTCGGAAACAAGTAGAAGTCAGGGGTGGCCAAGTTCGGAGAATGTGGGGGATAGAGAAGAATTTCAAAGCCGCAGTCAATTGCAGCAGCCATCGCAACTTCGGATGTGTGAGCTGGCGCATTGTCGTGCAGGAGCAAAACTCTTTGAGACAGTTTTCCCCTGCTTCTACACACGATTCCTTGGCGCAGACGTCTCAATTCGTCTGCATAGTACATACCGTTTATGGTACGACCTTGCTCAAGATAATCATTCATGATTATCCCCCGACTATCCAAAACAATTGAAGCCATCAAGCCATGTCAAGCCTGGTCCGTTTCTGGATGTCAGTCCCATCTAGCGGAAATCTTTGATATGCCATAGACATCAGTCAGAATTGCCTGAACTGAACCAAAGCTTATACCCACTTCCATAGCAATGCTTTGTACGTCTCGCCTTATGTTGCACATGACCAGATCTTGCACAACTTCGGCAGTTTCATCGTTGTTGGCCTCTTTTTGCCGCTCATCATCTCCAATGCTCTCCCTGCCCCTCTTTAATTCAACAGCCCATTTTTTCACAATGCTATAGAAAGGGGACCCCTTCCCAAGTGTATCCATGAAATCTTCATGGATTTCCTACGGGAGACAACCCTTTCTTACAGAGGTACTTAATGACGGCTCTGATTGCAACTTTCTCCACTTGGTCTGAATGCCACGTCCCTCTTCTGATCAAGGAGTGTATTATGTTAGTAAAACTTAATCTGTGTAAAACCGCGTGTAACCTGTTCAGTAATCTTCAATAAGATATCGATATCGACTTATCGTGTGTAAATGTCTGTAGTGGCTAGAAGTATATCGAGCCGAGAACTTTTTGATCATACCTCGTATATGAAACTCTCTCCTGTTTTTTGTGTAGATTATTATATAATTCACCGATTACTGAAGTGCATGACAATGCTGGTAAAGAGAAGGGCACTGCAGCACTTTTTTTTACAGACGCTTTGCTTTAGAATGAGTTTTCGACATATTGTTATTATCGGATTATGCGTGACTCTTTGTAAGTATTTGTTTACATAAAATAACAATAGATTTGTATGCTAGTTTGTGAAAGCTGACCATATTAATGTATGAAATGTAATTAATAGGAAATGAAACAAACACATTTACATGTAGGTACGTACTATGCTATGAGCGACATAAATGTAGAATTCAGTTTGTTAAATGTTTCAATATGTCATTTGAACTATTGGTCATCAAATTTATTAAAATAGTTGAAAACTTCTAAATGTATATTTTAATACCGTTGGATACCCGCGGTTGATTAACATGTATGTTAATGGTTCGGCCGTGGGTATCCGACGATGATGTTTAGATGTGACAATACAACAAAACAAGTTAACCATTTCATTATCGAAATTAGATCTTACGTGTGATGGAGATGCGATAAGCTTAACTGCTAGAAAAATACTAAGAATGGAAACCGTAAAACAGGTTGTTCAAAATGTTTAAAACGGCAAAAGTGAAATGCGACAGGCTTTTCAACCATGTTTCTCTATAATTCATTGTATTCATATTTTTTCTGAAGGTTCAAACAGCTCTGATGGACATCAAAAAAGAGCGACGGGTTAGTTTACTTTTATTCTATTTCATCATACCAGATGTGGTAGTAAATATGTCTTTATTTTAATAACAATTATTTTTATTGTGATAAACAAATCATTCTTCTGGACACTTTCTATCGAAAATAATTCACAATAAAATTTGATGGGAGACCCAAGTTACGGATTTGCAATTCTATAGGATCATCGGAAATTTTGAAAGTACAGGGAACTATGCAAGTGCTACAAGTTCCCAATTTATTTGAACGGTTATCAATAACTGGTGAACTGCAAATTTTGTAAAAAATTCTAACTTTCACAGAGAACTTTTACTAGTGTATCATTTAATTATACACAGATTGGCCTTCACACAATTTCTAGAGAGGGCCAGTTGGCTTCGTGTCTGTTGGTCATACGATTATGCCTGTAGAGTCAATATCGTTTAAAAATACCGACCAAGGATCATTGCCTGATATATCTGACCCCTTATCTGGAAATGTATCTTGGAAAATACTGCAAAAATTGTTTACATAATCAATCACACATAATTGAACCTGATTTAAAACACTGTTAAACTATGGCACTAAGTCCCGAAGTTTCCTTGACAAAATTGCTTTGTCTGTCCTTCCGTTTAACCAAAAGCGTGTCCGGTGAAACAAAATAGAATACTGACACCCCTGGCATCAATTATATACAAAATTGACCCCTTTTATATGTATACAAAAATGCACATACTTACTCCTGCTTAAAAAATATTATCGAGTACAGAAATTTGTAAAATGTTGACGCTCATTCAATTTTTTTAAAATGACCTCCTTTCTTTAAATTAGACACCATCTATTCTGTCGTGTTAATATATTTCTGCTTATGAAAGATCGGGCGTTCCAATCAGATGCCTGATCATGCTTGCAAAATATAAGAGTTTAATTGCCTAAATAACAATATTATTATGATTATACTAACAACAACATTTGATTCATTTCGTGACATAAAATCGTGTTATTTACTTCAAGGTTTGAATGTTTTTTATTATGCTTGTTTTTATTAACTATGCACCAAATATTATGCAACCATGATTATTTAGCAAGTATTTAGAAATTTATTGAAAAAGAAATGGGAATAAAATATAAATAAAAAACATTCTTTCATGTAGAACCATGTCCCAGAGGTTTGACCCTATCACTTGGCGATTGCTTCTTACACACAAATGTGGCACCGGCTTGTTCTGCAATGGTATTTATTCTTAAAGAAGGATTTTAATGATATGAAGTCATAAGTAAGTAAGTAGGTAGGTACGAATGAAGCCAGCCAGCCAGCCAGCCAGGCAGGCAGGCAATCTTGATTCACGAATACATATCATATCTTTACAAATGTAAACTTTCACAATATACTAGGCTGTTTTCATAGGGTTTATATCAAGTAAAGGGGCAAGTTTGCTTGAAAATGTATATCCCTCGTACACATTGTGCTAGATCACATCATAAAGGTATAAACTTAAAAAATCTACTGGTTCGCTTAGACGCAAAACGTGAATGTTTAGGTTCACATAATCTTCACAACATAATTAACTTTATCGTGGTCGATTGGTTAATACGTCGGACTAGTAGTCTCAGGATTGCAGACCGCGTGGGTTCAAACCCTGTCATGGGCAAGCCGTTGTTTCCTTGAGCAAGAAACTTTACATGCATTGCTGCTTAGTACTGGTAAGTTCCAGGAACGGATTTGAGAGTGTTTCAATAAGCTTATAGCTTCCAACACAATCAAACTAAAATAAATTGTATAAACTACTTTATCGTAACTATTTTTTAATGTTATATAATACTTATTTGCATGTATACATGTATTTGTCAAATTATTTGTAAATGAAAATCGTTTAAATAAAATTTGAGTGTTCGTCAAATTCATTGTATTTTTTTGTAATCTAAATTGACTCATTGTAAAAGTTGTTGATGTTTTTGTTGTTCAGAAGGCCACACTGAAAATTAAGCTATGTTTGTTATGTAACATGCAATATCTTCATGTATTACCTTCTTTTACTAATGATAGTTTTATTAATATATGTGGCAACAACTTAGTCATTACTTTGAAACATGGTGATTCTATATATTTTAAAAAAGTTTACAATAAATTTCGCAAGTATACACTTTTGATTGATTGAAGTCCTCTTGCATACACATATATTTTAGAGTCTTTAAATTAATAATATACATAAGCATATAGGCGCTGAAATGTGTTTTTGTTTGTTCGAAATATCTTATATTGAGTTGTATTATTATATTTATGATCAGTGTATGTGCTGCGATTGACAAATTTAATTTATTTAGATTTAAGGCGTTAAGTGTTTGTGATAAATGATACATTACGTTATATTCATTTCATGACAAGACTGACCAAAATTAATTATTACTATTATCTTTGATGTTGTTTTCTTCCATAATCCCTCTTTTTTTCAGGGCATCATGTTTGTGATAAATGCACACTCAAAAGTAACAGACAGTGCCCTATTTCATAATGTTATTCAAAGAATAACTGAAATAACAAAGGAGTTACTAATCGCGGACACGACTCTTTTACAAGTTAAGAAAATCAACGTTACAATGGAGATGGTAAACGACGGTCCTACATGGGATTTACAGACAAAGGGAGAAGACATTAACTATAGCTTTGATTTTAAAATGTTGGAAGGTGGTTTGTCGGTAGAATGTCGAATAACTATATTATGAGGCCAAACCATTTGCGCGCACTACGTTGTATACAATTTCTATCACCGTTCCTGGACAATTAACAAGATTTGAACAGATCTACCTGTCTCCAAATATAAATGAGTAACTATCTCCTAATATAAATAAAATAAAATGTTTGTCGTTGGCTAAATTGTTTGCTTTAACAGCTAACACTGTATTTGGGTTACTAGTTGAAATGTTCCCACCTGTCGTTCATACAGTGGAGTAAAGAATCATTAAATAATATGTAATTATTGTCATGTTGATTTGGAAAAAAAGTACCATTTCTAGAATAAAAATGGTATTTAAAAGTGTCTATATAAAGAAATCAAGAAAGCAATGTCTATTTGAGTGGTCAATGCGACTTTCTATTTGTAATACGGGATAAAACTGCTGACATTTAAAATTTTGTCTCTCGCTTTTTTAAAATGTATTATTGGAAAAAGGGAGATTACAATGTCATCATAGAGTTGCATAAAGTATAGGCTTCAACATGCTTTAGCAATTTTTAATGTTTTAAGATGTAAACACTTGTCTGGACAATGTATGACAATTGCCGTCTATGGCCAATGAACACTGCACGAAAGCTAGTGCATGGCAATAAAGATAAAAGGAAGAGCAATACAACTTTTTTTTTTTTTGGGGGGGGGGGGTTACGTCCCCTCGACACAGTATATATCATATCGCAACGTTCCAGCTTTACTGGTGGAGGAAGACCTCAGGTGCCCTTCCGTGCATTATTTCAGGCATGAAAGGCACCTGGGTAGAACCACCGACGTTTCGTAAGCTAGCTTGATAGCTTCCTCACATTAAAGAATCCAAAGTCCCTGTCGGACTGATAATGCAAGTCAATCTTTCATTCATAATAAGTTCAATATCTTTATTCATATGCATTGCGTTAAATGTTACTTGTAGCAACCAAAACTTCCTTTGTTGCATCCTCTCCATTATGTCAAAATAAAATTAAGTACAATTATCCTACATTTCTCACGAATAAAATTTATATTGTCTCACATGCTAAGTGGTTCTAAAATGTTCCATTAAGGGACAAGCTTAGCAACATTTTCAAAAAATGCATAGCAAAGTACTGTATATAATAACTTCCCTGACAGCACAGGAGGACTTTATGAATAACGAAAAACGACTTCAACAAAATACAAACTTTATTTTCTACTATACATATCATTACCCGCCTGGTAGTAAATTGGTGACTTTGTCTGAGAGCTTATCTCCCGTTACACATGACCCACTGACTTCATCTGACAAAAACAACGCACATTGTATTACTTAATATACAAAAGACAACTTCCAAAGTATCGACATGCTATTATATAAAACGTGCAATTCGAGTAAGGAATGAATTCATGAGACGCAAACATGTAATTTACCAAACGGTTGCAATTCGTTTAATAAAAAGTTAATCAGCAAACTAAATGTGAACAAATCAATAGAGAATAAAACATGTCAGAGTCGAGTGTACGTTTTGTTATAACTAAACTGTTGTTGTTTACTTCCAAAATGGGAATAAGAAGTTATTTTAGCAGTGTAAGATGAAACAGCTATCATGCATAACCTACAAGTTTACCAGTTGGTTTTTCATAAATCATATGTACAATACTTTTCTATAACGTTACGGCTCGGTTCATGTGTCATTTCATACAAAAAAAGTCTAAATTTCAATATGCCAAAAATATATACAAAAAAGAATCAAAGCACATATAAGGATGCAAGTCATTGCTACTTCGTAAAAATAAATATTTATACTCTTCAAAGAATGACACTCCAAGTTTTGAAACTATTGGTAATATATCTAACCATTGTCTTTGGTCTCTTGTATTACAACATGCACACAGTAACCGTCATGACAAATTGCATCTGGGTCAAATAAACAAGGCTCAGATTGTTGAGTTGCAATACATCTCCCACCAAACATTTCATCTGCAAGAATGTTCCACAAATTACAGCTAATGAATTATACATACTATTTCAAACATTTTTACGTATTTACAGGTACCATGCTCTCAAAACTGTTCTCAAAATTATTGCATTAGTAAATATATATCTACTAGCATGCCAATAGTAACATAACAAGAAGCAAGAGGAACTATTATAATTATACATATTTTCATTATAATTATCAGGTTTGATTGTCTCTTAAGTAGCCTATACCTAGATCTGTTTAAAGGATGAACGATATAAATTGCAGCGATTCTTAATTCCAACGTTATTAAAGGATTGGTAATAATTGTAGAAGTAATTATAATATATACATGCAGTCTGTTAAAGTACAAGGAGTACACATCAATATATTGCATCGTAAGTTAGCCTTGTATATAAAATTGATAACACGATCATCTATGTGATAATCATCAACTTCGCAGCAAAACTATTTAAAGTGTTTGAAGACATGGACGTTGACTGTGTGACAATTTTTGAGATTTTTACGTGCAAATATTTTGAAAACGTTCCAACTTAATGCGACAACAGAGCAATGCCCTGCGACTGACACGAAGTCACACATTTAATGGTACAAGAACAGTCAGCAAAGGGGGAGAGGTGGCTCTTCGCGAACTTCCTTTCAAATTCATAGTGAGCTTTGCGGTTTTATTGACAATGAAACTCATTTACTTAAGTTCTTACTTACTTTTCATACATTTACCCTCTATGTCAGTTGAAGCATATTTACACTGGCATAAACCATCTATACACTCAGCATTTACATCATGAATGCATGTAGCGCCATTCGGACTACTGCATCTGCCGCCTAAAGCTTCATCTAAATAATTAAGAATTAAAGAAGTATTCTTTTAATCAGGTGTATGTTTTCAAATTTCATAAACGCATTTGAACTTATTTAAAAATAAAGATGACGAGTAACTTCAGATGTTTTACGTAACAAGTTAAGTGTTTTGTATAAAGTACATTTTCTATATATTTTAGTTGTCACTTACGAGTCTTCTAGCACTATCCATATCAAACAACTTGGTACTTGGTTCTCGTTAGAATAGATAACGAAGCCATCGAACAACAGATTAAGAAAAGTAATTGAATGTAATATAAAAAAATAAATACCTGGTACACACTTCCAATTTAGAATACTAGACGCTTCATTACAAACACAAACTCCACGTTGACATTCTGCATTAATGTCATTTTTACATACTTCTCCATCAGAGCCTGTGCAAATTCCTCCTAGTGTTTCATCTTTTAATTAAATAATAATGTATCAAATCAATAAGATTAGAAAACATTATCATCACCATCATCATTTTAGGATCATAATCACAATCGTCGTTAAACAAATAAAAAGTTACAAAAAGAACAACGAAACAAAAAAATGAAAACAAGAAACAACAAAAATAAATTGACGTATTAATGCCATATTTCGACTTTTTAATTATACAATATTGCCGATTAATGCAATAAGATCAAACAAGTATATGTCAATTCATTAGAAAGGAATTTCAATCATATGCAGAATTATACAAAAAAATGCAGAAAATTATTAAGATAGTTTTATAAGGAAATCAAACCTTCAACACACAAATAGTGTCTTTTGTGTGTCCCATATTTACATCCACAGATAACTCCTAAACATAACGCATTTTTATCATGTTCACATTCTTGTCCAGAGTTGTTGCAAGATCCTCCTACATATCCAGCTTGAAAAGTAAAACAATGGCACGAAATTTCATTTGTCACCACATTGTAAAAAAGATACCATTTTTATTGTTCTAATTGTTACGAAAGAAAATGTTCACACAGTACTGTTCCTGGTCATACAGACACTTATTTGGAAATCTCAAGACCCGGAAATTGGCGAAATAAGCCGAACTTTCACGACTTAATGACGGATGCATTTACCGTAAACATAAAGACGAATATACACTGCAGTCCAGGAAGCATATCACAATTATTATTTAATTTTTTTTTTTTACAATTATATCAGGAAAATATTCAATGGTTCGTTTGCCAGGTTTGACTGATAGAAGATGATGCTTTGAGGCTAAGTAAAAAATTTCTTTCTTTGTAATTAAAAACTGGTTTACATTGGCGTTTATATAGTCGTATTTATTTAACGGAAAGATTCAAGAAAAAAATTAGTTTACTATGCAATACAAACATTACCTCATATCATCATTCTAATGTCCAATATAAAAAAGGTTCATATTTTTTAAAAGTGGAACATTTATTGTAAAATAAAATACCAATAGCATGTAAAAGCTTTTCGTTTGATGTTAGTTACAATTGACTATACGTATCTCACTGAAAATGTTTTCAAATATGTTTTTAAAGCTTAAAGAGATAACTTTAATATTTACTCATAACATAAGAAACAACAAATTAACTCATAAACTACAACTGTTTTTGTCTCGTTTGAAATATTTACCAAACCCATTTGATATATCAAATAAAAGTTTAGTTTAAACCAATATTTTCCTTGTAATATCTTGCATCATGCCAGAAAGATACACATTTGTAACAGAGGTAAAGAATGGAAAAGCATAAGACCGGAAAAAACAGGCCCTCTTACTGACCATGTTAAGCTTTGTCCATGACTTTGGAGGTAGGGTTGGAATGATATACATAACACATTGTCTTATAATGGTGAACACTTGTGCTAACTTATTCCGAAATCCTTTTGCGGATGAAACAGTTCTTGACCGGCCACTCAGTCAGACACTATTAACCTAGGTCACTAAGTGTAATATTGACCTTGGTAGGGATCTGAGTGTTGCACATGGCAAGTCGTCTTTTTATGTTGAATATTTGTCTCAAGCTATTCCAAAATTCCTCGATTGATGAAACGTCGATTTGCCAGACAGGATATATACCCTCCATCAGACAATATTGACCTTTGGACATCAATGGGATCAAACTTGACCTTGACGTTAAGATCTGGATGTTGTGCATGACACATTTTATTATTGTGGTGAACCTTTGCGCCAAGTTATTTCAAAGTTCCTTGATGAATGGCTGAGTTATCTATCAAACACAAAGTGTGTCGGACAGAGAGGTAGACAGAAAAACGGACAGACAAACACACTCATTTCTAAATCCCATTTTTTCCTTGGAGAAGGTGATTGACAATGAAATACTTTAAATCTACTAATAGAAACGTTAGACCAGGAGCCATTCTTTCAATTTTATTCATTCTTTCCAGGTAAATGCTGGCGTTTCAACTAATGTAAAGTGTAACATGGATTCTTTCTTTTGTTTGTTTGTTTGTCCTAAATTCCCGACAATTCTTTTTCGGTTCCCTCCCCATTCAAAAAGGAAACAGAAGTATGTTATCACTGAACCCACCAAAACAGAAGTGGAAATGCCTTTTGCAACATAATAGATCCAGGCTAGCCCGCTCGTCTGACCAAGATGTATACTATAGGTTGCTAAGTATCTTTTCCTTTTTTTGATATGATATTTTAATCATCTTTTTTTAAATGTCATTCAAAATTAAAACCAAGGCAAATGCCTAACACATATTTATCTAGATTCATCTTACATATAGTATCAGATTAACACTAACCTACGCCATCATATAGAAAGTACGGGGTTTTATCATTTTTGTATGCGCCATAAAACGATAATAGTTCTGAACCTGGATTTGCTGATCTGGAAGCGTAATAGTAAACATAACCTGAAATAAATTACAATAAATAAGTGCCAAGTTCTTTCAAATTCCAATACAATTCCATTTGCTACACTTGTGTAGTCAGAAATTAAGCACCAGTTAGCTACATGGCTCATGACGCCAAACGTCTCAGAGACATCTTTATCATCACCACACACCTATCATGCATATGTCTCATTTCTATATTTGCCATAATTTTTTAAAAATATGTAAAAGTGACAAGGGACATATTCGAACTTTTCTCCGGTTAAATGTTTTCTCCGGTTAAATGTATTTGTAATTGTGACCAGGCGTTTTAAATAAATTCCTTGTCAATATATTTATTTCTTGTTTGTGAGTAGAAAAAGCAATGCTTCTGTATGTTATTACAAAATATAAACTTTTTTGGTAGGTATTTTTGCTCCCTTTGTTGACTTTTTAGAGCCTGTAAAAAAGTCCCCTCTTTGGGAAAGGAAGAAAAATTAAAAAAATTTTCCAATAAAAAAACTTTCAAATAATTTTTTTTTCCGAAAAACCTTTTTTAAAATTGGGGTTTTTTAAGCCCCAAAAAGTTTTTAATTTTAAAAAAATAAAAAAATTGGGTTAAGGTTGTTTTAAAGTTAAAATTGCAAAAATAAGAACAAGTTTTAAAAAGAAAATTATTTTTTTTTAGAATTTTTCTAAAAAAATTTGGCCCCTTTAAAAAGACGCACCTACATCGGGTTTCTAATGAAATCACCTGCCCAAAGAGGGCCCAAATTTAAAAAAAATTATCATATACTTTCTTTAACTGCACCAATGCTATAGATACCTTCGTACTTGAAGGGAGTAAGGTTTATTAAATCCACCTTTGGTGCCATGTTAACAAATCGTAACCAGTTAGACAGGTAAATATGTCTTGCATCAATCCAGTAGTCTACGGGATCATCCTTATTTTTGTCGATCTATCAAAATAAACATATATACATGTATATGTATTAAAATGCAAGCAAAAGAGAAAATAGGTTCTGAACCGGTGATATCGACTGGAAAACCTGTTTAAATATATTTTGCCCTTTTCTTGAAGCGAAAAAAACCCCCCCCCCCCCAAAAAAAATATGATAAACAAGGGGGCGCCAAAAAAAGGGGGGCAGGCTAAAAAAAAAAAAAAAAATTAATTTTTTTTAATAAAATTTTTTTGTTTTAAAAAAAAATTTAAAATTTTTTTTTAAAAAAAAATCCCTTTAAAAAATTTTTTAAAAAAAAAAAAAATTTAATTTAAAAAAAAGGGGCCAAAAAAAAAAAAAAAAAAAAAAAAAAAATTTTAAAAAAAAAAAATTTTTTAAAAAAAAAAAAATTTTTTCCCTTTTTTTTAAATTTTTTTTTAAAAAATTTAAAATTTTGGGGTTTTTTAAAAAAAAAATTTAATTTTTTTTAAAATTTTTAAATTTTTTTTTAAAAAAAAAAATTTTTTTTAAATTTAAACCCCCCCAAAAAAAAGGGAAAATTTTTTCCCCCCCAAAAATTTTTTTTTTTTTTTTTAAAAAAAAAAAGGGAAAAAGGGGGGGGGAAAAAATTTTTTTAAATTTTTTTTTTTTTTTTTGGGGTTTTTTTTAAAAGGGAACCTTCCCAAAAGGAAAAAAAATAAAAAAAAAAACCCAAAAAATAAAAAAAATTTAAAAGGGAAAAACCCCCCCAAAAAAAATTTCCCTTTTTGGGTTTTTTTTTTTAAAATTTTTTTAAAAAAACCTTTTAAAAAAAATTTTTTTCCCTGATACCTTGAAAAATCTGCCATTTTGTCAAAACAGCATCACGTGACTAGAATTTTAACAAACTATTGGTTCAGAAGTTACGATATTATGGAAATGTATTTTTTATCAGCAATTTTTGGACTTACAGCACTCTGACCATTCAATATTATTGTTACAGGCAAGAACCAGAGTGATGTTGTTCTTACCATTAGATAGAGAAAAAAATTACGAACATTTTGATACCAAACACTCATTTTTTTCAAAATTGGAGTTACGACACTCTGGAATTAGGGCGACGTAATCACTAAAATGATACATAAGAAGAAATAATTGAACTCGAGCTATTATCTAATATGATGTTTCATTTGTGTGTACCAATAAAAACATATAATTTTGCGGCTTGTTAAAAGAGTATAATCATCTGCTAATAAACAATAAACGACAATGGAGACAATCAAGTAAAAAAAGTGTTCTGAAGCGAAATTAAAAGGAACTAAATAATCTATTACCGTTATGAAAAACACAGTTGCAGTTTGATATTGTGATGACATGTTAAAGTTGATATCTCAACCGGTTCCTGATATTGTACGGGACATATGAAGTTATAGCCAGGTTATAAAAATCATTAATTTTTTAGAAATCTTTTGTCGTTAATGTATTATTATGCACTTTTTAATGTCATTTGTTCATTCATTTAGTGTTACTTTAACAACTACAATTTTAGAATGTGGGTGTTAACAGAAGCAAATAAATGCAAATGTATGCTGAAATAACAAAATCATTTCAACAACGAATGACTATAGTTTAAATATTAGCTCTGTTTAATCTGACAATAAGAATTGTTACACGTCCTAAGAAAGTGGACGGAAAAAACGTTCAGATGTTAAAACACTTGAATTTGAAGCTTTAGTGGCATTTCTTTAGAATTATCGACTAAGGAACATTTTCTTCCTAAACATATAGAGGGTATTTGTTTAGTTCAGTGTAAGATTGGAATGTATTTCACCGAGTGAGCACCAAAAGGTATATTTCACGAGTTGCGCAGCCACGAGTGAAATATGAACTTTTGGTGTTCACAAGTTGAAATATATTTCGATCTTACACTAAACTAAACAAATTTTCTTTTCATTATATGTAAACAAACGTTTGAAAAAAGACATTTAACCTAATACTAAATGAAAATCGCGCCAATTAATAATACAACGTGACGTCATTTACGACGTGACGTCATTAGTTTCCAGTACTTTGCACGCTGGTGTTTCACTGAAACAACGTAAAGGGGCTTAAATTCAAAGCAGTGAAATCATGAAATTTAATTTCACTCATATATTTCTATGAATAGTTTTAAAAAGTGAAATTATCAGTTTTATATCACTGATATATTTCTATGGACCACCGAAATACATGTAATAAATATGATTTCTTCTTTTGTATCTTGTATTATGACAAGATTCCGCCTGTATGTCCTCGGATATATATCTATTCTTACACACTATGTTGGCAAATTGCTTTAAGTCCAGAAAGAGTTTTAAGACAGGAAATTCAGCCGATTACCCTGAAGTTTTCTCAAGTCCGTTTTTACTAAAATAATAGATGTAGACAGAAAAGAATAACAGGGCATGGCGTCGAGGATGCTTTAAGCACCCACGTTTTGGATTCTTGCCCGTCGGGAATAAACGTCATAAACTATTTTCTGTCGGCAAACAAACAAAAACAACTAGTGTAATAAGATGAAAGCAAAAGTTAAAACATAATAAAAACACTAAAACAGCACAAAACAATGATAAAATAAAATAAATCAATAGTCGAACAGGATACAAACAATGGTGATGCACGATAATGTGCAAAACAAACAAAAACAATAAATAAGATTATAATAATAGCATATAATGTATAATATGAAAGGATAATCATCACAACAATATTACCTTCCAACTCCAAACTGAAGAGTCTGTCGTTATGTTTCCCTTTGCAAAGAAACCTTTACACGGACCAAATACGGTTCCTTTTTTGATAAAAATATTTGTAAATGCTCCTGAACCATGAACTGAAGAATTTCTTATCTCTATTCCATCAGGTATGGTGTTGAAAGCTCTCTCCGGATCATAGCAAGACCATGTCTGCAACAAGGTTTCATTATGAAATAGAGAAATACAGAGTTCCTAAAGAACGCCTGAACAAACAAAATTGAAAATCTTGCAGCTCGGTTTGATTGACATGAGTGAGCCTGTTCATGGATGCTACTGAAAAGTGCAAGCTACCACCCACGCCCCCTACCATCACTTTGAGCAGACACTTTAATATTTTGTCTTTGATGAACACAAGCACACAAAAAATATCTTATTCTTAAACGAAATTTTATCTCATTCTTAAACGAAATCTCTTTTTTGACATAGGGTTTAAACTAAGGAACTTTGCTAGGATGCTCTTTTCCAAAATTAGTACGGGCATTGGAATTCCATTTGAATGTGGTTAGTAGTGGTTTCTGAATTCAGATTAAAATAAGCATGAAAAGAGAGGTAACTCTCAAGTACATATTGGAAGTAATTGCAATATGGGCTTAGAGTTGTCTCCCCTGTCACTATGTATCAGTCTCAGAATGACCATACAGGAAATTTTATGATTTTGTAAATGTTTTTGTATGGATGAGACTTTAATAAAGATTATATATACCATACACCTGGACACAAATAACATGAATTTGGATTAATTGATAAGTTAATATCGATCTTTTAGTATCCAGTTTACCATAAATGTGGCTTTGCATATGACTCAGATTGCTTTCGGCAAAAATATACATGTATTACCCATTTATTTCTGTTTATTTTATTTATTTCTTTACTAATTATATATGTTTAAAGTGTGTAAAGATATATATTGGCTGTCTGTAGTTTACTACAATAAATTTAAAAATAAGAATTTTGAAAAAGAGTACCTTCCTTTAGATTGAATGGTTATATATCGTGTATGTGTATGGCAATTTTCGCTATATTAAAGAATACCCTGCTAGATTGCCTAGCCAGCTGAGCATTCCAGCAGAATATTGCTTTCACTATATTTTGGAATTTCCCGCTACATTGCTCTGCCAGCTGATCATTGCAGCATAGCATTCCTTGCACTACATTCAGGAATGCCCTGCGTAATTGTCCAGCCAGCTTAGCATTCCAGCAGAGCATTTTACACTTTATTTAGGAATGCCCTGCTAGATTGCCTAGCCAAATGAGTATTCCAACAAGGCATTTGTACACGTTATTTTATGATGTCCTGCTACATTGTTTTGCTACCTGAGTAATCCAGCTGAGGATTTTTACTCTATATTTCTATTGCTAAGCCAGCTGAGCATTTTTACACTATTTTGGAATGTCCTGATAGATTGCCTAGCCAGCTGAGCTAGTCAGCAGAGCCTTTCTAGCACTACATTTAGGGATGCCCTGCGCAATTGCCTAGCTAGCTTAGCATTCCGGCAGAGTATTCTATACTTAATTCAAGAATACTAGCCAGCTGAGCATTCCAGCAGATATTTTTACACTTAGTTTAAGAATGCTCTGCTAGATTAACTAGCCAGCTTAGCATTCCAGCAGCGCATTTTTGCACGTTGTTTTGTAATGTCCCACTATATTGCTCTGCCACTGAGCATTTTTACTCTTTATTTCAAAATGCTCTGCTAGATTGCTCTGCCAACTTAAAATTCCAACAAAGCATTATTTATTCACTATTGTGGAATGTCCCACTAGATTGCTTAGAGAGCTGACCATTCCAACAGAGCATTTTTACAGGATGTTTAGGAATGCCCTGCTCGATAGCTTAACCAGCTGAGCATTTTAGCAGAGCATTTAACACTATTTTCAAGAGTTCCTTGCTATATTGCTCTGCCAGCTGAGCATTTTAGCAAAGTATTTTTATTCTATATTTTAGAATGTTCTGCTGGATTGCTCTGCCGGCTGAGCATTTCAGGTAAACATCTTATACACTATTTTAAGGAAAATCCCGTTAGATTGCTGTGGCAGCTCAAAATTCCAGCAGAAAATGTATAGCATTATATTAAATAAGGCCCTGCAATATTGCTCTGCCAGCTAGGCATTTCAACAGAGCAATTTTACACTCTATTAAAGAGAGCCACGGTAGATTGCTTTAGCAACTGAGCATTCCAGCAGAGCGTTTTTCCACGCTACATTTAGGTATGCCGTGCTAGATTGTCAAGACAGTTGAGTATTCCAGCAAAGCATTTTACATTATATTTTGGAATGCCCCGCTAGATTGCTTAGCCAGCTGAGCATTCCAACAGAGCATTTTACTCTATATTTAGGAATGACTCGCTAGATTGCTTAGCCAACTGATCATTCCAACAGAGCATATAACTTTTTATTATATGATCTAAAAATAGCTGCAATCTCATTGGTCCAAACTGTAGTCAACATAATTTTTTATAAAATCATATTCACTGGGTGTAGTATCATATTAACTGGCTGAATTGGATTTTCCAAGTCTAAATATAGATTGAGACTCATATTCAATGACCATACACCGTAGACTGTTAATTACGTGTGTTAATTAAAAAATAAGTGTTGCGTTTTGTTCTTTATGGCATATTTCTCGATTGAAATATCATTACTTTACTGTTATACTTAAAGGCTAAACCGCATCGATGAGTATAAACTTGAATTACTTTTGTATGCGCAGCGTTCGCGTAGTCGTTGCACGCCTAACACGTGCGTCTTTTTTCCCGCGCTTCAACGAGGCAAAATTTGTACATGTATATAAGGATGTACTTTTTCGTGATTTTTTTTTAATTCTTAGCCTATTCATATAATAAAACAATTATTGACTAGTGAGCCATTGAATATGATGTGATATTCACCGGCAGAAAGTCATATTGACCTCGGCTATCGCCTAGGTCAATATGTCATCTGCCGGTGAATATCACATCATATTCAATGGCTCACTAGTCAATAATTGTATAATATTTTCGAATGCCACGCTATATTTCTTCGCCAGCTGAGCATTCCAAAAGAACATTTTACTTTTTATTTAGGAATACCCCGCTAGATTGCTTAGCAAGCTGAGCATTCCAAGAAAGCATTTACCTCTATATTTAGGAATGTCCCACTAGATTTCTTAGCAAGCTGAGCATTCCAAGAAAGCATTTACCTCTATATTTAGGAATGCCCCACTAGATTAATTAGCCAGCTGAGCATTCAAACAGAGCATTTTACCCTATATTAAGGAATGCCCCGCTAGAATGCTTAGTCAGCTGAGCATTACAGCAAATCATTGATTGCCTTATATAAATTGTAATGTCTTTTTGCTTAGCTCAATGTTCACTGCTGACTTCTCACTTACGAGTATGTATTGCATATCGGTTATATTTATTTGCGTCAATGTATGGTCGAAGAGAGAACACTGGATTCAATAAAAGTTGATGTTATAAGAGCGACATATAATTTGACATTACATACAAAAAAAACAACAAAAAAACAAACAAACAAACAAACAAACAAGTACTCTAACTTTTCCATTACCACTGTTTTACCGCCTTACGTCGCACGCCCATACTTTACAATATTTATGTTTAGGATAAAGATATCTATATTGATATGCGCCGTATTCTGGTAGGCCTGAATGATGAATTACAAATCACTTAAACGATAATAATACATTATTGTATTGCAATAAAAATACATAGTTTCATTCTTACAGAGACCTGATACAAATTGAAAAAAACAAACGAATTTCGTTGAGCCGGAAAAGACATCTACCGTAATGAAGTTTACTGACGTCACACTCAAGACGTCATATCACTGGTATGTATTGCATTGTATATTTCGTGAAGTCACGCAGTCGGTTTCCATGTCTGTCTAATATGTAAAAAAAAATTATGAAAAAAATCCCGAATATGGGCTTTTAATTTGGTTTCATTAAACATTCATAATGTGTGTTGAACATTATTAATAACTTCATGCACAAGCCAATTCTATCATTTTAACGTATTTCTGTCCACACACCACATGAACATTTCAGTGACTTTGTTTTGACACAAAAACAGCGGGGTTACGTTCGATTTGTAGTGATGAACCATTTTGCAGAAATTATTTACCCTTTGCTCTGCATAACAGGACCTTTACCAATATGTTTGTTAAAGTTTTCTCTATTTATTTATCATTTGGAATGACTTATGGCTGCCCTAAACTGGTGCATTACTTTGCATATTTTATGACATATAACAAATTAGCTTTAAACATACTAACAGAAGACAAATTAGTTATAAACGTACCTTTTTATCGTTTACTGCTTCACTGAATTGCTCCATTTGCATTTGAAACATCAGAGGATAGACGTTTAAGACCTGATTATCTATACCGAATTAAGGAATAAACAATAAGAAAAAGTATTGATAATAAACAAAGGTCTATATAATTTTTTATCTTAACATTTGGTAAACCTTATGGCTATTTTGTTTTCTTTCTTTCTTTCTTTCTTTCTTTCTTTCTATCTTTCTTTCTTTTTGTTATTGTTGTTTTTTTCATCCACTGACAATTGTTAAATTTAGTGTAATGAGACGTAGTAAAGTATGAAGGATGACATTTTTATTTTCTGTCAGTGCCATTAATATTTTTCTTTCTATAAGATTAGAGTAAAATGAGCACATTTGACATACTAATTCGTAAAATTACTGAATCAGTAATATAACTTTTATTGCGGATAATTCGAGATTACATATAGTGGACCCCAAAACGGATATATTTTATATACGGTCAAAAAGCCTGGTTAGAATCGTTAAAATTATTTCATAATACAGCACAATTCACTCGCTTTAGAACAATTGCAAATCACTTCTTGAAATAGAAGGAACAGTATCTTAATCATTAAGTGATATCAGTATATAAAGTTTACGTCATCCAATGAAAATTATTGATACAAACGTGCAGTATAATAATATATAGAATAAAACAAAATTACTATCAACTACAAGTAAATAGTTGCCATGGACGGCTTTAAAGTATTTAAAAAAAAGCTAAATATACATACCATCCTCTTGTGAACATTCGAGTGATGACATTTTGCTATACTTGTACAACGAATGAAAGGAAGTGTCTTCAAACTGGTCGCATTTGTTTTTCCCTTTAGTTATATATAAGATTATATACACGATTACACAAGAGAATTGATGCCATTTATTGTCGAGGCAATCAAGGGATGTGGTAGGCTCAGTGTAGCATTACCACGTGACTATGACAACATTTACTGCATCATTTCCAAGACAAATGTTGCTCGATTCGAAAAAGAAAATAGCTGTAAGTATTTCATTTCTGTGGATATGGGACAGTCTATGGGGAATAGTATAAGCTTGTCACAAAAAACTCGATCTTCTTCAGTATATGAGCCGTTTTATCAACCTTGGAAATTATTTGTATGATTTTATGAGCGGACTTCAGTTGCAAGCTATTTCGTTTTCGTGCTTACCTGATCTACGCATCTTTAAAAAGTTAGGTTTACATCAACTGGGAGTACGGAAGTCAAACTCCTACCTAAATATATTATTATTATTATTATTATAATACTTATTATTATTATTAATATAATTATTATTATTATTTTTATTACTATTATTAATGGCGTAAATCTACCTTTTTCTTCAATTGTTAATTCTCCCATCAGTTCAAAGTCTTACATTTCGGACAACAGTTAAAAGTAGTTTTTCAGAATTGGTTGCAAATGCGAAGCAACATGCATTCCGTTTTCTTTCTTTACATGTATTTATGTTACCTTTTTACTATACGCTGCACATGATTATTCATTAATCAAAAATATGCAAAAATGAGTTTTACTCGCTGTGAGAAAGTCGTTTAATTGATGTTTGTATTTGTAAATCATTGTTCTTTCACAGTAATGATTTTGAAAAATATATTAGTTGTCATGAAACAATACTTATCGTGGACGTCAAAAGCTAAATAGAATGAAAAGCATAATTCCTACCGAACGCAAAAGCAACGGCAAAATTGACAATGTTGCAGGCTCGGTTTGACTTGGCCAGTAGATCTACTGGAAAATGAAAACCACCGTCGACGCCATGCAGAACCTATTCTTTATACCCTTGAGTTTTACTCGATTTCAGAATGACTGAAATCAATGAAAAATATATGTGCCCTCAGTGAAAAAAATCTTTTAAATAGAGAAAACATCGGAGAACTCATGAACGTGCACATCCAGGAATGCTTGTTGGTTACGCTGTAAAACCAAAGGTTATTCTTTTAGTCTGCATTATATTGTAAAGACAAACCAGTTGCAATGTCTAAGTGTGATAGATTCAGCTTTTTAACACAGTGACACTCGTCGATGAATATTCATTTTTTACATCCTTTTTTATACCCGAGGTAACCGCCTTTCGTGAAATCATTTTTATTTCCGCCTTTTTAATTGTTTGTTTCAAGAAAATTTGACTGTGATTAATGGCTATTGTGTTGTGAAATCATTATTCCGTTTGCAACTTCTTTGATTACTCCGTCCGTTCTCACAGTGTTTGATATAATATTCTGTGGCAAGCTTATATTTTTCCCCAAAGTAATTGATACAGGAAAAATACTTAGTTAATACGCCTATTTTATTATTCGAATCGAGTATTATCTGTCTTCGAAATGATGCCGAAAATGACCTCATAGTCACGTGGTGTTGCTACACTGATGCTTAGAGACAAAAAAGTCAGTAAAATATAATGACCATTGACTATAAGGATGTTCTCAATATCTTTAATTGACTTGTCTGTATTTCAATATTATATTTCTTATCTTATTCCAAAATTTTGTTTGCCTATGAGCTGCTTTTGTTTCCCTTCTTGTCAGACTTTCAAACCGCCAAATTCGTGCATTCTAGATTTTTTCGATGGGTCGAAAAATTTCATTTTTGTTCTAGATTGATTAATTTCCAAGTGCGAACAAAGAAAACTTATTTTCATAACACTCTAAACTAAACATTAAAAAGATTTTACTTACCAAACATATTTACTGTACATATACAAGTAGACGTCCGTCTATGACATTTAGAATATGGTCCTCCATTTCCAGTCCGACACTCGTAATCTGCATTACACTTCATGCCAATATCTACTCCTTGGAGAAATAACAAAATCATTCCATTATCTACACCTTTATGAAATAATAGAAACATTCAAATATCTACCCCACAACGCAATAGCAGAAACATTCAAATATCCCCTCAAAGAAATACCAAGTAGAACACGGGTGCCTCTCCCACTCCACTGTTTTGTCAATCTTATGACTCTAGGTCAAATATTTTAGGCTACATATGCCACAAGTTGAAAACTAAAAATCCTTTACTAAGTAAAGGGCAAGTACTTTACAAATTCTAAATAAATCCACCAGCGAACCCAAAAGTGCATAAGTACACATGCTGACCAACATTCTTGTAAAATTTCAGTTCTACAAGTCAAACACTTTTTGAGCTATGCAAGAACAAACGGAAAATTGCAAATTTATACTTAGTTAAGGGCAATAACTCTAACACAACCAAAAAAATAATCCGCATGCAAAATCTCAGGTGCATAGCTTCACAGTGATGTTGATCATTATTCCTGTAAAGTTGGTTGATTCTTACTCAAGCACTCAAGGAACAAATAACATAATGAAACGAGGTTTTACTAAGTCAAGGGTAATTACTCTACAAGTAATAGATAAATCTACAAGCGAAACCCAAGGTGCACAACTTCACATGCCGATCAAAATACCTGTAAAATTTCATGACACTGGGTCAAATTCTTTTTGAGCTACGTGTGATACAAGTTGAAAATTGTTAATTTTTCCTAAGTCAAGGATAATAAGTCTAAAAATATTATATTTGTCAACTCGAAATAACCAGATTGATCAACATTCCTGTAAAGTTTCACGGCCCTAGGTCAAATACTTTATGAGCTACGTTGGACACAAGTTGAAAATTGCAATGTTTACTAAGTTAAGGACATTAACTCCGACAAAACAGAATAAATCCACAGGCGAAACCCCAGGTGCACAAGTTCACATGCTGATCAACATTCCTGTAAAGTTTCATGACCCTAAGTCAAATACTTTTGAGCTCTGTTCGACACAAGTTGAAAATTGTAAAGTTTTACTAAGTCAAGAACAATAACTCCGACAAAACAGAATAAATCCACAAGCGAAACCTCAGGTGCACAACCTCACATGCTGATCAAACATTCTGTAAAGTTGCATGACACTAGGTCAAAAACTTCTTGAGTTATGTGCGACAAAAGTTGAAAATCATAAATGTTTACTTAGTCAAGGGCAATAACTTTTAAAATACTTAACAGATTCTCACGAAAATAAACAGGTGCACAACTACACATGCTGATCAACATTCCTGTAAAGTTTCATGACCTTAGGTCAAATACGTTTTGAGCTACGTTCGACACAAGTTGAAAATTGCAATGTTTACTAAGTCAAGATCAATAACTCCGACACAAAAATAATAAATCAACAAGCGAAACCCAAGGTGCACAATTACACATGCAGATTAACATTTCTGTAAAGTTTCACGACACTTGGTCAAATACTTTTTTAGTTATGTGCGACACAAGTTGAAAATTGTTAATTTTTACTTAGTCAAGGCAATAACTGTTAACATTAATTAACTAAATATATCCACACGAACGTTTCATGACCCTAGGTCAAATACTTCTTTAGCTACATGCGAAGAAGTTGAAAATTGCACATTTTTCCTACATCAAGGATAGTAACTCTACAAATACTAAATTAATCTACACGAAAATTCCCAGGTGGACTAGTTCACATGCTGATCAACATTCCTGTAAAGGTTCATAACCCTAGGCAAAATGCTTTTGAGCTTAGTTCGATACAAGTTGAAAATTGCAATGTTTACTAAATCAAAGACAGTAACTCCGAAGAAACACAAAAAATCAACAATCGAAACCCCAGGTGCACAACTTTACATGCTGATCAACATTTCTGTAAAGTTTCATGACACTTGGTCAAAAACTTCTTGACTTACGTGCGACACAAGTTGAAAATTGTAAAGGTTTACTAAGTCAAAGGCAATTACTTTAAAAATACTTAATATATCCACACAAAAATAACAAGGTGCATAACTACCCGCTGATCAACATTCGTGTAAAGTTTCATGGCCCTAGGTTACATACTGTTTAAGCTACGTTGGACACAAGTTGAAATTTGTGAATTTTTACTAAGTCAAGGGCAATAACTATAAAAATACTAAATATGTCCGCACGAACATACCAAGGTTTACAATTACACATGCTGATAAGCATTCCTGTAACGTTTCATGACCCTAGGTCAAATACTTCTGGAGGTACATGCGACAGAATTTGAAAATTGCACATTTTTCCTACGTCAAGGACAATAACTCCACAAATACTAAATAAATCTACACAAAAATACACAGGTGGAAGAGTGCACATGTTGATCAACATTCCTTTAAAGTTTCATAACCCTAAGTCAAATACATTTGAGCTAAGTTCGATACAAGTTGAAATTTGCAATGTTTTCTAAGTCTAGGACAATAATTCTGACAAAACACGGTAAATCAACAAGCGAAACCACAGGTACACAACTCCACATGCTGATCAACATTTCTGTAAAGGTTCATGGCACTTGGTCAAATACTTCTTGACTTACGTGCGACACAAGTTGAACATTGTGAATTTTTACTAAGTCAAGGGCACTAACTCTAAAAATACTAAATATATCCACACGAAAATAACAAGGTGCATACCTACACGCTAATCAACATTCCTGTAAAGTTTCATGGCCCTATGTCAAATACTTTTTGAGCTACGTTCGCCACAAGTTGAAAATTGCAATGTTTACTATGTCAAGGACAATAACACCGACAAAACAGAATAAATCCACAAGCGAAACCCAACACAGGTCCAATACTTTTTGAGCTACGTTCGTAAGTCAAGGACAATTACTCAGACAAAACACAAAAAATCAACAAGCCAAACCCAAGTTGCACAACCACACATGCTGATCAACATTTCTGTAAAGTTTCATGACACTTGGTTAAATACTTCTTGAGTTACGTGCGACACAAGTTGAAAATTATAAATTTTTACTTAGTCAAGGGCAATAAATCTCAGGTTTACTAAGTCAAAGGCAATTACTTTAAAAATACTAAATATATCCACACGAAAATAACAAGCTGCAGAACTACACGCTGATCAACATTCGTGTAAAGTTTCATGGCCCTAGGTCAAATACTTGTTGAGTTACGTTCACCACAAGTTAAAAATTACAATGTTAAATAAGTCAAGGACAATAACTCCGACAAAACAGAATAAATCTACAAGCGAAACACAAGGTGTACAACTTCACATGCTGATTAACATTTCCGTAAAGTCCATGACACTAGTTCAAATATTTATAAAGTTACGTGCCACAAAAGTTGAAAATTGTAAATGTTTACTAAGTCAAGGACAATAACTCTAAAAGTACTAAATATTTCCACACCAAAATAACAAGGTGCATAACTACACGCTGATCAACATTCCTGTAAAGTTTCATGGCCCTAGGTCAAATACTTTTTGAGCTACATTCGCCACAAGTTGAAAATTGCAATGTTTACTATTTAAAGAACAATAACTCCGACAAAACAGAATAAATCAACAAGCGAATTTCAAGTTGAACAACTTCACATGCTGATCAATATTTCCGAAAAGTTTCTTGACACTAGGTCAAATACGTCTTAAGTTACGTGCGACAAAAGTTAAAAATTGTAAATGTTTACATAGTTAAGGGCAAAAACTCTTAAAATACTAAATAGACCCACACGAAAATATCAAGGTGCACAACTTTACATGCTGATCAACATTCCTGTAAAGATTCATGACACAAGTTGAAAATTGTAAATTTTACTAAGTCAAAGGAAATAACTCTAAAAATACTAAATATATCCACACGAAAATAACAAGGTGGAATAACTTCACGCTGATCAAAGTTCTTGTCAAGTTTCATGGCCCTAGGTCAAATACTTTTTGAGCTACATTCGCCACAAGTTGAAAATTGCAATGTTTACTATTTAAAGAACAATAACTCCGACAAAACAGAATAAATCAACAAGCGAATTTCAAGTTGCACAACTTCACATGCTGATCATTATTTCCGAAAAGTTTCGTGACACTAGGTCAAATACGTCTTAAGTTACGTGCGACAAAAGTTAAAAATTGTAAATTGCTGATCAACATTCCTGTAAAGATTCATGACACAAGTTGAAAATTGTAAATTTTTACTAAGTCAACGGCAATAACTCTTAAAATACTGAATATATCCACACGAAAATAACAAGGTGGAATAACTTTCAAAGTTCCTGTCAAGTTTCATGGCCCTAGGTCAAATACTTTTTGAACTACGTTCGCCACAAGTTGAAAATTGCAATTTTTAATATGTCAAGGACAATAACTCCGACAAAACAGAATTAATCCAGAAGCGAAACTCCAGGTGCACAACTTCACATGCTGATCAACATTTCCGTAAAGTTTCATGGCACTAGGTCAAATACTTCTTGAGTGACGTGCGACAAAAGTTAAAATTTGTAAACGTTTACTTAGTCAAGGGCAATAACTCTTAAAATGATATTAAATATATCCACACGAAAATAAAGAGGTGCACAATTACACAAGCTGATCAACATTCCTGTTAAGAATGATGACCCTAGGTAAAATAATTTTTGGGCTACGTTCGACACAAGTTGAAAATTACAGTGTTTACTAAGTCAAGGACAATAACTCCGACAAAACAGAATAAATCAACAAGCGAAACCCAAGGTGCACAATTTTCACATGCTGATCAACAATTCTGTAAAGTTTCATAACTTCTAGAGTTATGTGCGACACAATTTGAAATTTGTAAATTTTTACTTAGTCAAGGAAAATTACTTTGAAAATGCTAAATGCTAATGTATCCACACGAACATACCCAGGTGCACAATTACAGAAGCTCATCAACATTCCTGTAAAGTTTCATGACCCTAGGTCAAATACTTCTTGAGCTACAAGCGAGAAAATTTGAAAATTGCAGATTTTTCCTTAAGTCATGGACAATAACTCTACAAATACTAAATAAATCTACACGAA